CCGAGGCTCGATTTGCTCAAAAAATAAGAACAAGGCTAAAACATGCTCAGCTTTAGGTGAGAAATTTAAGAAAAGGCATTTCGCATTTTGAAATTTATGTCATGTCAACAGAACAAAACTTTGCAATTTATAAACAAAAAAACAATTTATTTTTAATCTTTACCCAGTAAAACTTCTTAGAAATTATATAGAGTATGAAACTTCTCAAATATTTGCAAAAAATCACTTTTAAAATAAGAACAATTTTAAGAACATTTGAGCCTAAAATTATAAAAAAGTTAAGAACATCGAGGCTCAGCAAAAATTATCTGGTTCTTGTAAAAAAGGAGTGTATTAGGGGGAAAATAATAACTTCATTCTTACTTCATTCTGAATTTGAAAACAAATGGCTCAACGAAAATCTGAGTTAATATTGACGAATGACAAAGGTAGAAAGAAAGAGGGCAATTCCGGGTTTTTCTTCGTTGTGCGCTTTTCTGTATGCCTAAATTTGAGTCATTCCATAAGGGATGATGGCCTAAGATGGAATACCCGATAAGACTGGCTTTGTACAAGCATGTAGATTGTGCAACAAAGAATGTGTTTTTAAGTACGTTGATTTTTAGGAGCAACAGGACCCTATAATATTCTCTGCCCTCCATCGAGCCATTTTAGTCAATGAGCACTGATTTTACGAGGCTAGGCGGAGGAGAAATCATATGCCCATCTCTATGCATATGCCTGTACTATGCGGAGGAGAACTTTCATGAATTGTCTCCAACCTCAAACTGAGCCATATTATTTTCCATCTACCACTTACTTTTACCGTTTTTCTTGTTCTTCTTTTTATTTTACCCCCAGGGGTTTAATTTTATTTTACAACTTTGATTCCAGAGCTTTTGAATGAAATGCCTATTTTCCTGTTGTAGTGAAGCTGTGACTAGAAAGATATGGCTCTCTGTTTGGTTTCTTCGACAAATATGTCAACAGTGAAAGGAGATGCTTCCATTATCATCATTCAATTCCAGTAATTAAATCTTCTTGCCATTCTCGATAGCTTTTTGCTCGCAGTTTCAAATGTCGCCCACTAACGCAGCTAGGCCAGCCAAAGCAAGTATCGTAATCCGTTATCCGTTAAGCCTGGTTCCCACTTGGTCGTTTGGGTCGTTTGGGTCGTTGGAAAATATCCAAACGACTGAAAAGACTTGGTGGAAACATACCCAAAAGACCCGAAAGACTCAAACGACAGTTGTCGCAGAGATAGAAAAAATTCTATCTCCGCGACCCAAAATACCCACGCATGAATGATTTTTGCAAGTGGAAACCGACAAACGACTCAAACGACTCAAACGACCCACGCTTTAGTAACTTTTTCTTCAAGAATAGGAGATTTTCTTGTAACTGCGTGTTTGACTAGAACAATAACAAGATAGCTGAATATTTCACAGCAAGCTTTATGGAAGAAGTTCACAAATACGAGTGCCATTATAAGAATTACTGGAAACAGTTTAAAAATAAATACAAAAATATCAAATCATTGCAAGCTATTGCACTGAAATTTAGTAATCTAACATCGTCGCCATTACAAAGTCACAAGAGGTAGAAATAGTTGACTTTGCAACATCAGTTGTTGTTTATCAAATGCTACCATCGTTCCTTCCACGCATGCCGCCAAAATTAAATGAGCGATGCATGGTGCAAGCAATAAACAGCATCAAGCAACAAACGACTCAAAAGACTCAAACGACCGAGTGGAAACCAATGTAATCTTTGGGTCGTTCGTGTCTTTCAGGAACGACTCTGACGACTCAAACGACCCAAACGACCAAGTGGGAACCAGGCTTTAAGGCGGGAAGACCTATTGTTCATATTAGCCAATCATTGAGGGGACAGACTGCCTTTAACAGGTCTACAGATCAATAGTCACTTGAATCAATGCTTGAGATCTATAGTCTCTTATATCTTCAAGTCTTTGTAATTACAAACGTGCATTTTTTCTCTCTATGTTATGGCCCCGGGGTAGACAGAGTTGATGCTCCCCGGGTATCGTCTTTGTAGTGTATGTGAAGTAGCGCGTAGTTCAGGTATTACAATAACTTGTTATGTAACTTTTTGGAATGTATAAAAAGTCAAAAATTTTATAGGTTTTCAAGTTATTCATGCTGTTTTCAATTTATTTCAATTTTTAGAGAATAGGATAGGTATTACAGTATATCAGGTATTACAGTAACTTTTTGGAGCTGCAATAGGATTCAGTATGGAAAATTGCTTGTTTTAAGGACTGATTTTCTCGTGGCTCACAACTATTTCAGTGCCTTTTCTTATGCAGGTAGTTAGGAGAGGAGATATAAATCAACAACACATAACAATTTTTTGGGGTTTTTAAAGAGAATTTGAGAAATTATGGCTCTTTTAGTTTACGCAGTTACGGGGGGAATATAGCAGTGGCCTGTCGTGTTTTTATGAGTTGAAATGTTTTTATGTGCTTCCAATTTTTATCTTCATATAAATTAGAAAGAACTTGTTGCGTTTATAATCTAATAATATAGACCAGTTTAGATATATAATTCTTAAATTTTTCTTTCTGTCGATTAGAACCTAATATGACATGAGTAGAAAAATGCAAATTTTTTAAGTCAAGTTTGTCAAATTGAAGAATTGAAATTTGATATGAATTAAACTTCTTTCTTCTTGATTAGTAATCTTTGTCATGAAAATGTACCCTAAAGGTATTTTATAGCTCTAAAGATACGCGGAGGGACGCATTGTGCTGAAGAATAATTACAAGCAACGGGTGTGGTTTTGAAATAGTCTAAAAATATCAATAATTATAGCAAATTAAAAAATCGGTTACTTTATTTAAATTCTGTTATTAATATCCAAGCATTGAATTATGACCTATTTCGGCTTTTTCTAGAATTAGGCTGTCATGTATTGTTTTAGTCAAGCTTTTAAATGTCCTAAGGGAATCAAAATTGTATTAAGTTCGAGTGATTGAATAAAAGATGAGTTGTTTACGCCAGAGCTTGGCTTGGCTTGGCGTGTGATCTATTCATAGGCCTAGATATTTCATAGTAGTTTCTGTAAACCAAGAAAGAAAAAGTAACTAAATCACATCTTTGTACTAACGTGTCAAGATAATAATGCATTGAGTGGCTAAAAATTGTTGCTGGATCCGTTCTAGAACCGATCAACCATTATTTTCTGGAATTTCGACGAGACAGAAAACACCACAGCAAGCACCGCGACTGTAAATGCTTGGAATTCGCAAATGACGGCTTATTTTTCCAATAATAACATCAATTCATAAATTTAAGTGCAATATAAGGCCACTCACCAAATTTCACATCGATATTAGAAAGAGAAGTGAACGAAATCAATCCTTACTTTTACCAAATTTATAAGGGCTCAGTATGGAGCAAGTTTCTTTTTGCCACTATTCAAAATGGCGGAAGTAAACAAATTTGCTTGTTGGAAAAGGAGGCTAGCTACGTAACCCACCAAACCAATGGGCTTCATTTCAACGCAACTGCTCCTGAACCATGATGATATTTTTTTCTGAAAAAAGTCTACTATGAATATAGTTTTGATTTTGTGGTTTTAAAATTCTAAGAATTTATAATTATCAGCAACTTTTCGATGCTTATTTTCGACATAATAAATGCAAAATGTTGTGAATTATGTTAATGCTAAGCAGTTGGGACACTTGCAAAATTCGCCGAGCATCAATAACACTAGACATTAAAAAGAAATTGGCTTCTACAAGCATTTTCTTTAAACTCTCTCCCCTCCCCCTAACCAAATATTGATTCTAGAATGGAGACATCCATGGTACCCTGAATCATAAGCCAATCTAATAGGGCAACGAGGAACAGTGTTTTACACACTTCAGTTTCCAATAGGCGATTATCTTTGTCTTACACAACATCATTGTTAGTTGAAAAAGCTTTAAATTAGCCATCTTCTAGCATTTGTTATGTTATCATTGTAATCAATGTCGTGGAATCAATCAAATTTAAATTTGAATCACATACATTTTAGAATAAGGACCAAAGTACAGTGCTTTCAAAGTGGAAAGCCTAGATATGTGTGGAGAAAAAACCAACCTGTAACAGATCCAGCTGACTAGCTAAGATTTTATGGTGCGTTTTCATGTCGTTTTTCTCAAAATCCAAAACTTCTAAAATTGATTTTTATAATGCCAAAATCACACTGCCAGTCGTATAGGGCCCTGAAAATATTGTTGGCCTAGGACCCTTAATCCAGCCCTGCATGTTTTATCTAAAAACATACTAAATAAGTTCTTATAACAATTGCTTTAAAGAAACTGCCCTACACCTACATCTACTCATGGATCATCATCTGCCATGATATGATGAAACCAACAATCTCATAACCTTGCAAAATTAAGAATTGCACATTTGTGGCCAATTAGAAATCTCTAATTCATACTAAAATTGATAAATTTCTACTTAATATAACATTTAAAATTTGATAATCTAAACTCCTTAGATAAGACACAAACACATAGCTTAATAAAGCAAAGTATTAAATTAGACATTTATCTAACATAATGCTATTTCAACTGTAAGAAAATACGGCATATATTTTTAACATATGTCTTTTTCAACTTAAAACGTCGTTAGAAACTCAATCAATTTTTCTTATAGAAGAAATGAATAAACAATAATTACAACTGGGGGGGGGGGGTTGCATGATTTTTATCCGTGAGCTTGCACGAATTTGAAATGGGGGGAAAGGGTAGAAAAAATAGGGGACCAAGGCTAGAAAAAGTAAGGGGTTAAGGCTTCTTGCCCCTTTTACTGCAGCTTTAAAACTTGCCCTTCCTTTTTACTTGTTTTGCAAAAAGGTGGGAGGCCATGGCAACATCGCCTCCCTCCTGTGGCGCTGGCCCTGTTTCATTTATCAGATTTTGAATTATTCATCAACATATATGCACAGTGCTTGTGAAATTACATTAAATCTTTCATTTCTGTATCAACAGCTAGGGTTTATACTAAAATTCTTTTTTGGTGGTTTGAAAAACAATGAACTTGCGAGCATATACGAGCAGAGACTTCTTGGCTAAATTTGAATTAAAGTTATCAATTTTATATAATGGGGTTCTTGAATTTATTAGATATTTAATTTTCTTGTACAAGACGGAAAATGAATGCATGAAATTTACTTTTACATACAATTGCATTTATTTCATCTAAACTGGAGAGACGTGTATATCTGAGTTCTCACAATGTTGATAAAAACCAGATCATATTATGTATCTTGTAACTATCACATTGTTTGATGTTCAAATCTTCTTATAATTTCTATCAATGATGAAAATGTTCCTATGACTGAAGTAAGAACACCAAAAACCAAAAGACAAACATTAGCAACCAACTGATATTTTGAAAGGCCTTCATTCCAGAAGCAAATGGTATGCAGCAAAGGAGGAAAGATGAACGTGATCAAGGCTCCAGAAAAACTGCCAATTAGGCCCATAACATTGTCAAGCTGAGGAACCAGAATCGCAAAAACGTCTGAAAAAGATCGTGTACTGTTATGTAAATTACTTCCAAAGAAAGAGAATGAATTTAAAATAAGCCGGGGTAGCCGGAATACTCATGACCGAAAAATTTTACAGATAGTTTACTTTCTAATCGGATTTGTTGAAAAAGTTTGGGTGAGGGATTTATCTTTGGGCCTGCTAATACAAAAAATTATATTTGTTAAACAGTTTAAACTGCTATGTTGCTCTGCGTCATATGTCACCAAACATTCTTTGCATCACTAAGGGCTGCACTGAATGTTGAGATAGAAATATATTACATAAAGGACATATTCGTTAGTTGAAAAATTTAAAAAACCTATCTGTTATATCATCAAACACTATACAATTTTCTTTGTTGCTTTAGTATGCAAAAATTGCCATTTCTATATTAAACGTTAGAGTAGATGTGATGAAAAGTAACTTGTTTATAAATTGTCAAACAGAAAAAACAGAATATAAGCTGACTTGCTGGAGATGATTCATATAAGTTGATTTATGCAAAAAGTGCCTTTTTTCCATCTCTTTCTATAATCGAACTGTTCCTAGGGTGGTTTCTTTACCAAATTTTCTAATTCATTTCAATGATATTTTGCAATTGTGATGAATAACAAATCTACAAAAACGGCCATAGAAGAACTTACAAGTTAAAATTGCCATCCCAGCGCGAATTCCGTATTCAGCATATTTTAAGCCTCTTTTACTTAAACTTTCTTCAAAGTACGAAACGGCAATGTCGACAGGCACAAGGAACTGGATTGGGTACGAGATCAATACTATCAGAATATACACAACGTCCAAATATGAGTACAGCCTAAAACACAAAGAAGCAAAAAGAATTTTATATAAACGTGGAAACAAATTAAGCATGTCATGTTGAAAAATTCATTCTACTTACAAATATGAACAATTTTTTTGCGGTACAGAATTTGAAAATGGCTTTGAAAAAAGTAAACATTTTACAACACACTAAAAGCTTTTTCGTCTGACACTCCTCAGAGCATAAAACGTCAGAATAAGGGTACGAAAGAACACGATGAAAAATATATTCCCAGTTGTGGATCGATATAGGCTAATCAGAAAAACGCAAGCACAAGACCGGTATAGTTGACCAATCTGTGCCGCGAGCCTAAAGAAAAATTAATTTTATTTACAAATATCTTAATTTTTCTTCAATGATGATAATTGGATAAAAGCTATTGTTTATTTCAAATTAGAGCGATAATTACAAAAGATTTGTCACTAGATAGTTGTATCGCAGACTGACTCACTTCTCTCAAATCCATCTGTATTTAGTATTTACTACAAAACCAATACTAACGGTAGCGTTCCTAAGTCACATATGAAAATAGAGTTTATAGAAAAATATTAATTAAATAAAGTAAAAGAACAATTCACTTACGGCTCACTAGGAAGGTTGAGAGCCACAGTCGGTTGGACGCTGTCACCAAAACAGAGATACCCCAGCACCCCAAAGGCAGAATACAAAACTATGACGATAGCCAGTGTTATAATAAGTATTTTTTGCAGACTGTCTTTTTTTCGCAAGTTCTTTTCCAATGAAGTTACCTAGAATAGTGTCAAATGCCATTCAAAATTCTTACTAATGAAGTGCCTGGAAAAGTGTAGTTGCTTCTTAATAATGTCAGAACGACAGCAATAAACTCCAGCGTATGACCTTGAATTCTAAACAATAAAAGTCAATTGCTTTCATTTCCCATAAAGACATTTTTAATGACATTTTTGCAAAATATTTCATTTATCTCTTTCCATTCGGTAACAAAAGACCTCTAAACATATGCAAAGAAACAAAAATTTAATATTGCCTTGAAATATTAATGATAATTGCCTCAACATTCGTTTTGTTTAATAAACGATTATTATAGCTATGTTTATGGGAAATAATTAATCTAAGCCTACTGCCAAGAATTTTAAACTTGAATTGCTCCTTTTCCCCCGTTTACTTATTGATGTGAATAAAAAAAAACTCACCATTCCTATTCCTTCATATCCATATAATATTTGACCAAATCCAACCATAAACACAGTAGGATTAGTCTGTTCTGAAGGAATTCTTTTTATATGTGTTACAAAATACTGCATCATTATCACTACTGCAACACCAACAGCAACATTTGCAAACATGGCAAAAACAGCGATTCTCTTGACATTTCGAATAAGTGCCAATGCTAGTATAAAAGGCATGCAAATGGTGGCAAGAACGATTTGTTCCATGCTGCCGATCAGCTGCAACACAATGAATAGCAGTGTAGCTTATTTCAAACAACGATTCTGAAGAAAAATCAAAGATATGACTATTTTCAAATCATTTTTGTATTTTGAGATGACTATTTCTCCTCACCTTGTGCATTGTTGATGCAATAAATATGATATACACAACGCAGAATCCAAGCTGCATAGTAGAAATTATGACATCAAGGAAAATTCTGGAAAGAAAAAATTTTTTACTTTCATTAAATGAGGACAAGAAGAGCTTATATTTCAGAAGGAAGACACGTTGCAGATGAGGCGGTTTGCCGGGTTCTATGTTCTATGAATTTCAAAATCATCAATTAGTAGTAACAAAGCAAAATGATGGGAATAAATCCAATATACGTAAATCCAACTTAACAAACCGAAATCTGAAACATCTGTGGTGAACCGTTCTCATTAGTATTCTGTTTATATGCATTTTCACGTCCTCTTATTGTTCACACATAATTACCATTGTTATAACGCATTTTAAATACTCTTTGTTGTTTCTAATTGCACTGCACATTAACTGATATCCATGGAAACAGTTTAGTTGATGTTAGTTTTGTTATGGGGTGTGATAGTTGAGTTCGTAAGGATCGAGGAATGAATGCCTTCGCTATCAATGTGAGCGAAGGACTAAAGCTGGTGGATAAGAAACATATCTTACTTTGAAAACCGTCCAACTATCTCGCTATGAAGAGAGAAGAGTTCCCTGGTTAACTGTCCATATGTTAGAGACGGAGCATCTATTCTGAAAATGAAAAAGATGCAGTTGAGGCCTTTGATATATAAATGGTTCATTGCAAATTTTCTCCTACGATTAGCAAAGTGGTTCTTTAAATAGCTAGGAGTTGGAGTGTGATTACCTTTCTTTTACTGCCCTAATTGTGCTTGCTAATATTACCATGCCATATTTGCATCCAAGTCCAACGGCCAGCAAAACGATTGGTGCTGCCTGTAAGAGCACAAAGGAAAAGAATATAGAAATGTTTGATTAACCGTGACAAATTTCAGGTAACAGTGCAGATGAAGAGGTCAGTTTCTCTAAATATGAATCTGCATATGAACCAGTTAAGAAGTGGGGAGCCCTTGTGAAACGTCAACACGTTCTGCATGCAGTCAATCGGTCAGCAGAGCATGGCCTGATATAAAGAGATTGAAAAATACCACAACGAAACAATGAAACGGGCCACATTATTTAGGATATGCTTATTGTTTTGCAGCTCCAAATATCTAGAGCTGTGAATTGAGGGTTATTATCTTGATTTCTATAGTGGACGCTCTACTAAAATAGGACCTATGGGTTAATGCCGAGTAAAACTCCAGTATGCATATTAATGTGCCCTGAATTACCTTCATTTCATTCTAGTGTTGACGAGCTAATAAAAAAACTTTCTGTGCCGGTGTAATATGCGTTTTGGTACCCTATGCAAATATGTAACATTGTAAAACGCAATGTGTTTCAAATCATGTGATTTCATCGTAGTGCGATATTGTGACTCGTTATAATTAACAAATTGAACACAATGTATTTTGAGTTTCAAATTTCACACTTTTCAATCAAGAAAACTTTGGAGTCGCCATTAATGTTGTACTTTTTTGAATAAACTTAACAAGGGAAATCACAGCACCGCTCCTTGTTAGTATATCCTTATTAGGAATAGTTCGATTGTTCTTTACATTCTGAACAATATGAACCAGAACATTTGTGTTCCCAGACCGATTCGCATGCTAAATTCCACCATTCGTTTTGATACCCTATTGCTAAAGTGCTTGGGTACGATTTTGCATAACCAAAATTGCCATGCGTTTGAGTACCCGGACCGAAATGCATAAAGTTACCGAAACGCATATGACACCGGCATAGCATCATACCATCAGAGACTCAGCAACTGAGGTATTCTTAACGAGTGTTCTCAATTGCTGAATATCTGATGTCCAGTAACTTTATAAATGAAGAACATAGGACTAAAAACAAATTCTTTGTCTCTTGGTCGGATAAACATGGAATCTCCCAGTGATTGCCAAGTTAACCTTCCCATTCTTAGTTTCAAGTAAGATTGCTGTTCTTATGAAGTAGAGCAGATAGGCAAATAGGGTTAAATTAATACTTACTTTAGCCTACAAGATCACTATTTACTCCTACCTTTGCAGTACCAGAACACTTAATATGAACTCTTTCATAGACTTTTTCTTTATTATGACGTATACAACGTGTCTTTACATATTTCTTTACATTCAGTTTCAACTCAAACTGCACTTACCACTAGCCCAGTGTGCCGTACAGCAGATGGCAGTCCTAGAACCCCAACGCCCACAAATGCTTTCATCAGATGCATGGATGCCTGCCAATTCCTAAGGTTTGAAGAATCTCATTTTAATTTGTATTAATCAACCTGGTTTTATGTAATAACGTGGAAAGATATTAATGCCAAATTAATAAGGTCGTCAACCAGTTACCAGGGGCATAAGCAGAATCTGATATCTGAAAAGAAATGGCTCCTAGGTTATGGAGCTCGCTTAAACTGTTTAGAGGATACTGTACTTAAACGAAGTGAAGGGTTATCGTGCCGTATGGGTCTTTCTTATCAACAGAGACGCTGACCAAAACGACATGAAATGAAACAGGTGTAAACAACTACAGATTTGACTCCAACTGCACTGGCATCGTCGATATTTCTTAAAAAGACTCCTACTGCACTTGTAAAATATGGAAAACTAACTGTGCAGCTTTTAGCTGTAAAAAATGAGAGAAAAGACTGTCCAGATAGAAGTGCCCATGAATGAACGAGGGAAGAAAAACCTGAATTAAAAAATATGTCTGCGCACTGTACGAGTGCCTTGGAAATCTTGGAAAGCAACAAATCTATCGGAGTCCATCGAGCAGCCTGCTATTATGACCTTTTCTTTATTTACACAATTTCAATGATATCAGAAAAAAATTCACTCTTCGGGGGTGACTAGCAATGGGGGGCACACCCCCTGTTCCCGGCAGGATCAATAATGTATTTCGTCTAATTTTGATAAGAAGATGTTGGGGAAGGGGTAATATTTTGGCAACGTCCTTTTTGTTATGCGATCCCATGATTTTGAAACTGCCTTTATGTAACCAGAAATTAGTCATGGGCAATCCTGTCAGATAAAACTAGCATTTCTTTATGGCAAAAGAGTACTTTCTGGCCTAAAAACTAAAAACAATGTTTAGAGAGAAACATCGTTCGGTAATTGGATGCTACAGTTTGCTAGTTTGTTTTGTCCTTAATCTTCTCCATCTCCTGTGAGACCTTTATTAACGTTACCATGATTAACAAAAGACTGCGAATCAGCCAGCATTTGGACAATCTTATTCTTATCTGTGGTTCACTTACTTACTCAGCGATATAGTAGTTCACAGACAACAGCTGCTCTTGGATGAAGGCCATAATAGAAAAATGGATCAAGGCGTCACTTAATATGAATAGAGCAGTTGCCTGAAGCCCCGGCCAAACCAGCGCAACATTTTGTCCAACAAATCCCAACAATGTTGGGTATAAATGTTGGGCCGGTTTGGCCACCCATGTTGGACGATGTTGGATGATGTTGGGTGATGTTGGACGAAGTTTGACTATGATCGAAAATGTTGGATGTTGTTGGACGATGTTGGGATGGTTTGGCCACCCTATCCAACAAAATCACGTTTGCGCAAGCGCAGAAAGGAAAAAGCTCGCCATTTGGATTTGTTTTGGTCGGGAAGCTGTGAATGCGACAAAAGAAAGGAAAACTCGGTTTATGAACCGCGGCAGTTTCCGTCAAACAAAGAAGACAATGAAAGAATGTGCTTTTGTCTTATTATGTTCTCAAATAACCCCCTTTCGTGTCTTCTCTTTATCTATTCTCTACTCTTGCTTCGCTTAACCATGCTTTTGCTTTCTTCATCATATGAATAAATTTCAAATACATCCTTATCGTTTTGATTGTAATCAAGTCCCAACGCCATGCTCAATCAATGAATTAGGTTAGGTCCTGTGAATGGTTGATGATAAATTGACAAATGTTGGATGAAATGTTGCGTTGGTCCAACATTTTTGCTTTGCATCCACCCCTGCATCCAACAATGTCCAACAATGCCCAAAAGTCGTCAACAATATTGGAATTTGTTGGACAAAATGTTGCAATGGTTTGGCCGGGGCTTAATGATAGCATTAAGCGAGAACCTCGGAACTGCAACTGAGAACCTCGCTTAGAACCGTCTTCTTTTTGCAACACAGCGTAGCATTGCATTCGAACAAACCTGTATGCGTGGCAGAAATTGCTCAAAAAATCCATCTCGGCAGCCTCACAAGATGGAACAAAAATACGGAATCATTTTGCTTAAGTTATTGTTAGAAAAAAATGAATGCAAAAGGTACAAAATACCAGAAGAATAAGTACTTTTTAGACTTGATTTTGACACGAAATTGGCTTTTCTCTTACCGAGAATTTCTAACAATGACAAAATTGATGCGCATGCAACTGGAAACCTTTGGCAATAAAGTATTAATTGATGATTGTTAAATTCTCACTCAAGGTTTCCTTCAATTTCTTCTGCCTTTTCTTCCTCCGAAGACTCGTCAACATCTTCCTTCGCATTGTCTCCTTGAGACATCAATGGTATGCTTTCAGACGATAAATTGTTGTTCGACATTTTAATGCTGCCAGGAATTCTTCAAACAATGCGGTAACTAACCTGGAAAAGCAATCAATATGTTAGTTAAAATGTCTTTCCGTAACTTAACCACACATAATAAGAGCCCGGGGGTGGTGCTCAGCACATAGACATACGGGGGGATCAGTCCGATATTTTTGAGTCAAATGCTTACCCAAAGTGACATTTTTGGGTTGAATATTTATCAGAAATGATATTTCTGGGTCCTGCAAAAACAATAGATACAATTCTGATATTTCTAGGTATCAAATTTAGAAACATTGATATTTTTGGGTTTTTATGAGATTTCCATATCTGAATCAAATGCTTCTGTAAATACTTCAAATTGAAATTTTAAAATTCTGAATTTTAAGATAGAAACACATAAAAGCAGCATGTAAAATTACTTATCTTACGTCCACACCAAAAAAGAATGTGTCAGGCCCTTTTGTCGGCAAAAGGCAATACTGTACCCTAGTGCTTCCACTGGGGGGGGGGGGGGATTCATTCTTTTTGGGAATATCGGCCGATTTGGAAGGAAAAAAGAAGGAATTTGAATTAGAAGGAACTTGGAAGGATTTTCTAAGAAACTGAGAGGAAATGGTCGAAATGCGTTTAAAAAAATGAAAAGGTGCATTCTTAGTCAGTGAGAGGTTTAGGCAAATTTTGGCCCTTGAACTGATTTGTCAAATTTAAACAGCGTTATGTTGTTTTAGTTTAGTACTTTGGTTTTAATTAGTCTTTTGTAGCAATTTTTTACACATCAATAAAAAGAAATAAAGAAATGAAAAGAATGGAATCTCCCCCTTATAATTTATAACTTTCGTAGGGTTGTTATGACATTGCAAAAAGCTGTTTTTAAATGCTTGAGTTTGGATCACATAAACTGAAAGATCTCTTAATAAGCAAAATCAGTAAACATTGCTAACAACTGGCTGTGATATGGCAATCTGAGCACAAGCTCTGTCCCCATCAAGTCACTGTAATTTTGTATCCGCTCTAAACTCGATGAACCATGCCAAACAACAGCCTATAGCAAACTTGCAAAACTTAATAACTTTTTGTTCATGCCTCGCCAATTTTGTAACACTAAGACGTTGGAGCAGACGCCTCGTTCTTTTTTACAAGATAGTCAACGATATTACCCCTGACTACACAAGATACCCTATTCCACAATTACCACAAGCTGTGTATTCTTTTCGTAATGCAGATGTAGTTGGGCAGATAAGGGCAAGAACGACAAGATTCAAGAACAGCTTTTATCCCGATTGTCTCTCTGAATGGAACACACTTGACCCAGAGATTAGGTTATCACCCTCACTAAATATTTTTAAAACAAAATTATCAAAACTTATCCGACCCATTCCTAAACTAGTTGACGGTATTCATGATCCTAAAGGTCTAGCTATTCTTACTCAGTTACGGGTAGGACTGAGCAAACTAACTTATCATAAATATAGACATAACTTTAGAGATACATTCAACCCTTTGTGTCCCGCAAATGATGGGGTAGAGGACACGGAACATTTCCTGCTGCTCTGTCATTCGTATAACCGGTCTAGATCTGATCTTCTCAGTAGTGTGAATGCAATATTGCTCCCTCGTGGTTTTTCACCTCTTTAAAATGAAGCTTTAGCCAAATTCATTTTGTATGGTGACGAGCGACTTACCATTGACTCAAATAAGAAGCTACTTCAGGCAACACTCAAATTCATTCATGCTTCAGAACGCTTTTAAATATTCCATTGCTGCACACTTCTATACATTAGCATCTACTTTTTGTCGGTTTATTCTGTATTCGTAATTAATCTACCTAGTTTTAGTAATCTTTCTTTCTATCCTTGTTTAATGTTGTGTTTTTATGTATCGGCCATGGGGTAGTCTTTCGCTCCTCATGGTATCGTCCCCGTAGTGTAGTACAGTAATTAATGTAGTATAGTCAATGTAAAATTGTATTGTTATTAATTTCTATGAATAAAAAAAAAATTTGTAAAATTATCCGAAATATTTTTAAGGCGTCACATTTAAGAACTCAGTTTTCGCCGCCCGCCATTCCTAAATATTTCGAAAGTTTCAAAAATTTTGAAACTAGACAAGGAAAAAGTTTCCAAACTAGACAGGGGAAAAGATTCGAAAAAGTTTTCTGAATGAAAACATCCATTTTTAGAGTTTTTCACATTCAAGTAGCCGAACTTTCAAGGCACACAATGATACAAAATTGGAAACTAACAGAAATTTTGAAAATGGAAAAAACCCCATGTAAACGAAGGTTTCCATAATTACTTTATCAAAACTTTTAGTTGATGTCTGAAAATCTGAAAACCTATTAAGCCGACTATCGTAAATTTGCGGTTGTTGTTGCATGTCTCATTTACAATATTGCATGGCACATCCATGTATCCCTGTATGATTTACCGGATTACACTGTGGTTTTACGAGTGTACCTTGCAAGTTCGATCAGAAAAATCCCGCTTTCTACGGACTTGCAATTCCTCTACATAAAGGTACGAAAAAGCTATGCTGTACCCAAGGAATCAATCAAATTGCTCAAAAATTTGCACACGGCTGGGACAGATGTCGAGGCAAAGGGTGTCCCAAAATTTTTGCATTTGCTCTGGTCCGTCTTTTATAGCCAAATAAGCCTATGAGAGGAAAGATTTTGTTTGCCAATTTTTAACAGGGTATAGTTGCAAGGGAAGGAGAAATCTGATTCCGTTAATAGTTTTGCTTTCAGGGAGAGAAAACCAAAGCTCGTGTCAGAAACATTTACCGTACCCTTAATCAAAGCTCGTGTGTTCAAAGCAACTTAAGGAACAATTGTGGGGAATCCAATGTCGCTTTTGTTTGAATGTCTATTTCCTGTGTCACACTGAATAGATTCACGAACAAGGTGCGTCTCACGCTATGAGAAGGTACGTTCCTCTTGCTTAGGCCCGTAGTTTTTCTCCACAAAAGACCAGCAATGCGTCGTGTTTGTATTCATCAAATTTCGCAAGAATAGATTCTCAACTAAAAACCGAATCCCTACAGCAAGCTACTCTACCCCTATATACTTTTCAACAAGAAATTTCTAGAATATACTCATAGAATAAAGAAGAAATTTCTGTACAACATCACATGTGCAGTAATACAATCTGGAATAAGCAAGTTACAGCATATTACGTAAGGCTAATTCTAGAAGTTTCGACAATTATTTTAATCAACTTGTCTAGAGTGTTCTACTTGCAAGCGCAATTAAGAATTTACTCAAAAGGTCCAGTTCACCACACAATTTTTTGAGTTAGGTGAAAGCAAATAAAACAGACGAGGGTCATTAAATCCAATAAATCATGTGAAAGGGAAATTGGAAGGAATTTTCGTACATTTTCGAAGGAATTTTGCGTAAATTTAATTTTTTTCTGAAAATCAGTTGAGCAGAAAGTGGAAGCACTTACCCCTCCGAAAAAACATTTTAGCTTCGCACCTGTTGCCCGACCACCTTTTCAGTGGTGGATTGACTTCCGGGAATGACTGTTATCCAAACACCCAGTATCGTTAGACCACCAGCACAAAACAATATTTGACGAATTTAGTTCGTTATTTTGCTAAGCGAGATCTCTGCCATCCTTTAAAAGTACACAATAAACTGACTTTACCGGTCTATGAACACACCATAATACGTCAAACAATCCCTGAAATTCCACGTTGACCGCATTTTTTATTCGAACAGAAACCGATGGGAAAAAAACTTTGGAGCTATAAAAAATTTATGTTAACAAAAAGATTTGCAGGAAATGATTATACCATTCGATTCAGCACTGCTAGCTTTATACAAAAATGTAACAAATGGATTTTATGAAGTTTGCAGCACTCATTTTCAGGCAATTACTCACAGATCACGTGCGAATATTCACGCACGACAAAGTTTGTTTCCTGAATTCTCGCATCGAAAATACGCCGATCTTTTGATTCTCCAGTTCTTGGTTGCCAGCATGACTACAAGTTCCACAATGCAAAACGCAAAGTCGCATCAATGGCGCATTTCATGACGAGCCAACAGTCTCGGGGGGTAAACTATGCCTAATTTTTGATGGGGACATGCCATTTTGGTTAAAATTTTGGATCCATCATTCCGCAATTGTTTGAAAAAATGTGGCCCAAAATTCCGCAAACATGATGAAAAATATACCCATAATTCCGCAAAGCAAATAAGATTTTTAAAGCACAACAAAATCATCAAACAATTATTGCATGTCCTTCGCCTTAAAATCTCAATATTACACATATTTCATCCTTTCATTTCTAACTGGACATTCATTTTGTTAGCTAAATCCCCCTCCAAATAGTTTTGCAATATTTTCAAAAAATGGTACCCATAATTCTGTATTTTCCTTCAAATGGTGACCATTGTTCCGTACATTTTGCAAAACTTGACACCGTTTCAGATAAAAGGTACCTCTAAATAATTTCACGTCCCCGTACCTTCAAACATGTTAAGATAGCCCCCCCCCCTCCCCGAGTCGTACCAAATCTTGTCTGTCTATATTGCGAAGGAGACAGAAAACCTCAATTTGGGTCCAGGGCTTCGGGATACATGGTGACAAGGTCTCACCATATTTAGCATTTCCGGGATCTCTTCGCATTACGCCCTCGTTAGAAGCCCGAGGCATTGCGCTCTCTTGAGTATTGATAGTTACATATAATCATATATATACGAGCCGCCAGTATTATTCCCTTTTTTAGCAATTAAGGGCAAATCAGACCACTAAACTTTGTGCGATATGAACTCGACCGGAGAAATCCTGAAAAGTGCGTTGTGAAGGAGCACAGAGGTAGATTTGATTGTGCTTGTTTATGCGATTTTTGTCTTAAATGCCTCAGAAATTTAAAGGAAATTTGTCCATATAAAAGGACTGCGTATACCCAACTTGCCAAGCCACTTATCAAGATAACGGCTTGCGATTGGTTAGTATTCTTGCGATGCAAAACTGCTCACATGAAAAGCTAACCTCACAGCAGGGTAGATAAACAGAACGACCGTAATGGCTGGGCGATGACATGAAAAATCACATGTTACTGAAAACTCCCGCAGAGCCGCTAGCTACCTTTAACCACTGGAGTGGAAATGGTTAGAACTATGGTTAGCAGCGAAGACCTCAGAGAAGGATAAGCAATTATTGTCCATAGAAATCAAAATTACCAAAAGTTTGCTTTAAGCTCTTTGTCTTACAAAGTTATATAGTTGATTATATGCACCCGACAATCTTCCTCCGACTGGCCTATCGGCCCTTCGAAGGGATGTTTTGAATTAAATAGGCTGACAATTAAGATGATTTGCACGCAAACTGATAGTTTTCCCTGATAAACATTCAGCTTTTGTCATATTTTCATATATACTTAGTTTCCAAGTAATATAGAAAATTCCTAGACTTAAACGAAAACTTGCTAATTCTGAAAACAAAGAGGATTTTTGAATAATAGTTTATAAAAGTATCAATGAAAGCTTTACTGAAGGTCATTGTCAGCTACATTATTTTTATAGTTTGAAAGAAGTTACAATTGTTTTAGATATTTTTCGACGCTCCTGATTTTTTCCAAGATCTTAATATTCTCTGAAACACAAATCAATTTTCCTTAAATATCTTTTTCAAAATTTGCGTTTTATGGCTTGAACTGGAAGCAATTTCAATTGACGATGCTTGTGCCATTGGTTATTCAAAGTCTGCAATCCAGCGCCTCAAAAGAGCGCAAATTTTTTATATGGGTCAATTCTGCCTTAAACCAGTTCGTAGTTCTCAAATTGTTAAACGTGTTAGGCGGTAGCCTCTTATTCGACTTCAGTCTTTAAGTATTATTTGTTTATCTATATTTTTCGTCTGATCGAAGAACTTCCTGAAGATCGCTTTTTGAGATACAGTGGAACGTTTAGGCCTAATTTTTCGGCGTATTAACTTTCTCCATCAAGTCAGCTTTGGGAATACTTCCTCTGAGAGGCACACCTCCTTCTTTCAAATGATTCCTCAATATTGCAAATTTCCATTTACTTGCTTCTTCTACAATTTGAGAATCTATATTGAACAATGAAGTAAGCAAAGTTAGCGAAGTCATCCCAGAATACGACAGGCTTCAAAATGGCGTCCGTATTGAGAAGCAGGTCTGATGACATTTTCTAACACAAGGCTTGGCTTCATATCCATCGTGTGTCCTTAAGGAAAATTAAGCTGGTCAGTTGCTAACAAAACAACCTTGAACAGAAAGTCGGTATCGCTGATGTCCTTAAATCTTAATAGCGAATAACCAGCTTACTACTAACCAGCTACTAACTATTCTATTCACCTTAAACAAACTTTTAACAAATTGGACAACAAAAAGGCATAAACAATATTCATTTCTAAACGTAGATCTTTACCAGATGAATTTTATAACAAAAAGGAAAGACTACGAAAATTTGTCTCCTAAATCCTTCTGGTTTGATAGTTGTCGGACCACTTATATCGTGGGACAACAGTCGCAATCATCCCAATTGCGTTGGTCTTATTAGGATGCATAACCCTTCAGAGAACTTGGCAGAACTCAGCAAAGAATTCCGTGTTGCCTACGTTGCTCGCTTCTTCTAACTTTAGGAAACAATTCATTCAACTTAAAAATATGGTTAGAAACAAACAGAAATGAAGTGTCTTAAGATTTGCTTTTTGGCTATGCAGGAGTCCCTGATTTCTTCTTGCAGAACTTTGGGTCTAGTTAAAAAGGGGAATTTTGAACAGGCCACGATGTATTGGATTGTTTGTGGGTAGAAATTTGGCTACAGTTAAAAGGGAAACGTTTAGAGCGCGCAAGAATATTTTGGATTGTTTGCGAACTGTTGATTTTAAGAGGCGTGAAGCTCTTTCCTACACTCACTGAAGAGGTTATTGGAATAACTTTTTGAATTGATAGGTCAAGTTACTGAACTCCGAAAGAAAGGACAAAAGGGCACACCAAGAGTGGGGAACCCTGAGTTGTAGATTGATCGTTCTTCAAATCCGATGAGGTGGAGAAAAAGAGGAATTTCGATAAATCCAACGAAGAGGTTTCAACTTTAAAAAGCAGTAAGAGAAAAAATTAATTCAATGTTTTAATGTTTTAACGCAGTATTTTAACAAGATTTATTTCGAACGATGAAGCAGCAAATTTCAGACTCATAGTAAATAACAGACATGGTTGTTTTTTTTATTTTTGCAATTGCGAAAATCAAAGCGATAATGTTTGTTTCTTAGTTTAAGCTTGTATGCAGGTGGTTGCAGCAGAGAAGTTAACAGTTGAGAAATGGCTTAAGTCCTTCTCCAGTCAAAAGGCAACGATGAAAGTTATTGCTGTTTGCCAATGTATTTTCAAAAGCAAGGAATAGTGATGAGCCAAAATTGCAAGGTTTCTATGTCCTTGAATTGCAAGCCAAAGTCAACTGACCTCTTAGTTTAGTTGTTTAGTATCGAAATATTTGCCTTGTGCTGCCATGGGAAACGCGACAGAGACTCACCTGCTTTTGATCTACATGTTTGCATATGGGCCTATCTGAAGATATAGGCCCACTAAAATGCTACCGTTAGCGCAAAAAAACGAAAATACTGTGCTGCTTTCTCAGTTTTCTCGCATTAGGAATTTCTTGCGAAAGAATAACATGCCTTATACATTTTAATAGATTAAGATACCTTGCGCAAACACCAAACACAGCTGGAACATGAATATAATGACATTAGCGCTAATCTTGTTAAGAAATACGCAAAGTTTCGCGAAATCGAAGCAACATAAACCTATTAATCTATAATTTATTCCTGAAGGAAAAATTACAATCACTGTATGATAATCTAATATATAAGGCACTTGGCAAAAGAGATAATTTAAAATCATAAATCTTAGCAACTGAACATTTTGTTGAAATTTAATTCGTGTGTCCTTTAGGTAGGAGGCAATCGAATCCCTTTAATAAGCAAAGGTGAAGACAAAGGTGTTGAAGATCAGAGAATATCGTCGAAGCATCCTGTAAAGTTTGAGCAGGGAAACTTTGGTGAAGAATTTCACAAGATCGATTTTTTAAATCAGCTGGATAAGGCCAATCTGATCCGTGTAACTCCACTACTAATTCAAGTTATTAAACACAGAAAAAGGTTATATGAAGTGGTTGTTTGTTTTGCATGCGATACAAGCAATTAAATAACAGTTTTTAAAAAGAATCTGTAGCTTATACTTATACAAATCTATAGCGAATCCATAAAAATTTATACAACTTTAGAAACATAGCAGGTTTATAAGCATAATTTACCTTGGGTAGACAGAAGCTCTAAGTTTGCCACTTCCAATGTAAAGTTCTTGGTATCACTTGTTTATTAGTACGAAAATACGAGCTGGTTGATTGTAGATATCTCGAATCATGTTGGGGCCGCTTCTATCGATCTAGCCATCTTTTGGCCTAGATTTCCTCCTCAATACTGCCTCAACCAAAACTTTGATTTTAATGTGAATCAATACAGCAAGTTACGGTAAGGCGTGGATCAACCTCATTAATAATTCAAGATTAAGTGGAATGAGTAAAAAACAGCTTTGGAATAGCATCACAAATAAATCTATTGTCAAATAACACACGTTTCATAAAGCATCGGGTGTCCAGAGGGCAAGCGAAGAGCTGGTGTCAGAGCACATGGCAGAAACTTCTCTCAGAAAGTCTCTTTTTCATTGTTATTGTCCTTTCATTCTGTCTAACAGGCACTAAAAGGTTGAAAATAGCCTCTGAATGTCTGGTGATAATTAGACAGCTTCAGGAATAGAAAAAAATCTCAGAACTACAAAAAGCTTATACTGTAAAGTCCAGAGTTTTTTGCAAACACATGACTTGCAATGCTGAAATTCGCAACGGTAAAGAGCTGTCTTAGTTTTTAGTCGTATTGGAAAAAGGAGAAAAACTTCATAAAGAGCATTTGCTAAAATTGCGGAAAACCGATCTTAAAAAATATGTTTGAAGAATTATGTGAATATCAACCATGTGAATCACAGGCACCCACTCATTTTCCATCTCAACATAAATACAATCCACAAATACAAGCCAAAACTCGACAAGCCCCTTCACCAATCACGGATTACACCATAATTCATTCTCAAACATTAGATAACACAAACAAATTGCCCAATCCATATAAAAAAGCCTTCCCCACAATCATACTCTGAACCATTCTATCCAATATCCGATAAATCTATAACAAACTCAAATCATTTTCAATCCTTAACAAAGTCACAAAAGCAAGTCAAACCTATCCATATCTCATATCAAAATAAACCTTATTCAACCCGGAACAACACAGCATCCAATCTAATACTGTATCAAGCACGAAAGACACTGCAATCTCACAGAAAAGAGCTGGTCTACATCAAAGGAGACTCTATGACTTAAAACCTAGAAGGCCATAGAATGTCAAGAAGAATATTTATAAAGACCAATTCGATATCTGGAGCGACATCCGAAGATGCTAAACAATATGTTAAACCTGTCTTAACAAGAAACCCTGATGGAATCATAATACATTTTGGCACTAACGATATTGCATCAAAATCTAAAACAATAGACAACTACCGGAAAATCATCAACAAAATTCAACATAGCGGTCAGCATCAGTTCTTTCATAATGAGAGGAGATAGCGATCAAATGAACAAGGATATTCAAATCATGAATGATGAGCTCTACAAGCTAAGCCGAGAACATAAACTGGATTTTATAAACAACAATAACATTACTATTGATAGCTTGAACAGTAGCAGACTCCATCTAAATAGACAAGGGAACATACTTCTTGCGAGAAACATAATTAATTATCTGCAGTAAACATGAAAAGTGGGTAAGATAATGCACAGTTGAACCATGATTCATGTCCTTATAGTCAAAAAGCTAATCATTCATTTATAACCCACGGAGAATATGATGATTTAAACGAGGAAATTCAAAATAAACAGAGCTCTATCGAAATAATAGATAGCGCTTTAAATGAAGTAACTAATTTCAGTTCAAGAATTAAAAAACTTAAAAAGACAATTATAGAACACATTAACATAATTTCTATTCCTAATAAACTTTCTTGTATAATGGAAATCATAAAAGGAAGTTTAGATATTTTTCTTACCTCAGAAACAAAAGTAGACGAATCCTTCACAACTTCTGAGTTTTTTGCTGAGGGGTTTAGGAATCCCTTTGGACGCGACAAAAAAATTAGACCTGGAGGATTACTACTTTATGTAAATGAAAACATTCCAGATAAAGAACTAAGTAATCTCAATCCAGCAAATGATATAGAAACCATTTCCTTTGAGGCTAGTTTTAAAAAACAAAAATGGATAATTATTTGAATCAGTCAGCCTTCAAACCAAAATGACAAACCAAAACCAATTAGGTAACTTATTGGATTTCTATTCACGAAGCTATGAAAGAATTCTAATACTTGGGGACTTTAACATGGAACCTGGTTCGTCTAACATAGAAAATTTTATGGGAAACTATGATCTATATAATCTGATGAAAGAGCCAACATGCTACAAAAGTAATCCACCAAAATGCTATGACTTGATCTTAACAAACAAGAAATACAGCTATATAAATACAGATACATATGAGACAGGTTTGTCTGACCACCATAAGCTAACCTATACTGTACTAAAAACTGAATTCGTAAAATCTGAACCCACTTCTATTTCATACAGATGCTATAAAACTTTTTGTACCGATCAGTTTAACGATGATCTTCAATTTAATTTAGCTAAAATACCTAAAGAAAATGTATCGTATGATGTTTTCAATCAAACTCTGATTTCAATTCTCGATAAACATGCCGCTCGGAAGAAAAAATTAGTGAGAGCAAGTAATGCGCCATTCATGAATAAAGATATAAGAAAATTGATAATGCTGAGATCTTAGGCAAAAAGAGAGTTCAACAAAAATAAAACCGGCTCTAATAGGGAGAAGTACAAAAAACTCATAAATAAATGTGTTAAGACGATAGACGCTCTAAAAGAAGATATTTCGAAAATTTAGGAAGGATATTTTGTGAAGGATAATAAAAAATTCGTAAAACTATCAAGCCTTTATTAAATGATAAAAATGTAAAATCAAATAAAAACATACTGATAGAGCGCGATAGAATCCTGTCTGACAGCAAAATAGTTGCACAGACGTTGAACAATCACTTTGTAAATATTACTGAAAACCTCAATATAGCCCGACCTTTATCTGATAATGTGCAACAGACGTCTGACGAAGGGACAGCCTCGTCACTATTAGATCAACTGAAATGCTTTGAAAACCACCGTAGTATTTTAAAAATCAAGGAAACGTTTAATCAATTTCCTAAGTTTAACTTTGAAAATATAATTTCCAAGGAGGTAAGAGAGATAATTTACAACCTAAAGGAAGACAAATCAACAGGAGCCGATAACATCTCCCCAAAAGTTCGTAAAATAGCAATAAGCTAAAATATTCAATCGATGTTTTTCTGATAAAACATTTCTCTTTCTTATGAAACTGGCTAATGTGTGCCCTATTTTCACAAAAGGAGATTCAACTAGTAAAGAGAATTAAAGATCAAGAAGTGTGCTCCCCTCAGCTTCAAAGATATTTGAGAGAGTAATGTTCAATCAAATCTACAATTACTCAGTGTTAAACTGTTCCCTTTGCTTTGTGGATTCAGAAAAGGTTAAAGCACACAACACGCTTTATCACGACTTATTGAAGGCTTGCAAAAGTGCCTGGATAAGAAAGATGTGGCTGGTGCAGTGCTTATGGATTTATCAAAAGCATTTGATTGTTTACCCCCATATACCTCTACTAGCCAAATTGACTTTTATGGCTTCAGCGATAACGCAATGGAATTTATGCATAGCTATCTAGATAAAAGAGTACAACAAGTAAAAACATAAACTCAGATTTTAATGATTGGAGTTCTTCAAGGATCAATCTTAGGCCCGTTGCTTTTCAATATTTACATAAATGATATTTTTCTGCATTTGAACAAAAGCAACTTATGCAACTATGCAGATGATAATACAATTTGGCTGTCAAGTACTGATATGAATGAACCAACTGATGACTTAGAATTGGAAGCAGCTATTCTTAATAAATGGTTTTATGAAATTTTTTTGGTGCTAAATGGCGATAAAAGCAAGCTTATAACATTTAAAGCCAATCGATCCAATTTAGAGGAATCTAAAATTCAAATAAATGGTTCTACTATAATAGAAAGTAAGAATGTTTAACTTTTGGAAGTAACATTAGACCATCAACTTAGATTAGAAGAACATATTAAAGTTTTTTGTAAAGAAGCTGGGAAAAAGGTAAACGCTCTAGCCAGGATTGCTTCGTATATGGACGGATCTAAGCAAATTTTTTAATGAAAACGTTCATATTATCATATTTCAATTATTGTCCTCTTATTTGGATGTTTTGCAGTAGGAAAAGTAATAATCGAATAAACCGGATTCATGAAAGAGCAATGAGAATAGCTCATGATGATGTGAATCAACTTTTGAACAACTTTTAATAAAGAATAAAACAATAACTTCTCATAAGAAAAATTTACAATATCTTGCGATAAAAATTTACAAAACATTTAACGGATTGAATCCACCTTTTATGGATGAAATATTTTCCATAAATAAATGCCCATATTACTTAAGAAACTCCCAATTCAAAACAGCGGAGCCACATTACAAAATATATGGATTTAATACCGTATCATAAAGATGTAGCCAAATATGGAACTCAATTCCAAATGAGATAAAGTACTCCCCTACTTTATCAATATTCAAGAAAAAAATCTCAGAATTTACATCGTTTAATTGTACTTGTAATCTTTGCAGGGAATACGTTAGCAACATCGGTTATATTTGATTTACATTATGTTTAGCGTTGGCAATTCAAATCAGTTGGTTTTAATTAGCTTGAGTATGCATAGCTAGAAATTGTACCAATTTTTAATAAAGAAAGAAAGAAAGAAAGAAAGAAAGAGAAGAAGCAATAAGTGTGCTTTCAAAACGTTGTTGGCAGACATAAAGAAAAAAAATTCTTTTCTATTTCTTCCTTTCCTCCTTATCCTCTTCTCTTCACTTATAAGTCTTTGTCCCGTTGTTGGGTTAGTTTAGGAGTCTCCTACAGGGTAAGAGTTTCCTTAGTCAGTGTTTGAAGGGTGTAAACATTTTCATTTTTTGTGGCGGGGTAAAGAACTTAGCCAGTTTTTTCCCTGGAATCAAACACTGACCATAAAATTGCGTCATTGCTCAGGCAAGACAAGGGCTGATGCACCAAAAGCCCAAAATGTTTTTTGCTGAGATTAGGGTGTTGTTTATCATAACTAAGGGGTCCCCGCGATGGAATTAATCTTAGTTATTACTCATTGACAAGCTATTTTTCAAACTCGCCCAGAGTGTACAATCTTCTTTTAATCGTTTGAAAATAATTCATCCTTTCTTGAGCATTTTCTGTACACTTTTGTTTTTTTTAATAATTGCGGCAATATATTTACCATACTACGTTGGCATTTTGTACGTTGGTTCTGCTAGCATTTCCTTATCTTAATGCTATGGCTTGAGTAAAATAGGTTCGTTTCTACATGTGTTTACAGCTAACGCCGAAATATTGTTAAGATAATTCCTGAACCAGAACTCCTTACTTTGCTGGCTGTTCTGGTTCAACCTTTACCTAGGCAAAGTCTCAGTGATCTCTGTGCGTTTATGTGCGACCCCGGTTTTGAGAAATTTCAAATATACTGAAATAAAAAAAGCGGTTGTTCATGTGGATCTTTTACAGTAATAAATATGTCATGTAAACTCTCCCTATTGATGCAATCTGACATAAATTATCACCAAAAATTCGTTCTCTCTACCTTACCTACCGGAAGCGAAAGAAAGCGGCACCCCTTCTGGAAATCTTCTGTTCCAGTCTGTCACAATCTGAATTGAAATATAAATTCAATGTTTAACAGGCAACTTCTATACGAATTATAAGAAAAAGGAAACAGGTCTGACTTGGAAACTGATCATGAAAGCAAATTCATTCATCTGAAATTTTTTTATCATGCACAATTTCACATTCTTATTTACAGATAAAATTACAATAAATGAGATGGATGTTTAGGAATAATGAAATTCAAGAGAGCCGGTCATCGTTGGGTTGATCTTTAACTGTATCTTGATCTGACAAGGCATCTGGAAAAAGAAGAAAACAAAGAAGTTGGACGAGCAAACACGCGGAAGGGCAAACACGCGGAAGGGCAAACACGCGGGCAGATAAAAGGCAACAGGAGCACAGAAAACGGAAGACTCTAAGCAAAAGGAGCACGAGAGTTGTTTGCATGGTAAATATAGTTTATCATAAAGATTCCTGCGAAATTATTACAAAACAGTGAATCCAAACAACTGGGTATCTTACGCCTAGCTGAACAAATTTACCAAGGCCATAAACCAGACATAAACTTAAGCTACAACAGAGAGGTAACATGATTCTGTTTGACTTGGCTGCTCTAAAAAATGATCATTTGTTTGCTTTAAGCAATTTACCTAAATATAGAAGAACAACTTACCTTGGTCCTTTCCTTCCTGAGACATTGAGCTCGAAAACGGTCTAAAACATAGATTAGAAGCTTCTTCATATAAGCATCATAATCATGATGATAATTACTTACACTTGATGATGTATTTTGAACAAATAAAACACCAGGCAGCTATATTGACAAACTCAGTAAAATCTTCAACGTTTGTGAACAATATTTCACCAGAAAGATGGCAGCATAGATACTATCTATTATCATCAAGCTTATCAAGCGGAGGTGCTTATCAAACGGAGGTCATTATTAAAATGCATTATCAAAGAGAGGTTGTACAAGATAAGATTCAGATTGCAGATTCTCTACCTTATTAGTAATTATACACGGCAGTCCCTATTAAAATCGTTGCTAAGAGCTGGCTTTTCGAATCGTTGCTTTAGGAAAGAGCTTTTTAAATCCCAAATTGATTTTAGATCATAATGTCCAAGCCACCTGAGAATTTTGGCAATTTGCTACCTAATAAAAAATAAAGATATATTGCTGTTTATTTTGATTTTTATAGACAGAAAACGGCAAGATGGCGAAAGCAGAGACATCAGTAAATCAAACAAAATTCGTCAGTCAACAATCCTTTGAAGACCTGCAGCTTTCAGGGATTATTCACCTTCTGTTGACATCCTCCTCTTCGTGATCCTCCCCAAATGGCGCCAAAGTAACGGCATTAAAGCCAATCATAGACTCACCAATAATACCAATCCTTCGAAAGAAGCCCGAGTATTAATCCAAACAACTGCACAACATCAGAATATTACTGCTTACAGTCTATATCAGCTTACTAGCAATTTCCTTCGGCCAATAAAACTTCATGTAATCTGATCAAGAATTGTCTCATCTTAAAACAGTTTTAGCAGTTTACAGAATCATTTTATTAATAAATTATTTAAACCTTCACTATTTTGATAACATTTACATGTTTCTGGAGCTTATATAAAACTTTTTATTACCCCGATAACTGAAATACTTGGAGAAGTAAAAATACCTACTTATCTGCCTTCAGTTGTTTAAAGTTTGGCAGGCCAAAAATTTGTATGAAGAATTTCAAAAGATGCGCAAAAATATGAATGAACATCAAAAACTATTGTGCAAAAACATCAGCAATTAATTACGTAAAAGCTCACTTTAAAGGAACAGTTGCTGAAATATCTTCTTGTTCTCGCATCTCTCTGTGGAAAAAGAAGTTTTCGAGAAGGCTTACACCTCACGATTTAATATAATTGTAAATACAACGTTTCGTAAGGCTGATCTAGATAAAATGCTTGTTTGGAAGAATAATGAAAGTAGGAAGCTCATTTCTAGAAAATCAGATAATAATACTGAAATAACGAAATAACTAAGTGACGAAATAATAACAGCGAGAAATAAAAAAATGAAAATGATGAAGGCAAAAAACTTAGTGAGATGCTTGACACGTTTAAAAAACCAAAAACACAGCTATGATAAAGAATAAATGCATAGAGCTTGCGTCATTCTCACCCTAGACTCGCGAGTAATCCTTTTCGTCTGTCGAGCAACCAGGGTGACACTTCTTTGGATGTCGGTAACAAAGATACCAAAACTGGAGATCTCTGACTGTCAAATAATGGCAGATTTGAATAGTTTTATATTGCGAAAAGCAAAAAACTAAATGTTACCTACATTCAACAGTTCATTTTTTTATTTTGCTATAAAACAAAGACTCAAATCTCTCACCAACAAACATGGTCAAATCTTAAAGTTTTGAAAAGTATTTGACTGGATGACCCTGTTCAGCAAGCAGCGAATTACATTTTAAAAAGCCCAAGGTGCTAACTTCGACATAGATCAAAAACTGAAAGAGTAGGCAAGTTTTCACTTGCCTGTCGAGCCCACCATTCGGTTAACAACACATAAGGCAAAGTCCTGTAGATACGTTGTTGAACAGAAAACAAATGATACGGTTACTACTGGCTAGAAAACTAGAAAAAGAAGGACTTTGGCGAGGATTTAACTCTGGGAGCAGAAAGGGCGAACATCATTCATCGACTGAAACAAGATACTTTTTGGCTGCTTTCTGTTTTAAAAAAACAGCTCACAATGATAAGTAAACAATTGCATACATGCGTAGGGTATTACAATAAAGCTAGCAGGGAAAGCTATAAGGTAGCAAGGATACAAAGTTACATAAAAATGGAAGCCGTGTAATAAGAAGAGCATCGTGTTACCTAGCTAAGCAATGCGCTTTAAAATAAAATCATAAGCGAGGATAGATAAGGTTTTGATGCTAGGTTTTCTTATCAAAATCTCCAATCCGAACTTTTGACAGGTCTAGCCTAGGCGATCGATATAGTCTGATCAGCCGATAAGAGCAAATTACTTTTTTAATCCACCCAGTCAAGATAGAGGATAAATGTATGAGCAGCGCATGTGGAAAATCGATCAAACTCGGTTGAATCGGACGCATTCGTCCAAATGCAGAATCACAATATGATATAATAAAAAAATTGATAAAATAATCTTTGTGAAATACGAGGAATAAGAGCTGTATACTCTGGGCCTTTCAATATTCGTCTCTCGAGATAATTATCTCGAGGGCTATATGTAATGGTATTAAGAGTCGGATGGCACTGCAGCCTTGAGTTTATCACCAATAGCTCTAATGGACATAAGTTTAAGAGCTATAATAAACAAAATCAGTCACATTGAATGTTTGACCCAAAGGACTGACTCATAAGTGTTATGGTAGCACTTATACTCATAAGTGTTGTGGTAGCACTTATACTCAATAAGTGTTGTGGCAGCACTTATAAATTTGAAACATTTCATTTTGAAAAACTGTTTTTATTTATGAAGTTTACGTGAATGATGTTCGTTTACGTTCCTAGCACAATCTTAAGTATTTACACAATCAATATAAAATAAAGTAGAAAATCATTGAAAAACCCTTACTTGATGATCGATTGAATGGCTGGTCGCTTCCTGGAAAAGGAGAACGCAAAACAAATGATAAAGATATCGGAGACCAGTTGCGTTTTTTTCTGCTATCCAACCGTACCTTCGCATTTACCAAACTTGTGAACAATGTCACATTGCATTTACCTCTTCTAAGAACTGCATGTTGCAAATGATTTAGGAATATTGATGGATAATTTTCATTTGCACTATAAAAAACGATTCTACCCGGCAGTACATAAAGTAACGTAACGTGACAGCATGTCTGGGTCATCAGAGCATGGTACTCTGTGATGGTACTTGGGATGTCAAGAGGTTGTCCTTAATCAAACTATCACAGTAAGACCCATACTTATTGGAATTAAAAATATCAGAAGAACTAGAATAAACTTAAAACATGAATCCCCGGAAGATTAACTGCTATGTACAAAGGTTACTGTACATAACTGCAAATTTCAACTACAGCATATATTTTCATATTTAGTGCTAATGTTATTAGCAAGTAAGGATTCATGGAAAACAATTTTAAGTAAGGGAAATACTAAAATAATTGAAATATAAATAGCAAAAACAAGCCTTTGAAAAGCTTCTCCTGCAAACAGGAAGGAGCATATTAAAGCTAAAAACTAAACTGAAACTAAACTTTTGTTCAAATTTGTGCCGTTCAAATGTTATCAGCATTTATTGTGAATCGTCTAGGTTTATTGTGAATACTTCATGAATCACAAACAAGCTATACATTTTCCTGCAACCAAGAAAAATCAGTAGCAACTATGCCAAAAAAGAAAAAAGTTACATACTGTCGATGCCTCGCGGAATACGGTGCCAGGTTAAAGTCAGGATCGTCTTCTTTCGTCAAATCCGAAGCAAGTTTGAAGTCTGCAATAATCAAGTTTATACGAACTTGATAGTCAAAATCATGGAAAACTCAGAAGACGAAATAAAGAATATAACAGAGAAAAATGCAGTGAAATAAAAATAACACGTGCTTGAACAGCTTCAATTTATAATAACGATCAATGTAAGTAAATTGTACCAGGAAAATTTTTTTTAGATAAATAACGATGTTTCGAGCATAGCCCGTTATTCGTTAAACAACAAAAAATTGTATCTGAAAACAGGATTCTTTGTAAAAAGTAGAATACTTCTGTGCTTCTAATTAAGTTACAAACAAACAATTCCTATTTAAATTTCATTCATTTATCACATGTAACTTATGCCCGGAAAACTAGCAGAAAAAACCATAGCATTGAAACTAACTACTGCAGTATCGATACATATATCTTTTTTTTCTAATTTAAGTCATTCTGATACACAGATCAGTAGAAACTCTCTGTATGAGCTAACCAGAGGTTTCCATTGGCCTGCCTGCAGGGTTGAACGTTTCTGATCTGAATTGCCTAGAATAAATAAGCAGAATTGATAAAAAACCACAAAACACAGATGGCTTATCGAAACTGATATGGCTTATCGAAACAAATAAAACTAATAAATTGGAGCAATGAAAGTCTGCCAATCTCTTTGCTTAGTGACTAAAGGCAATGAAAATTGTTTATTTATTAAGGAAACATCAATAGATGTAACATGCTTGTACATATGTTGGATAATTTACCATGTTTCAGCTTTTAAGTTGCATTACCATAGCTAACTATTCAGATAAACAAACCTTCCTATCTCCTGCGTTATCAACTCGAGGTCTCTTCTGCGAAAGCAAACCCAAACTGCATAGCTACAGAAAGTATACAGCGTCTAAAACCAATAAAGATAGACTAAAGCATGCGTTTGGGGCTTGGGTGAACAGGACGCGACGTCCTATCGCTGTATAACAAAACACGAAACCTACATCAACACTTTTGGCAGTACAGGAAACACCAAATAAGGCAGGTTGCTAAAATAGGCAGCACAAGTGCTGATGTGGAAATTGATTAGAACCCATCTGTGGTCATCCTCTCTTCCTCGTGAAAATTTTTATTGAGTTTGTTCAATTCATTAACTTCGCTTACGCACAAATATGTAGTACAATACACTTTGTATTTTGACTGCACGTTTTGGTCAATTGTTGCTTCAAACATTCAAACAGCAGAAAAGAGGAGAGGGTTGTCTGGAATGCAAAGAAACAGAAACAGGCCCGCTGGTGCAGCCTGATAGTGGCATTGAATTCGTGGCATTGAATTCGCTGGAGGAAACATCTTAGAGCTGTGATAAATGCCACAGCACGTACAATTTTGTTTATAATTGACATCTGGTAAACTGCAACCGACTGATAAACTACATTTATCAACTGAAAATTAACAACATTGAATATTAGTATTTCGTTACAATCCAGGTAGTCAAAATAATCGACTTTTTGTTAAAAGAAAAGCAAAACAAAAATAAAAGGATAACAACGTGAAACGTTTGTTAAAGATTCATATCACGAATTAAGAATTGGGACGACAATCTAGCAGTACAAAAAGTAATGAAGAATTTGTAACATGGTTAAAAATTAATGAGAATGTCTATTATATAAATTAATTTGATTTTCTCTATAGAAACGTTAGAAATTCAAACTGAAAGATTAAGCGTGTTTTGTAAATATTGAAATCTAAAATAGATTAGTTGACTTTATTTAAAAATATCGAATATGTGCGGAAAGCTTTAATTTAATCATTATCTAATGGATATTTAGAAAACATCATCATAAGGCGCGCGATCGTCAATACATGCGCCAACAAATCCGGGGCTCGTTTTCTACTAAATACTATTACCAATTATTCGTAAAGTAAAGCGTTTCACCGTTTTTTTCATTTCACACATGTCATCAGAAAAACGATTGATTTATCAACTGATTAAGTTACTCAAACATCAATTCTTTAATTTATTCATCGATTAATTAATTATTTCATTCATTCGATACTAATGGAAAGCTACGAAACAAATTGAAGGATAGGCCGGAAATCGCGCTGCAATGCAACCGACAGGTCACTGGTGAGTTGAAAACAAACGGGGAGTTCTGATCAGGATGAACCTGTAGAGAAACTTTTAGACTTTGATTTGATTAAAAATAGAGAAAGAGAACGAAATGTTTAACGTACTTCATACATCGATCTGTCTTTGTAAGTGTTGGATTTTCTTTGTCTGAAGAAGAGGGGCGTTGTTTGACAATAGCTCCATCAAAGACGCAAATTCAACATTCAAAAGCGAATTATTGTTCGTAAAAAATGTCTAATATATATCTAAAACAAATCAAATGAAACATTGAAATTGAATAAATACTGGCTACCGAAACCATAAATAGCAGGAGCTAGGTCCTTCCACGGTTCGTTTGCAGAAGTTCATAATTTCCTGTTCAGTTCGTACGATATTATTTTATATGTAGCTACCCTTCCTCAACTGACATAAAACTCATTCATCTATTTTACTTTTTGCGAATTATCGCTCTTTACGAAATTGCAATTAAACCAAAATCTAACTTAACAAGAGCTCGATTTTCTCTTCATTTGACAAAGAGTCGCGTCGGAGCCAAAGCCTTAATTAAGCATAAATTGTTTGAATTTTCAAAAAAATCTTTTTTAATGAGCATTAATTAGGTCGAATATACAAAGAGCTTTTCGAAATTCTGAAAGCAGAGTAAAAACTCATCCCCCCTCCCCCCTCCACGTTATTAGCACCCTCCTTCGGCAACTTGCCTTCCCTTACACACTGGCGAAGCCTGCCCTCCAGTGCCGCGGCTTGACAATGTGGCTGAGGAGGCAACTATATTCGTTGATTTTTAAACAGTCCATAATTATCTGAAATTATAACTGAAGATATCTTCAAAGTATGCTCAACAGAATAGACAAGAACGTATAGAATTTTACAGCATCATTCAAATAACCTGCAATGCAGTTATTTAAACAAGGATATTAAAACTGGGAAGCTCAAATTGACTTGTGCTCCTAAAATATTCAAATGCCATCAGAAACTGTCCTAAGCTTAGTCATTATCGACCATAAACCCTCAGTCGTTTTTATTAAAGCCAAACTGACTTGTTTTCACCCTGTAAGCATTCTTCCGACTTCCATCTTTCTTGTCCTGTTTTTGTTAGCAATAAATGCCACTTTTTAAAAACAAGTCATACTCACTTTCCACACGCCATGTGATGCTGATCTTGGGTGCCAAGGCCTAGAATCAGCGTGCAGTATTTGCTTGCAAGGAGCTTCTGAGCGGCATTCTGCTTTGCGATGACCAGAGACATTGCTTGTTTTTCTGCTGCGCTTGGTTCCCTGCAACGAAAGCATGATGCATTCATTACCTTTTGCATATTGATGGACTTTTTAAATGGACTGAAAATCGTATGGTGGACAACCTACAGTAGTCAAAATGAATATATAAGGTAAACAGCGAGTGGTAATGAAGTAATAAGGAAAGTCTTGGGGTATTCCCAACATAAATAGACGATCGAATCTAGGAATCGATTGACTCTGAATCTGAATCTGAAATTTATCTTTTTATTTGGCAACACTTTTACTGGTTACGTCTTTGAGGTCAAACAAGAAAATGTTAAGAAGAGCAGGAACAGAGTTTAAAACAGGAGAATAAGTAGAAGATGAACATGAAGAACAAGAAGAAGAAAGGTAAGAAGCAGAAAGGTAAGAAGAAGATGAGTTAAAAGAAGAAGACGAAGGAGAAGAAAGAAGAAAATATGGTAACGAAGAAGGAAAAATGTAATGAAAAGATGATAACAAGAGCGAGGAAGAAAGAACAGCTTCATTCCCAGATTTTTTAATCAACTTTTACAATCAAAGAACAAATCATAACAATTAAAGCGCCACTGACATTAAAATTAAAATAATTCACAAATTCATTCATTACATTTTATTGTAGAGTTGGCAGTGTTGAATCGAATGGGGGTGATTATATCCTGTATATCTTTTCGTTAACATAACTATTTAAAGCTCAAAAGAACTGGCTTTCGTCAGCTTTTCGTTCGAAAAAACGTGACCGGAGAGGATTTTCAGGAATTTGTGACGAATCGCAAAAGTTTAATGAAAGATGAAAATAAATAGCGTCGATTGTGGGTACAAATCATAAGAAGACACAGGGCCCAGACTGACAGCCAAAGGCTGCCACATCTATGGACTGTGCAATATTGATAAATATCCTGTTCACAGTTTCACCAGAATCTGGAAATAATTTATTCAACCCTCTAAAATTATACAATTAGCTCAAATTGTCGACGGTTCAAGCCTTGCGCGACATGCACCATTTTATCTACGTCCTGTTTGGTTTCGTGCATATTTTTTTTCCAGGATTTTTCATGCAAAATTTCAATGGTTTCATTGCATAAATTATTTTCATAAATTGTTAACTTGACCAAGCCCTTTGACAGGATATTTATCACAATTGCACAGTCCACAAATGTGGCAGCATCAATTCGTCGTCTTCGTCCGCCCTGTGACACAAAATACGTTACTCACAAAATTCATAACAACACAAATCAAGTTTTAAATAGATGTTGAAGGGTCTTACGGAAGTAAATAAGGGGGAAACAGACATTCAAGATCGTTCAAGGTGGATTTTCGCAAAAAAAAAAACAGATAAAAACAAGGAGGACCTCAAAATATATTATGCACATAACATCAATTTTAGCAACTCAACAAAGTTTCAGTCGATTCGGAATAGTTTTACAAATGTATTTTGGGGGTTTTTAATGTCTTCAGACAGAAGTTTTCCACGGAGCTTGTTGTTCAATAGGAAGTTCGATTTTTGTAGTTTTTCGCTTTAAATTAGTGAACAGAGTAGTTTTTTATGTCGTTTTGAGTCAGTTTAGTCTTGCCTTGGCTCTAATGTTGGGGATCAGTTCAAATCAGGTTGTGATGTTCCATGTCGAATTTATGGGAACATTCAGACAGCGTCAAAAACATTCTTGAAGTTTCTGTATGTTGGCTGTAATGTGTGTCTCATTTACAAAAAAGTAAATAAATCAACAGAAAATCGATCCAGGTATTTCATTCTGAAATAATTTTTTTTGTTTTTATCCTAATAGAAAAAAGGTTCACCTGTTCCCTAGTAATCAGAGGATCATTCTGATTGGACTGTGACATCATTTCCACATTCCCGTCTTCAAAACTCGTTCTGTCACTTATGATACGACTTTCTCATCGTTAGATGAACTATTGAATCTAAAAATTCCTATCCGACCTTAGATTGATACACATTTTATAGGTTCCTTTGGGATTTCATAACTGTCAACCATAGAATAACACACACAAAACCATTTGCAAAATTTTTAATTTTAATGTCAGTGGCATTTTAACTAAGATTTCCTTCTCATCAATATTCCAACCAAACAGGATATTAGTTGCTGAAATGTAATTCAGTAAAACTACTAGCTGTCCGTTTCTTGGGAAGCTGCTAACAAAATTTGTATGTTACAATATGTTTCGCAATTATATGTTGTTGAAAATATTTTCTAGAGATCAAGTAGCGTATTGAATCTAGAAATTTTTGAACCTTCGTCCTTTGACTTGGAATTGCTAAATGCTGATGCCCTGAATTGAAACTGCGGTGAACTTTTTCATAAATCAAAAAAAGAATAAAGGCTTAGGTAGCGGCAGATTGTGACTCACGTGGCCATGGGCTTGGGTTTGTTTTCCAGGTTTTGTCGCTCAAAGTATGCTTCAAAGTAGTAAAGAAGTGTGGTCAAGAAGCTGTCCAATTGATCTGTACTGAAAAATCATAAAAACTATCTATGTCAACCTGCATCAATAAATCATATACTTTACTTTCTATATTATTTTATCTTTTGTCTAGGATAGATGAATGAAAAAATTCTCTAACAGAGCAAGAATTAACTAACAAGACAATCATGAACAAGCAGCATTAAAATATAACTGGATAGCAAGCAATTTATACATAAACGTCTTAAAGATGGAATACACATTTAAAAATATATGTACATCAGGAAATTCCCAATGAATGGGCAGTACATTTGCATGCATTTGCTAGCTTACTTTGCTTTTATTTATCAAACTGATGCTTACTTTCACTTTTCAGAAAACTAGAGTAAGACAGTTTTTGGGAGGCACTACTATTCCTACACAAAGTTGTAACTCTAGCATACTGTCTATTGGTCTAATGCACAGAGCAATTGACTAGAGTGCTAAGTTTCAAAGTTTGACTACAGGGAGGACCCATGATATATAGATGCTTGTTTTCTGTTTACCAAAGCTGCTCATTGTGTCATGTGACAACAGCAAGAAGTTTTGGGGCAGAAAGGAAAGGAACTTGCAACCCACAAAACTTTGCAGTTGACACAGGACCTATTCATATGGAAGGCCACACGGAAGAGATGTTATTTCTGCAAGGTGTCTTACTTTGTATGCATCTCTTTTAAAACTAAAGATATATTTTGGCTAATTAAATATTAACAACATACCCAAAACAGTCTTGAAAAGCATTTGGTACCTTGGTAACTTCATCTGAGAGAAGATCATATGCAACATCTGAAAAACACAGCATGCAATTTTTAAACAGAAATACATTGGAAGCTATTAAAAAATCTTCCACATTGAAGATTTTTATATTATTTGTAGTATCTAAAACACCAGCTGTTTCATTTATGCTTCAAAACATTTGTGACATAACCTTGCCAATATTACAAAGACCCAAGATGCACCAAACAAGATTTCAGGAAGAACTTCTGACACACTTAATCTCTAATTGTTCATAGAGAAAAGGGATTAAGCTTGTTAGTAAAAAATGCTGATTCTCTGGTGTGGCTAACCAAATTGCCACTGAACTAAATTCACTAATCCTTCAAAGATTCTGTTGTCCTGCAGGACCAGCTCTGGAAAATGGAAATGATTAGCAATTAATGCATTTTTCTGGTGCCACACAAAACCCAAAGCCAAACCATTCTTTGTTTTAAACCACAATGCATTAGCCTAACAGCAAACAACCACTTCACACACAAACTGCAGTGCCAACTGCATTATCTTTGTCAAACATGAGAAAGTATTCCCGGTTTTCTACTTTGACAAAGATAATGAGTTTTATGTCAAAAATCAGTGCGGCTAGGACCAAAGTAATAAACAAAGACTGAAATTCAATGTGCCTGACATTAAATTTTGACTTTATCTGATAGGTAATGCCCTAGATTACTTACTTTTGACATCATGAAGGGTAATTGATCTGTTATCATTGCGATTGACCTTTGTACTTGGTCTTGGTGAAGTGGCATTTTTCATCTTGTTACCTATTAAAGTTGGATTTGATTTTGGCATTCTAAAAACAAAAATGTTATGATTTTCTAAGTAATAGTTTGCAAAAATAGAAGTTAATCAAATGTCTGTCAAACAGTGCAGTTGCATAATCTACAAGTAATGGTTGTTTGCCACAATGCAAAAACTAGAGAAAGAACAAAATTAATCTAAAAATGAAGATACACAGTTTAAAATGAGTACATGCTTTTGTCTTTGGAACACAATGAGTAACAGTTGATCCATCAAGTTCCAGAGTTAATGAGATCACTATTTATCACAGAAAACTGAGTAAGAATCTTATAGAACAATCGTATTATCCATCACTGATTTGTGTGTTTGTTGTTGTTTATTTCGTTGCATTGCGGTGTTCATTAGACACTACTAAGAATCTTATATCTAGGTATTTTTAGTTCTTAATATAAATTGTCCAGAAAAACCATTCTATAAAATTCATATCAAAATATTCTAGGTTTCTTTTGCAAAGTAAGTTAAATCACTATTCAAAGGTTGGCTATTTTTTAATTGAAATTGCCAAAGCTCTATAAGCAGTATTTTTTCTCAAAAGTGGCTAGAATTGGCTTAATATAGTGAAATCACATTCTACTTACCTAATAAAACAACGTTGTTGCAAATAATTGTAGCAATAGTATTTTGCAAAAATATTTTCACTTAAATCATAGCATAAAAAGATGACATAACACAATCTAATGATATGCCAAGAGCTCCATCAAGAACGATGACAAATTAAATAAAAACACAAAGATTCATGCGAGAACAACAACACACATGTTAATAAAACAAACTTGTTTTTGCCATTCTAAAAATTAAAAGACAATAACATGCACTTACTTTTGTGTCATTTTCTGTACATCAGGGAATCTAACATTATTAACTCCCTTGCTGCCTTTACCCTTTGAAAGTTTAATTGCATTCTTTTCACCTGAACTAACACCAGTGCTAGAGTAAATAAAAAATCTAGTTGCTTAAGCTAAAAAAACAAATAGCCTCGAAAAAATCAAAATAAACATCATTGCAAATAGAAAAATCCTGTAAAAGTCAAAATAAATACAAAATAAAATAACTGGATTCTGAAACACACATACCTAACAGCTTCCAAAGCTAATCCATTCCAAATCCAACGTTTGGAAAGAGTATTTGGATCTGGTAGTACATTTGGAAACTGAAATAGAATATCAGATGCTCAAAAGTCTATCGTTGCTCAAACTTTTTCATTTAAATTCACAAAAATCACAGAATTGCATGCAGCCTATTTAGCACAATAACAAGATAATTTGCAGTTGGGATTCACAATTTGCAAATAGGCAGCTTCTATCCTTAAGTCAAGGTGCTCTCTTAAAACCAAGACATGACAACAGTTGCATGACAAACAGACAATTTCACTCTTTTTTATATTTACTCTTTTTAACTTTTTTAATTTAACTCTTTATTAGATAGAGACAATGTTACTCTTTTTGTTAGTCTTCTGTTATCATTTCTTTATGATTAACACCGCTTTCACTCTGGCAATAGCCAAAACTGCTTACCTATATTTTTGCTTGGATTTGTTGTTGAACCAACAATCAAATGCAACTTTTTTGTGGAAATCAATAAACTGGAGTGTTAGGTGAAAACGTTATTAATCTTGCTTCTGAGTCAGTTTTCCTTCTTATTCTTTAAATGCTCCAGATTAGCTGTAAAGCCTTTAGGAGTAAACGATTGAAGATTGAAGAAACAGCCAGATTCTGTTTCTCTTATTATAATAATTCCCTTTTCGGCTTTATTTAATTTTAAATCTTGAAAAATCCTCATTAAAAAATTGGGTCCCTCCACAACATTAGTAGAAAGCTATAGCAGCAAACCAACAAAAGCATTAGCATCATTTAACCTATCAGTTCACGTAAGCATGGTCCCTGCTGCAGGAATTTTCGGCATCCTAGTACCCTTTTATAATCACACAAAAGCATACCTCTTCCTCCATTGACTCTGTATTGTACCTAGCCATCTTTCAACTATTCTAAGACCGCCATTCCCTGAATAACCAATTATCAGACCATGATTGACTTGTTAATAATGATATCTAGTTTTACGCCAGTGCTGATTTTCACTGTTCTCTGCCTACTGTTACCAAGGGACTCTAAACATCAGAGGTTCATTTCTAAATTGCCTCGTCTTCAATGAAGTCTGTCCTCGCACCCACCCCCTCCAGGCCAGCAATGGCCAGCACGCATCACAAGGCCCTCCAAAGATGCAAAGTATACTATACCTATGACACTTAGCAAAAGGATGTTCATTTTAACAAATTCTAGCAAGCTGAATGCATCTGTGCTTATATCTCACTTTATCAAATAATATCTGTAGCAATTTTTGCAGAAAATCATTTTTGGGATAAGAGTTTAGACTGGTTTAGATGCCTTTCAAACGGGAAGCAATTTGTTTTTGTAAATGAATCTAAACACCATTCTCTAAATATAACTTCGGAGGTGCCCCAAGGCTCCGTACTTGGCTCTCTTTTTTTTCTCATTAACATAAGTGATTTGCCGAATTCTTCCTCCAAACAATTTTTCCATTTGTTTGCATATGACTCTAGCATTTACTTTGAAGCCGAAAACAAAGACTTGCTTCAGAAGTAGTTTACAAAGAATTAAAAGAGAATAAAACATGGCTTGATGTGAACAAGCTGTCGTTAAACATTGATAAAACTGGCATTGTTGTTTTTAAGTCTCCAGACATTCCTCTGAAAATGTAACCATAAAAGTTGGAAAGCAAGCCATAAGACAAACTAAGTATGTTAAAAATTCCTTGGTATATTTTTAGATGAGCATCTGAATTGAAAATATAGTTTGCTTAAACTTTCCAAAAAAACTAGAAAGAGTTGTTGCATGTTTTTTAAAATACGTCAGTTCTTGGCAACCGATGTTTTGATTTGTGTATATGATTCTTTATTTTCCTCTTTTCTTTAATATGGCACCATAGTATTGGGCGTTACATATGATTCATACATCAAACCAGTTTATTTGCTCATTTTTGACTTTTCCCAAATTAACTATACTTCCCCTTCTTATGTCTATAATTCTTTATGCCAGTGGTAACGTTCCATTAATATCGCACTCGACAGTCGTCAAAGATTGACAATTTCTTAGCAAAGAAAACCACGTCGCTATATGGTGTTAGGTCAGTACAGTATTGTGGTGCGAAAGCATGAAACAGCATTCTAGTAAACATCAAGGGATCAAGTTCTATCTACAGCTTTCGAAAAAATCTCAGAACACTTTTCTTCGCCAATAATTATCAAAAATAATCATTGGAAAGTGCTCCTGGGGTTGGATGGGTATTTTTCATCTGGTTCATCGAAAAGCTTGAAACCCGCAGTGATAACAAATTTCTTCATTTGTTGCACATTTGTCATTAGTCCTCAATATTCAGATAAATTTCGAGTCTTTTCTACAACAGGGGACGCGCTTACTTCGATTAGTTGATCTATTGAGAGGGCCCCCTCTTTAAGAATTTCTTTGCATGCTATTATTTCGTCTACTATCTTTTTCTTATAACATTGTTATAATATGTGTTTATATTTATTTACACTTATTTAGTTCATTTTTAAACTTTTTGCGTGATGCTTAATTTTAGAATTATAAACTAGTAATTGTCTACCAATAGAGAAACTTTTCAAATAATGTAGCATTTCAGGGTTGATGAGAAATTGGTAATCTAGAACTTTCATATTATAATTTGATCTTGCTTATGAGTACGATATTGAAATTCCTAACCCAACAGAAATCTTGCAGATATCTTGAGCAACCTCTGCCTAAAATGTTGCCTGCTTAGTATTTACTGCTATATAATATACAAAAAGTCATTTTGGTTTGTATTAGTTATATGCCAAAAAGGAATAATTCCTCAATTAAAGGTCTCACATGCGCTTTGAATAGCTTTCAAGTCCCATTGGCAGAAAAACCAGAAATCCGGAATGGACAATCAGGATCATGCTTCTTTGTTTGTCTTCTACTTTTAAAAAATGAACATGATCGGGGCCTACCACTTCAACCGAAAGAAAAAATTCAAGAGGCTGCTGAGGCTTCGTAAGTTAAATTAAAGACATCAAGTTTTATCCCCACAGTAACACATAGTCAAGGTTGTTTTTTGGGCAGCAGCCACAAGATCTACAAAATGAGATCTGTAAGTTTATTGCTGCTTTTTCATGCTTTGGGCGTCACCTTCTCCGATGGTAAGTCAAAGAACATAACTCTGTATTATATTCAGACATCTAGTTACTATAAAATATTCCAATCTCTTAGTTGGTCTGTGATTTTAGCTAAAGAACAGTTTTACTTAAAAGTAGCAAGATAATCATGGCAAGCAGAAATAATTCCACGGCATTTCAAATATTTTCTGCAGAAACGTTTTCAACCTGTTTTAAAAGAGGTCATCAGATATCTTGTTTCTTGCCCTCATTAAAGCACGGCTTGAGTAAGACATTGGCATTCTTAAGGAATGTGTATTTTTGAGATGGAATCTAGCGATCATTCATTGCTTGAGAAATTAATCGGAAGAAAACAATGAAAAAACAGCTTGACAACGAAATTAAAAAAAGAAATAGAAAGTGAATGGGCATAAGACTAATGTCTTAAACAATCAAGTTGCTCGCAAGGAAAACGAAGCAGTCTTGGTTTGGTACAGCATTAAGCCCAATCTCCAGTGCGAAAAAGTCTTGCGATATTTCGCTGCGAAATACTTCACGCGACAAATTCCTTTGAATGCTTTTGTTGACCTCACGACATTGGAATGTTAAGTTTGGAACCGTGACAAAAGAATACGGAATATGATTGGCTGTTGAAGGATTTCGCAAGCGAAAAGCGAAAAAGTTAAACTCATTGTAACTTTTTTTCGCAGAGAAATTCTTCGCGAGAAATCCCACCAAAAGATCACTGCGCATGCCTAAGACGTATTTCGCGCGAACTTTTTCGCATTTCGCAGTTTTTTTTCTCACTGGAGATTGGGCTTTAGAGACTTGCTTTTAATTTGTGCAGTTCATCATAAGGTGCTGTTTTCAATTAGAGACAGACAGACTCTATTGCTAACCAGACGCAAACACTATGTATCACTTGCACAAACCCATCCACGAAAGCCAGCTAATGAATACCTCTAATGAAAAAATAAAGGAACATGCAGCATAGAGATTTTGCCCTGCTATCAATAAAGAATCTTCACACCTGTAATGCTGTATCTAGATTAGATGTTTTTGGAATATTTAACATCAAAGGTGGCGTAATAAACACAGCAAGCTGTATCCAACTAGAAAAGTCAATTTTAAAGCCTTAGATAAGCTTGTAATTATTGTTTATGTATGCAGAAAATGATCTAAATATTTAAAGAAATTTCTTTTTGCAATGGACAAAATAATATCTCCTATATTGGCAATGAACAGCACTCCTCTGACGTCTTTTGAAGCCAATCAAATGATTGATTGGATAATTTCGGATGGTTTAACTTTTGATTGTAATGGATATCTTTTATATAATTTAACCACGAAGAGCCTTTTGCCATCATTTCTTTTGAGACATTTAAAAATAAATTTATGTATGCATTTCATCTTTTAGATAAGTCCAATTTTTGTTTATTTTCTTTCCTAAATAGACTGCGTCGATTTGAGTTCTTCCTGTGATATTTTCAAACGCGAAGGCTACTGCGATGAGAAGATCAGTGACTGGATGAGAACGAGCTGTAAGAAGACGTGCGAAGTCTGCGAAACCGATGGAGGCAATGGAAATGGAAATGGAAATAGTGGAGGTAACTTCCAGATAAACGAAAAAATTATTCGGTCTAAAGTTTCCATTTGATAAAGAAATTCATTAAGAAATCGAAATAAAAATTCAAAATTTTAGACTTTTGCTATAAAACAATCTCTTTCTTAGTAACACATTTTTGGTGTGTATTTAAAGTGTACCTTAGAATGACATTCTTCTTTTTGGGTTTTGTAATGCGAAGTGATTTTCTAACCCTAAATTGCAAATGAACCAGTCTAAGAATTTTTTACTATGCAATAGGCCAATGTGGAAAATCGGCCGTTCAACAGTCACGCATAATTGCTGGTTATGATGCTAAGCCAGGGGCATGGCCTTGGATGGCCTCGTTGATAATGCTGTCTCGGTCCCATATTTGTGGAGGATCTCTGCTAAATACGAGATGGGTTTTGACAGCCAGCCACTGTGTCGTTGGAACGGGGGCGGACAAAAACAATCTGGTGATCAAATTGGGAGAGCATGATCACTTGAATTCAGATGGATCTGAACAGGTACAAATAAAGTATTGGGCGTTTAGTTAAGTTAAATATAGACGAAATCTAACAAATCGGGATAGGCAAGGTAAAAAATGCAATAATGCAGTAATATCAAGAGTTTTATTTTCATTCTTGCTATGATTTGCTTTTTAATACGTTACGAAAATGGCCCAGCTGGTATAATAGTCTCATTTCGTCGCATATTTTGGCTTGCATAAAAATGTTGTTAAATATATCAACTAGGAGGCTACTTAATAGTTTGGTAATCAATTTGTTCGTGCTCAAGGAAAAAGGATGAAGTCAAAAGGGGCTTCAAGCAGCTCATCAGCACTGTATCAATAGAATCTATCAGGAATCATATGATTTTTATATTCAACCCATCCCCCATAGAGCAACACTAACTGTCTATTCACTTCAAACTGTATGCAAGAACAAAAGAATCCAGAGTCCTGCAGTTGGTCATACCAGTCATCGTTGACTCTAGCGATCGTTTCCTATGCATCTTGCACTTTATCATTTTTCTATACATCTTAATGAACTCCTTTTCAGACAATCTCCGTTGAAAAGATAATCCCCCATCCACAATTCCGACGAAATATCCTTCAAAATGATATTGCACTGATCAAATTGAAAACACCAGCAAAACTCACTAAACGTGTGCAGACAATCTGCTTGCCCAAAAAAGGCTCAAGGCCAAGAATAGGATCTCGAAAATGTTACTTATCAGGTGGGTATTGCTTAATTAGATATCATTTCTGAATTGACTGAGTTAGGGAAATTAACAACGTTTTGTCTATAATAGGGAACTATAATACAAAGAATATATTCATAAGTACAGATTTACAAAAGACTATGAATAGATACCGCATTTTCTAAGGGAAAAGTGATGCTTTTTTCTGCAGGTTGGGGATCGATCAAACATCCAGGTGGAAGTTACCACAAGCTGCAGCAGGCAATGTTGCCAGTAGTTTCAGAATCTAATTGTTTTAACAGATCGGATTTCATTTGCACTGGTTTTGGCAAATCAAGTCTTACCAATGCATGCAGGGGCGACAGTGGTGGACCATTTTTTTGCCCGAAGAGTGACGGAAGCTGGGAACAACATGGCGTTACCAGCTTTGTTGTGGAATACTGCAAGTACTACACTGCATTTACGCCTGTTGGTGACTACATCGATTGGATCAATAAATATATTAATGCATAGCGTTCTTTTTGCGAAATTAATCATGATCAAGTGTGTGTTATTAAAGAAAGGTAACAATTATTTCTTTCTTTGTGAACAGTCTTTCTCTGAATACAAATTTGTAATTACAGCTTATCAGCTCTGAACCGCTGCTATATGAAAATTGACGCACAGAATTCTGTGTTTTGAAGCTTGATAGCTTTTAATACATTCGAACCTCTGAATAGTGACAAAATGTTTCTGTTTTCGAACCATTAGATTTTGATTGTCCCAAACCAAAAATCTAAAAATGCGTGATGAATTTAGCATTTCAATGATCGATTGACATTTGAAGTAAGCAAAATGGAATTTGATATCCTAATTATAGCAGAATTCGCTTCAATATCGAGAAGAAAAATACTGCATCTTTCATATTAACCTTTAACCATGAATTTCAAGCTAAGCGAAAAGCGTTTCAACCTTGCTGGCTGTTATTTCTAAGCGCAAATGAAGAAAAATGCAAAAAAGGGAGAATAAACCAAAAGGATTTTGAATAATCTATCAGAATTTTTGTTTGAGGCAAAGAGTTCTTTATAAGAGTAGGTAATTTTCAGTTAAGCATGTTTAACAACTGGCCCTTGGTTTTCGATGTTGGCAATGTGCAAATTGAATAAATTTGATGCAGGTTCCCGTTGTTAAAACTTTCAACAATTCACTGTATTATAGAATATCCTTAAGAGATTATATTGGATCTATCACTCCTATTTGGATAATTTCGGTTTTCTTATAAGATCGACCAAGCGATACTGAAATATCATATTTACTAAATCTATATTATAAATCTTTGGAAGCAACGGCCCCAAAATGTGCTGCGGCGTACCCGTTATTGCAAGAATTGAGAATTGCTAGAACTGTATAGACCTGGAGACAAACTGTTTATGAAAAATTAAGTTTTGGCAGATACGCTAGAAAAGAAGACATTGAAGCAATGTTTAGTATCATTTAACAAATTTGAAGAAGTTTTTGAATCTGCCGGAGCTTTCATTTGAATTTTGAAAAATTGAAATTTTCTACCCTAAAATACCGATTTATCAATTTTAATTATTTTCCCACAACTCTATTTTTCTCAGGTATTTTCTAAAATAGGAATGCCTATACTGGCTGGGTCGAATTATTGCAAGTACCATTAAAAAGCAGATACCAAGAGCATTCTCTCAAACAGCAAAAATTAAATCTGTTTGGCTTATTATTTATGTACCCTTAATTCTAACACGACTTCTTTTAACTTACAATCAAGAGAAATGGGTTTAGAAAACACCAACAAAAATTCTTGTTTGATAAGCAATACTGCGGGACCTATTTCTACATGTGTAAATCAACTGGTGCTAGCTTTAGCAAATCAAAGGTATAAGTAGAGAAAATAGACAAGTGAATGCAATTTCAAAAGCTCATTTTTTCAAAACCCAGTAGGTACCACAAATAGTAAAACATCAATAATAACTGTACGTATGAGGCCATTCCTAAGTACGAATGTGTTGCTGTATCCAATCGTAGTAGTCACCAACTTTCGTGAAGGCGGTGTAGTACTTGCAGTATTCTACCACAAAACTTGCAACGCCATGTTGTTCCCAGCTTCCGTCACTCTTTCGGCATACGTATGGGCCACCACTATCACCTCTGCATGCATTGATGAGGCTTGATTTTCCATATCCAGTGCAAACCATGTCGTTTCTGTTGAAGCAGTTGCTTGGTGATACTACAGGCAGCATGGCTTGCTGCAGTGTGTGGTGCGATGGTCCTGGGTGCTGGATAGAACCCCAACCTGCATTTATGATACTATGTATATTTCATTGCTTTTCATAGGTTTAGGGAGATATTATATTTATCTGTAGACTCACTAGGATTAAGATTTCAAGTCTTTTCAAGTCTTTTTGTCGTACCCATGGTAGACATAAAAATTGGCTGGTTTACAGCATGTCATAATTGGCACATAGATATAATTAGGCACATAAAAGTGTTTGGGTTAAAAAGAGAGGGAAAATTTAGATAGGAAACTGTGGCTAAAATTAATTGTCAAATAGAGGTTCTTTGTCAAAAACTATCATGCCTGGTTCAATCAAATTTTTACCCCATTCTCTAATCTGTTTTTCTCTAAAAGTCTAAAAATTTACCTGATAAATAGCAGCGTGAGCCGATGGTTGGACTTGATCCTTTTCGGGGAAGACAAATTGTTTGCACTCTGGCGCTAATCATAGCAGGCCGTTTCAGTTTGATCAATGCAATGTCATTCCTCAAGGTGTTTCTTGAATAAGATGGATGTGAAATAATCTTTTCTACATCTATGATCTATAGAAAGAGATCGCACTGCATAATGCTGATAGAACTTTAACATCTCGTTCAAGGTTTTAATGCAACACAGAACCATTAATGTTTCATTTAGCCATTCACACCGATGGAGCTAGAAATCTCATCAATTGTAAGCTAAAAATTTGGGAGTCTAAATTAAAACCGATTGAAACATTAGAAAAGAGTTGAGAAAAAGTATGAAGATCCAGTAGAAGCATCAGTCCAGCCCATAGAGAACCCAAATTTCTTGGATGTGGAGGGCGAAGAGAGGAAAGTGAAGATGAGAAGAAGATGTTATTTTGAAAATTCATCGGTGTAAAAAGAGATTTGAAAATTTCGGTTAGAAAAAATTTCGGCTTAAGTAAAATTCGGTGGGATCGATTTTCGGTTGCCCTGCTTCACCGAAAATAAATTCTACCGTAAACTTTGGTACTTAATAAAGATTGCAAAAGACAAAATATATAGATTCATAGAATGCCCATTTCTGAAGAAACAAAGAAAGATTGGCTGGTAAGGGATAGCTTTCATCTTGGGAGCTCAAGCTGCATTTACCTCCCTTTCCTGCCGAAGTTTCTTTTTAGCACAAATAAATATACCAACGGCATAAATAATCAAGAATAGAAGATATTGAATCATAAGCTCTCATGAATTGTCATCCCACCTAAACTTCCCGTTAAACAAATCTTTTGGTGCTGTTTCGGTGCTGAAATGATTTGGCTGAAATGATTTAAGAAAATTGTCTACCTGTTCTGACGATTCTTGGGCCCGGTGATCATGTTCGCCTAGTTTGATTTGCAAAGTAGATGTAGACGCTCCGGTTCCAACAACACAATGACTTGCAGTTAATACCCATCTGGCATTAAGAAGCGATCCTCCGCAGATATGAGACTGTCCGTACATCCACAGCGAGGCCATCCATGGCCAAGCCCCCGGTTTTGCATCATATCCGTTGATAATTCGCGATTGCTGAACATTAGTGACGCCACATTTTTCCTGGGTAGGTGCAGGGGGCTTTTCTAAAATTACAGTATTCTTTTATGAGCTATCATTTTATTCTTTTATAAATTAATTCTGTTTATTCAAATAGAACCAGAAAATCTAGATTTTTACAATTGTAAATTTACTTACTAAAAGCAAAATTATCGAGAAAAAAAGTTACTTGACAAACATCATTTATTTTATTTTCAAAGCTGGATGAACATACTGTGAAGCAAAATATGATTTTCTAAGCGAAATGGCAAAACAACTAGACCCTAATTAGAATTTCGGTCGTGTTTCTCTTATTATATCAGTGACGCTTCCAATTGTACAAAACCAAGAAGCAAATACTTAACAGAGCTTTCACTATGGGTAGGAGGGGGGGAGTTTAAAGTTAGCCAAATAGCCATCTACCTCCCTAACGAGTGATTTCGCACATGCGTCAACGCACCGTAAAAACTGATTTTGCGACAACCCGCCAATGGTGGCAAAAAATTCGTCAGAATTTGGTGAGGATTCAACATTAGTAGCGCTGGTTTAGAAACAGCTGACTGAATTTTCAGTTAACCCAGATAAATTTCTATAGACGTAATGAATATTTTAAAAAAATGCGAGAATTGGCATTATACCAAGAAGCAAACACTTAATGGAGTTTTTAGTATTTTTAAAAAACATTGCTACCTTTTGTCTATCGTGCAGGGAAAGCATTGTTTATTTAAACAATTCTATGAAAAGATTAAAATGGTTATACCTTTGTTTTGAAACTAACTCACCTTTTGATGGTCCGCAAGCTGGAAGACAAAAATAAATTTTTTAGCTCCAATAAAATTGCACTATTTCGTTTTAACCAAAATTATCTTTCAAAGTTTTCTTGAATGATGTTACTAGCTCAGTAGTTTAACCTTCTGCTTGTATGGTACAAAGTATCCACTTTTAATGTTAAGAAGAGGACGGCTGTAAGTTGCTAATCCGAGTTTGCTGCCTGATGAGTAGCAACTTCAAACCTTCCTGTTGTAAACATCAATAGCGTGGAGAGCTCTGCTTATTCCGAAATAGGGTACTTTATGACAGACATAATATTTAGTACAAAATATCTGTGGTCACAACAAACTCCTTAAAAAGGTGCCAACGAACACGTTTATAACTTTGGCTAAATAAAATTCTCATTGCGGTCTTCTATCAACTGTATCCCAGAATCTATTGCAATTATTCAGTTGTCCAATAAAGGGATTTGACGAATCATATGCAATATGGAAATTTAAATCTTAAGTTAGAACATAAAGCCTTTTACTTCCACATTGTACTTAAGATCGTTGGCAATCCACATGCCAATACAAACTGCCTCAAACCTGAACATTTTTCTAATTTTTAAACCAGGTATTACCTGCACTGTATTGGGAAATAGCAGCAACTACCAATAAGATGAAAATTGTCTTCATTTTCCTTCCCTTCTTCCAGCAATTTCACTGTCATAGATTGGCACTTGAAAACTTACTTTCATAAATGTAGAGTTATTACCTTTATATGAATATAAAGCAAACAACAAAATATTGCTGTGTTTATAATTTACTTTTTAAAAGTGTTAATTTGTCGAAAGTACCAATCAAGTTGCAATTAAATCGCCATTGTTTCATCAGCAGTACTCACATTGTGCAAAGCCACTTCATATTACCAATAATCCTTTCTTACAATGAACCGCTGCATAAACGATGTTTGGTCGATCGGCTGTTTGGTTCTTGAGGCACGTATTACTCTGTTTTGACAGCTACATCATGACAGCTGGAGTAATCCAACTACAGAGCAAGGAACTGCAAATCTCAAGAAATAACCTTGAATATGTCAAGAAAGGCTTTCACTATTCGGCTGTGAAAGCCTGGAACGATATTCCCATCACTATCAGAGAGCTCTCCACACTTAGTAAATTCAGAAAGCAATTGAAAAGATATACGAGCTGAAGACTCCCTGGAAGAGCAGCTGCTATAAGATAGATTAAACAATCTTTTGGTGGTACAAAGCTTGAAAATGGCTTTGAAAAAAGCAAACATTTAGTAAACTAAAGCTTGTAAATAGCTTTGAAAAAAGCAAACATTTAGTAAACTAAAGCTTTTCGTCTGACACTCTTCAGAGTTTAAAACGTCAGAACATAGATCGAAAACTCTACGCTAAGAAATATATATACCCAGTTGTGGATCGAAATAGGCCATCCAGAAACACGAGCACATGACTGTAAAGGTTGACCAATCAGTGCCGCTTGCCTATTAGAATGTTACCAATGGAGTCCTAAGGTGAAAACGAACTCCTTTTGTCTACACAGTAGCGGTTTTTTCATGCTTATGTAGATAGATTCTAAAACTGCTAGGTGGAACGACGATCGGGCTTTACCAATAATCCGAAACATGTCGCCATTATAGTTTTTTGCACAATCTGGGTTTTCTAGCAAATGCTGCCCGATAGCAGAATCGCAGGTTTTATTAGTAATTTTGGATTTGCAAGACCGAGGTGGCTGGACTCCATTGGTAACATTCTAATAGGCAAGCGGCACTGATTGGTCAGCCTTTACAGTCATGTGCTCGTGTTTCTGATTGGCCTATTTCGATTCACAACTGGGTATATATATTTCCTAGCGTAGAGTTTTCGATCTATGTTCTGACGTTTTAAACTCTGAAGAGTGTCAGACGAAAAGCTTTAGTTTACTAAATGTTTGCTTTTTTCAAAGCTATTTACAAGTTTTGTACCACCAAAAGATTGTTTAAACTAAAGCTTTTTGTCTGACACTCTTCAGAGTTTAAAACCGCCACTGTGTAGGCAAAAGGAGTTCATTTTCACCTTAGGACTCCATTGGTAATATTCTCAATAGGCAAGCGGCACTGATTGGTCAACCTCAACAGTCATGTGCTCGTGTTTCTGATTGGCCTATTTCGATTCACAACTGGGTATATATATTTCCTAGCGTAGAGTTTTCGGTCTATGTTCTGACGTTTTAAACTCTGAAGAGTGTCAGACGAAAAGCTTTAGTTTACTAAATTTTTGCTTTTTAAATAGCCATTTATAAGATAGATTACTGTGCATAACTTAGCCTTAATTGTATATAAATTATATTTGATGTCACTAAGGTATTTTTTTTCTTATTTGGTATTTAGTTATAAGCTGAAGGGATTTTTGTGTATTAAGAATTTAAAATGAAAAATGAAATGCAAATGATCAGTTTTCACTGCATATGCAATGATTTCAGCAACAAATTAACAGTTTACCTTACAGTATGGGAAACTAGATATGCATTTCAATGAGTTTTGACCTTTGGCTAACACTTTATACGGCTCTGCAACTTCGGTCTCTACATCCAATACACCTCTGTGCAACAAGCCTGGCATGGAATTTGGTGAAAGGGGATAACAGGTAACAAGAGGGTGCTCAGGTGACAGAAGACAAAAAAGGACGCTGGGGGACGAGGGAATGAAGAAATGTTCGTGGCATTCGATTTTTCGAAAAGGGACAAAAGAAAAGGTCACCAGGGCTGTATCCCCTGGATTGTAAGTTGAAAAGGTCCTATTGAGTTTGAATTTTGAAGTGTTTTGAGTTTAGAGTTCCTTGCAAATCCGGGTTTGGAGTTCCTCGGTCTCCTACCCTCTGCACTGTAAAGAAAGTGCAGCATTCTCCTCAACATTACCTCCAAATTTACATTGTTAGAGTCGTTCTTGGTGCTTCTATTTCTTCAACAGCAAAGATTTAGATACCTACATAAAACCTCATAATAGAAGTCAGTCCTTGATTTCGTCCTGCCACGAATTGTGCTGAAGACTAGGGTAATAGAACACAGTTTTTAAAGTCACAAGTCCAAAGTCAGCAGTGAACTGTCCACAGTAATCGCTTCTATATCAAATGAAACTACCGTTAGCGTCAGGGCCTTTTTTACCATCCAAACTAGGGGGCAATCGCCTCCCCAGCCCCTATGACTTTCAATTGTTTTGAACAAAAGGCTATTGTTCTTCATTTTATGTAAAGAAGGCGTACTCCGCAGCTAAATTCCCTTCGAATAGGCTATGTTGGTCATGGATATACTGAATGAACGTTTATTTTGAATTAAGTTCTTTTCTGCATTGCCACTTTCTGATCTACTGATTTTTTTTATCTAGTCTGGTGTTAGAATTAGGTTTATACATGGTTTTTAATTCTCCAAAGGATCAGGTGAATTCTCTAAAAAATTATTGCTTAGCTATTTAGCTTTTGCAAAGCTTTTAATCTATAGAAAGGTCTGAATACTGTACAGTTGCACTTTAAAGGTACTTGCTTCAATTCTGAGTGTAATATATTTGTTTCTTGTTATTTTGTCAGTTATTGACATTTTGTTTCATTTCTGTAAAATAACACACCTGAACGACAAAAGCTTGAACAACGAATGATGAAAATAAGACGACTTAAGATAGTTTTGAAGTTCCAATAACATCTAAATAATATCTATATATGCACTTGCGCGTTTTTCAAGTTATATGAATGTTGAGAAACTGAGGTTATGATGATCACCTTCGTTGTTTCTCAGTTTAGCTACTGTCCACGTGTTTGGATGTTTCATGACAGGTCGGTTAATAAGAAATAGAGCTTTGAGAATCGCATACAAGGATAGCTGTTCAATTTTGGAAGAATTATTGACAAAAGCAGACACCAAGTATTGACACCAAAGCAGACAATTGACAAAAGTTTTCATTCACTACAAAAATTTGTAGTTGCTTGCTACTGAAATTTTTAAAACTCAAAGGAATCGGAATCAAAGTTTCATGAATAAAATCTTTGTGAAGAAAGATACTCCAGACACCCTTCGTCGGGGCAGAAATATTTTGGCACCAAAACCAAACACGATAGGGTATGTTCTTGAAAATGCACGTTTTTTAGAGCAACGATATGGCATACAATGCCATTATCCTTAAAATAGTCCCAGACTTTAAATAGCTTTAAAAGAGACATTAAAAACCATCAGTTTGATTGAAACTGTAGATTTTGCAAACTATTTGTTGAAAATTTAGAGTTTTTATGATTGTAATTGATATTTTTTGTTAGATTTGGTGATAGATTTATACTTGTAATTTAGTTAAAATCAACGTATATTTAAGTTTTGGTTGGCATTAATTAGCAAATTAATCAGCTATACGAGAATCCAACCTAAAATAAAAATCATCATTATCATTATTACTATTATTATTATTTTTATTATTATTCCCTCCACAATAGAAAACACCGTACTGTTTTGAATGACAAAGCATCTACATGGCGTAATATTTCAGCCTTGGTTCCACAAGGTTCTATCTTGGGTCCTCTCTTCGTTCTTATTTATATCAATGATTTTACTAACGGCTTAAAGTGTAACATAAAACTATTTGCTGATGACAAATCAATCTTCACAGTTGTTAATGACCAAAATACAGCTGCTCTTGATATGCAGCACGATCTAAATCTTTCTGAAAGGTTTGGATTCGGACCGTGTCATCTGAAAGAGTATTATAAAATAGCTCTGTGAAAAAAGAGCGCAATCTATTTCAAATTGACAGAGATCCAGTTTTGATCGATTCCTAAATTAATAGTCACATGACAATCGGTTTTTCCTACCAAAATCACTGTATTTATTGACATGTGGGCGCACAACTGGCCAATTTACGTTAATTCTGACCCAACTAAGCAGGCAGTAGAACTTATCGCTTCCTAAGAAGAAACTGCTAGCAATCATCCGTCCACCTCCAAAATAAGACTACAACATTTACGATCCAAAAGTATTGTCAATTTTAACTTAGCTTCATGTTGGACTCAGCAAACTGAATTTTCATAAATTCAAACATAACTTCAGTGACACTTTAAATCCTTTGTGACCGACAATTGATGGTATTGGGGATACGGAACACTTTTTGTTGCTCTGGCATGCTTATGACACAGATAGGCGTGATCTTCTCAGCAGTGTTGATGCGCTATTGTGACCCCATGGATTTATAAACCTTTCTATCAAAGATTCGAAATCGCCCTGAATGGTAACGAAAAGCTGTCTCTTGATTCCAATACGAAAAGTCTCGAGGTAATCTTGAGATAGATTCGTGCCTCAGAGCGATTTCGATAAGTTGTTGTAGAAAACATCCTCTCTTGTGTTTTATGTGTTTTTTGCTACTTTATGTAATTGTTATTTGTATTATGTAATCCTTAATATTTATATAGATCAATTAGTGTTGAGTGGTTATGTTAAATGTATTAAATTCTTCATTGCCGTTAAGGTATATGATGATGAGAAGGGGGCCTAAGCAGGAACCTGGGGGAATGCGACAGGTTACCCATAAGAGCTTAGAACATTCACCATCCATTCTGCAAAATTGTTTACATTAGGTTATGCAGGATCGAAACTAGTTAATTACATTGCCCTGTACATCATATCTAAAAAGTTTTTCGAGCAATATTTTGTGATTCTTTTATCGAAACCCTTTTCTAGATCCAAGAACATCGTCATATTGATTCTTTGAGAATCAATGTTATTAAGCCATTCATCAGTACTTTTAATTAAAGACGTAATAGTCGAGTGTGGCCTATGAAACCCATCCCGATAACTTTTAAGCAGTTGTTTCTGTTTGAAATAGTCAATCAGCTGATCGTGAACTATCTTTTCCAGAATCCTTGCAAACATAAAAAAGAACGGATTATTGTGATTATCATCCTTGTAATTTATTCATGTCATCTCTCTCTTGCACCTGATTTAAAAACTGGGTTCACCCTTGCAATCTTCCAGATATCTGGAAAATTACCTGCGGTAAGTGATGAGTTGTATGAGTGTAAGGGGGAGGGGGGACTTTATCCAAAAGAGATATGGCCTTTTTAAAATTCTAACTAAGGTGGTAATCGCACCTCCATCCTCTGTGACATTTCTTTGTTTTTCCAAAATATCCTTCATCCTTTGTTTTTCCAAAATTTTCTGAAAAGCAAATGGTTGTCCCCCCACCTGACGAAGTCCCTTGAATCACCATGCTTCAAAAGGTTAAAAGTAGATATTTCATTGCATTTATGCTACCCTGTGGTGAAGGCTATACCGTGACTGAACAAGAACCCCATCGAAGGAGAAAAGCCTGCTAGTACCCAAATGCCATTTTTTACCATCTTTTCCTTTGAAACACTGATTAACCTTTTTTCATTAGCGCGCTATCTCACAAGCCACTTTTTGTTCTTGGACGTTTGTTTAGCATGTTTACATAATTCATGATATTAGAAGGCTAGCTTGAATGCTGGTGTTAAAAATAGTTTGATAAGAATCTGTAGGTTCAAAGAACAATAATCACAAGCTTTTCAGCAGACACGATTTTCGTGAAAATGAGGGCAGGAGTATGAGTAGGAAAAAGCATTGCAGAACAAAGAAATTCTTGAAGAAATGTAGGATATAATTGAAAATATATTTAAATGATCATAGAGCATTTCGTATTAATCTCCATTAAACTGTTGCTCAATTTATTGCGAGATGTTTTGGTTGATCCAATCGATGTAGTCACCAACAGGAGTAAATGCAGTGTAGTACTTGCAGTATTCTACCACAAAACTTGCAACGCCATGTTGTTCCCAGCTTCCGTCACTCTTTCGGCATACGTATGGGCCACCACTGTCACCTCTGCATGCGTTGGTCAGGCTTGATCTACCGAATCCAGTGCAAACCATGTCGTTTCTGTTGAAGCAGTTGCTTGGTGATACTACAGGCAGCATGGCTTGCTGCAGTGTGTGGTGCGATGATCCTGGGTGTTGGATTGAACCCCAACCTATACGAATATGAAATAGCCTGTCAAACAAAGGCTACCAAAAAACATAATTTTGATTTTCGAAAGAAAGTTCCCGTGGTAAGAAAAGGCTTGTTAAAAGTTACCAAGAAAATCACTCTTTGCTTGCAAATCACAATTAATTTTTGGCCTTCTGAAAACGACCAACTGAGTGCCATTGAGCAAGTTCAGACAAATGTAAAAAATAGAGGAAATAACTTTCAATTTATAACAAATTTGCAAAGCATATTTTTCGGTCTTGTAAGGATGAATCCTACCTGACAAATAGCACTGACGAGACCCAATCGTTGGCCTTGAACTCTTGGCAGGAAGGCAAACAGTCTGCACACGTGAATTGAGTTGTACTGGAGTTTTCAGCTTGATCAACGCAATGTCGTTAGTGAGTTTCGATCGTGAATAGCGTGGATGCGCAACGATACGCTCAACGTCAATGGTCTATGATAATAATTTGTTTGAAGTGATCAATCGAGAAAAGGCTGCTTGAGTTCTGGAGACGTTATCGACTGGTTAAACTGATTGGTAAGGCAAGCAGAAAACAGGTTTTGGTGTCTGACAGATCTGGGAGCACACAAAAAATTAATATCTTTTAATGAATATCTTTTCTCACATTTAGATAACAGAAGGCCAATCAAATGATGATACGTCGCCAATTCCTGTCAGGTCACATCGTCTACAATCATTCTTTATTCTTTATGAGGACTGACTATCACCAATCTTAAAATTTCAACATGAGGATTTTGAATTCTCTACGTAAGTATCGTGTTCATTGAAACCCATCCTTTTCCGATCTCTGTTCCCAAATTTAGGACCAAGCTATCGTTAAGGTCTTTATAATTCGATCTTACAATCTGTAATATTTTAACTTGCTAAAATTCAACACAGGCAAAATATGTCCACGTTGATTCTTATCTCACTTCAAATATTATGGTATATAGTGTTATTGTCGTGTAGTTGATGCAACCACAAGTACACATAAAACATTCACTGTGAATGGTTTACGTTTTCAAAGTACCCTTCAATGTGCCATATTATTCGCATAGCATTGTGGAAAGTGTTCGAGTGCTTCAACCTCCAAGAGCAAAAGCTCGACTATAATTTCTGAAGGTTACCTGTTCAGTTCCTTCCTGGACGCCGTGTTTGTGCTCACCCAGCTTGATCTGTAGGGAACTTGTCGTGGCCCCAGTACCAACAACACAGTGACTGGCTGTCAAAATCCATCTGTTATTTAGAAGAGAGCCTCCACAGATGTGGGACCTTCCGTACATCCAGAGGGAGGCCATCCATGGCCACGCGCCTGGTTTGGCATCGTATCCAGAGATGATTCTTGATTGTTGGACAGACGAGCGTCCGCAGGAAGAGCCTAATATTAACATTTCAACAGGTGTTAAAAGCGTCAGAGAAAGTCCTTGGTCTATTTTTCTGTATGAGCAAATTAAAATTAAATAAATTTTGCCATCTTCCTATCATGCCTAAAATTGCCTATAATGATAAATAAGCTGGCAATGAAAGAAGCATTGTATCAATTCGAATACAGCAAGCTGATAAAATTTCTATCATGTCATAACCTTTTGACGTAGATTCGTGTCTCCCTAGATTTCAGCAATTTGATATCCACAGAGATATTAACATCAATGAAAATTACTGTTCATCGGTTTGTTATAAAGTGTTCGATGCCGTAGAGGTAGAGCAGGACAAACTTTTTAATGTATGGAACAGGACAATTCAAGTTGCCATTCCGAGTTTAATGCTTATTGCGATCATCAGTCGACTGTTGCTTGATATTTAAATTATAATCACTAGGAGTAAACGAATGAAAACTGACCTCCTCCTCCACACAATCCACAACTTTTCATGCAGTTAGTCTTCATGTAGTCTTCATACCGTCCTTTACAGTAGCCAGCCCTCACCCATGATGGACAGCTACTATGCCGGTCAGAACATCCTTTTCAAAGAAACAAAAAGATCAGCATAATCAGGGTGAATGGCTGCTGTAACTTTGCGAAATGCTATCAAGAATCATAGTTGAATGGAGACAAACGAGAGAAACGATGGACATGAAGCTTAAACTATATGTTTAGAGCATTGACCAAGCGGCTCATACCTTATCAAGCCAAAGCAGATGCTACAACATCTTATTTGCTATGATGACGAACTTGTCTTTTCTGATGATAATGGTGAATCAGGATTTTCTTAGCTATGACAAATTGTTCTTCTAAAGAATCCAAACGGGCATGTTTAAAAAATTATCTAACTTTGTAGCATATTTTATGAAAGGTCTTCTGTCTAAAAGAAGATTCAAAGGATGCTGTAGGCACCAATATGCGCTGCAAAAATAAACAGATCTATACAAACGAAAGTCAACATGAAGATAATTCATTATAATTGAAAAGTGAATGGCACATTAGCAAAAGCTCACCGATGCTCAAGCCAATGAAGGCAGCAAATGCGACAAGAGTGAGAAGCAACTTCATGTTATGGCCTGTCTCTGGAACTTTGAATTAGGTGATTCAGCTCTTGCATTTTAAGGTTTTATAAGCGAAATAAACAAATCTTTTTTCAGGTTGGCAAACACCAACGAATTCTTCTCTTAACTAAAAAGCTACTTCCACGTTGAAACTCTTAGAAAATGGTCCCGATCCTTAATAGCCATAGAAAATCTGACTCAAAATAATCCGTTGTGTCATCCGTTGTTTAAACAAATGTCACTGAAGTCCTACGCAAGAATAAAAAAATGCCGAATAACGTAAGTGGCACTTTGCAATTAAAGAGACCAAGCAGTATTGCTCACAAGAAAACGTCAGCAGATTTGCAAAAGGATCCCAGGTTTCTCATTTTAGCTTGCATAATATGTAGAATGACGTCATTATGACGTCATAATGAGAACAAGATAAAAATTTTAGGTTGCGACATTGATTATTAAATTCTCCGTGTAATTTTGCCTGTTTTTGTCTAAATTCTCAAAAATTGCCTAAATATTCTAGACACTTTGCCAAAAACCAGTAAATGTGAAAAATGACATCATCATGAAACGAACGGTACGAATATGGCATTTTTTGAAATCACAACATTAATTTCCGGAATCCTCGTGAAATTTTACATTAGACAATACTAATTAGGCAAACTTAACCAAAAAGTTGAACGGGAGCTCATTTTGCGAAACTACATTCCTGACTACAACGCCTTTTATAGTTTCGAATGTTGTACAACTTTAATTTTTGGAGTCCACATTCCTTGGTCCGATATTCTTCAAATTGTCCCATTTTTCAATTTTTCAAGAAAGCCTAATTCTACATAATTTCAGTCAGACATAATTACACATAATTATACATAGTTACAGCATGGAATTTCAATCTGCTTTGATGTACTTCAAACTTTTTCTGAGATCCTTCTCTGTCCTTTGAGGTCATTTGCTATTGCACTTATTTCTTTAAAATTTACCCTGCTCTTTATTAATGGTACTTTAGAAATCCCTTTAACAAATCTTGGTCTTGTGCTGTCTTTAATCAATGTTGTGGCAAAAGTTTCTTAAATTCTGCCTCTAAATCATTTCTTCTATTTCAAGTAGACTTTCATCGCTTTTGCTGCTGTTGTCTCATCAGATAAAGATAAAACATTAAATGAAACAAACGGCAGCGACTTTTCAGGCTTTCTATTGAGATTGGTCGTTGTTCGCATCAGAAATTATAATCAGAAATTTTGGTGGGGTAGCGTTTCCCTATTAGCTATTCTATTTGTTGTCTGTGAAAAGAATTAAGTCATTTTGTGTCCCTTTGCCAAGTCCCTAAGTTGAGGTGTTATACATCAGGACAGGTTATATTTACAACTGTTCTCTAAAGCTGGAAGCGAAGCTTTTTACTGACATGATCATTTCAGTTAATAAAGACAGTAGCTTAAATATGTTTTTTATTAATGGATGGATGCAATGGAGAACTGCTTTCTTCTTTGGATGTTTTTCTTTATCTTGTTACAAAGAGCCAAGCTTTCTGATTGTTTTTCATCGCTCTATGTATATTTCAGTTTCCTCGAAAAATTTCCGTTTGTTTCGCTATTGCTCACTTTCAAATTATCTCTTAATAGGATTTTTTCACCATAACGAATAGTGAATTTGTATGGAAAACACATGCGGAAACCACAAGATTGGAAACTTGTCACTTCCTTCTTCGCCGCTATCACCGACCATATCAAGTCTAAAATTTCTTGCTTCTCGAAGTGATACTCACAAAATAAGTTTGATTAGCTGCACACCAACATGCTTGATTTGAAGATGATAGATTAAGTTGCAGGGTCTTCGCCAAGCCAGCTCAATAAATAAATCGTTCAAATGATGCACAGCTTTAGCATTGTGAAAGTGATGGAGGAGCATCAGCCACTAAAATGCTACATGTTGCAGCTTTGGTCATAAAGAGTTGAGAAATAAATTTTGATCAAACTTTTTGCAAAATCAAAGAAGATGGGACTGATTCACGAGGAGAAGAAAGAATTGCTTCTTGTGCGCAGGCGCGTACCAGATAGTTGGAATTCAGTTCAATTCAGTAACATTATAAAGCCATAACATTATAAAAACAAAAGTAAAAGATGGTGAGTTCGGCTCCGAAGGCATGGAGCATTAAATTTGATACTCGCAATTGGTTGAAACATTCTTTGCAAAGACACGTGCGCTTGTACAACGTTTGCCTCTTTAAATGAAAGATTATGCAAGACCCTGATTCTAGTCCACAAATCTAGAGGTTGAAAATAGATTTGAAAAAGCAACTAGCAACTGGATATATATATTAGAAAAAGCAACTGGATATATATATATTTTCTAGCGTAGATATTTCGCTCTTTGTTCCGACGTTTTATACTCTGTAGGATTTCAGACAAAAAGTTTTAATATGTTTAATAATGTTTGCTTTTTTTCAAAGCCATTTTTAAATTCTGTACCACAAAAAGCTTGTTTACATCTAAACTTGGTGTTTACATCATTTGACTTTAAAAGCTTGAATTCGGCACTTATCCTTTTTGCAAAGAAAAGCTCTTGCAATGATTTGTCACCCAGTAAAATTATGCATCATACACTCCTATGCTAGATCCTTGAATACCTATAGGTCAACCGACCGAGTAATAAGGCTACAGGTCTTCATCTATAGAAGTAATTTTGCCCTCATGAGACCAAAATACTATAGAAGTGAAGCCCTCATGAGACCAAAATACTTCCTCGTTGGACATCAACTTCAAGAACAGGCACAAGAAGAAGGTGACGAAGCAGGTCTGAAAATAACATTACTCAAAACAAAGACAGGTCAGAAATCCTTTTGCAAGAGAAGAAAGCCCTTTGGAAAGCTTGGATTTACTACAAATGTAGTCAATTAGCTGCCTCTCTTGATACGTCATAAACCCGCTCTAATAAGTCGGACTGAGTAGCATTCGTTTGTATCTTACTTTACTCTCTGTATTTGAAACAATTTATCGGCGTTATTGTAAAAAGTTTTATTATTTGTGACTTTATTTAGCAGGTCAGTTTGAATACTATAAAGTATATAACAGGTCAGTTTGAACACTATTCTGAAAGGTATTCAGCCTATGTAAGTGTTTTAAATGGTGGTCATGATGATAAGCAAACAATAACAACTCATGTTAATTATCAATAAAAAACGCCCTATTTGAACTAAATTTTATTCAATACCACGTAATTATGATGTTGTTGAATTAATTTAAGAAATTTGCCCATAAAATTAGGGATGAATTTTAGATCGAGGATATATAGATAAGACACGAAATAAGTAATCTGGATTTTTTTGATTCTTGAATATTTCATTAAATTTGATTTCGAAAGGTTCATGAACACGATAGTAATGAGCTTAGCATGATAAAATGAGCATCAGCCGATCAACTCTTATCAAACTGTCGTTCAAATTATTGTGATATATATTGATTGATCCAATCGATGTAGTCACCAACCGGTGCAAATGCAGTGTAGTACTTGCAGTATTCCACAACAAAACTTGCAACGCCATGTTGTTCCCAGCTTCCGTCACTCTTTTGGCATACAAACGGACCGCCACTGTCACCCCTGCATGCATTTATCGGACTGGATTTTCCATATCCGGCACAAATAACGCTGTTTCTGTTAAAACAGTTGGTATTGCTCACTACCGGAAGCATGGCTTGTTGCAATGTATGATGCGATGGCCCTGGATGTTGAATGGAACCCCAACCTAAAACAGCAGTGTTATGCTATGAATAAAAAGTTAATGTATAAATAAATGCGAGAATGGAAAATATTTTTCTTACCAGTCTTCCACGATTTTCGATCTCTAACCTATTAACAAATGTCCAAACTATGCACAAATGGCCAAGAAAGCTATGCAAAAATATAGATTTCCTAACAGATTTGAAGAAAAATCTTCTCAAATCTACGTGCTGGTCATATCTGAATAGACTGACTATCATATAAAGGCAACACCTTTTCATAACAAAGTAGATTGTGATTGGTAGTTTTGAAACCCACCTGACAAGTAGCATCTGTAAGATCCAATCATCGGCTTAGAATCTTTGGCCGGGAGACAAATTGTCTGCACACGAGAATTGAGTTTTGCAGGCATCTTCAGCTTAATCAATGCAATATCGTTTGTAAGTTTAGTCGATGAATAGCTTGGGTGCGGAATAATTTGTTCAACATCCATGATCTACGAAAAAATATGAAGGGACTCAGTAGCTAACCATTTACTGCACGTCTTAAAGTGGAAAACTCTCTTTGAGGGCTAGTAAAATAAAAAACAAAACAAGTAAATGAAACATCTTGAACACAAGAATGTGTACATAATGACATAAAGACGATATATTTCAGATGACAAATACAGTACTGCACAATTCCACTTTTTTGAAGGCTAAAGGTAGAGGTAGCCAGAGTGTAGCTATAGTTTGTCATCTTTTCCAGTTTGTCACAAGTCTTCCTTCTTGTGTAAAACGTCAGATTTGAAGAATTGTGGTGTAAGGCACCCAAAACGTCGCTTTACCACTTATTGACTAAAATATTGTGGTGTAGATGTATGATACTTCATATATCAGTGAAAATATAGAATCACTCAACTGACCAAGATAGCAAACGTTTCAACTGAGTTAAACAAAAGGAGTTAACCAATGTTATAATTGAAAATAACAAAGTAGTTATCTCAACGATTGAAAATAGTGGAAGAGCTAGTTACTTGTTCTGTTCCTTCTTGCACGTTGTGGTAGTGCTCACCCAGCTTGATCTGTAGGGAGCTTGTCGTGGCCCCAGTACCAACAACACAGTGGCTGGCTGTCAAAATCCATCTGGTGTTTAAAAGGGAACCCCCACAGATGTGAGAATTCCCATTCAGCCAAAGGGATGCCATCCATGGCCAAGCACCTGGTTTCGCATCATACCCAGCAATAATTCTTGATTGCTGAACACTAGGTCGTCCACAACCTAACAGAATTATGATAAAAAACAGTTAGCGTTCTTCTGAAATGTTTTTAAAGACAGCCTATGAGACATGTTTATGATGCAAGGTGCACGAAGAAGAGTAGTTTTTGTCGGACACTTCTTTTGCGGATGAAACGTCAAATAATCGCATAAGCAGCATCTTGTACCCAGGTGCAAACCATAAACAGCTTGTGAAGAAAAACGACTGGTTTAATTGGCTCTTCATATTGACCAATCGGTGATGGCAACCCTATTATGAAGTTGAGATGTCAGGCGAGAAAACCGGCTCTAATTACAAAATTTGGATATTGTTTCTTGATACCAAAGTACCCAAAAGACCAGACAACATTGCTTATCAAACGGTTCTTGCTTTATTGTAACAAAAGTCATCGAAAGTTAATATAAGGCCAAATGCTAGCTGCTGCTCACCTGCACTGCAGACTCCACAACTCTTCATGCATATTTCCTTCATGTGGTCAGCAAGGTCTCCAGTACAAAATCCGAAATTCGCCCATGCGACACAATTGCTGTTTGAGTCACTGCAGCCTTGAGAAAGATTCAAAATCACATTCAATAGAATAAGAAAGAATCTCAGATAAAGGATCTAAGCTATTGAGGACATAAAAGATTCTTTACCAGTACAGAAGACTGCGAAATTAATATGATAAATATTAACCCACCTTTCAACTAAAATATCTGGAATCAAACTAATAATTTACTATATATGATATTCATGAAGGTTTATACCTTTCCGTTTTCAAAGGTAAAGGCAAACAACTCACCAAAGCTTTGGCCAATGAAGGCAACAAAAGCCACAAACTTGAGGAGCATCTTCATGTTTGGATATATTTCTAGATTCTGCGATGCATCGATGCAGCCTTGCAAAACATTTATAGGCGAAAAAACCAATTCTTCTTTAGATTGTAAACATTATCGGCTTAATTTTACAATGAAGTCTCTTTCCGATAAGTCATTAAAACTCCAGCCACGTCGACGCCTCCTGAAAAAGTGAAGTGGCTGAACAATCCTTTCTGTTAATTCCATCGCGGGGGCCCCTTAGTTATGATAAACAACACCCTAATCTCAGGAAAAACATTTTGGGCTTTTGGTGCATCAGCCCTTGTCTTGCCTGAGCAATGACGCAATTTTATGGTCGGTGTTTGATTCCAGGGTAAAAACTGCCTCAGTTTTTTACCCCGATAATCAGACTGATACACCTGTCACACAATCGAATGACTGTGTGAGAAGAAGTGAGACAGGAGAAGGCAGAAGGAAGCATATAACGGGATATAAGCAGGAGGAGAAGTGAGTACAAGGGGACAGGGATGGGAGGGGAAAACGCGTACAAACAACGCGTGAGTCTTGCTGCAAAATATGACATGACCCTAGCTGCATCACTGTACTTAAACAAATATGCCAGGAAAAGACCACCTAGATAATACCACAAGGTGATTAGCAAATAGCTAAGGTAACATGATATCCACAGCCTACTAAGGATATACGTGTGGGACCACCCGATTCTAGAAAAGGGGAATCTGCGCACTTTCCCAGCGGGTATTAACTCGAATTAAACGATTAATTCCCATTTAATTCCATCGCGGGGGCCCCTTAGTTATGATAAACAACACCCTAATCTCAGGAAAAACATTTTGGGCTTTTGGTGCATCAGCCCTTGTCTTGCCTGAGCAATGACGCAATTTTATGGTCGGTGTTTGATTCCAGGGTAAAAACTGCCTCAGTTTTTTTAACCCGCCACAAAAAACATGACAATGTTTACACCCATCAAACACTGACTTAGAAAGCCTGTAACTGGAGGAGACTCTTGCCCTAACCTTACTAAGGGAGGAAGTTATTGATGAAGAGAAGCGGGGAGAGAAAGCAAGAGAAAAGAAGTTTTTTTTTTCTTTTCTTATGTTTGCCAACAACAGCAAACGCATTTTTTTTATGTTTGCCCACGACAGCAAACACTCTTCGTTGTATATTTGCCAACAACAGCAAACGCTTTTTTTTGTATGTTTGCCCACGACAGCAAACGCTTTTCGTTGTTTGTTTGCCAACAACAGCAAACGCTTTTCTTTGCATGTTTGCCAACAACAGCAAACCCTTTTTTTTTTTATTTGTTTGCAACAGCAAGCAAACGCGTGTTTTTTTTTTTTTTTTTTTTTTTTGAGTGTGCGTGTTTGCCAACAACAGCAACCCTTTTCTCCTGCAACAACAGCAACAACAGCAAACGCTTTTTTTTTTTTTTTTTTTTGAGTGTGCGTGTTTGCCAACAACAGCAAACCCTTTTCTCCTGCATGTTTGCCAACAACAGTAAACGCTTTTTTTTTCATGTTTGCCAACAACAGCAAACGCTTTTTGTTTTTTGTGTTTGCCAACAACAGCAAACGCTTTTTATTTTTCATGCTTGCCAACGACAGCAAACGTTTTGTTTTTTATTTTGCATTTATGCCAACAACTGCAAACGCTTAATATTTTTGTTTGTTTGTTTGTACTTATAAATTTGCATTCTGCCAACAACAGCAAATGTTTTGTTTTACTTACATGCTTCCCAACAGCTGCAAACGCTTAATGGTTTTTCTATTCTTTTATATATATATTTGCATGTTTGCCAAACAACAGCAAACGTTTTGTTTTGTTTTGAATGCTTGCCAACAACAGTAAACATTTGGTTTGTTTGTTTTTTGTTCACCTTGCATGTTTGCCACCAAGAGTAAAGGCATAACTAGACGTGTTATGGCGACAACAGCAGACGCTTTTTTATGTATGTATACGTATGTATAGCCCTGGGAAACTATCTCCATATTTTATTTGAATATATAAACCATAGCAAGAAAACATTTTGTATTTAATATGTGAATTTCCATAAACGCAGCACACTATCTCCGTATTTCATATGAATTTATGAACCATGGCAAGGAAGATTTTGCATTTGCCGTTTGAGTTTGCATAAACACAGCAAACTGCCACTATATTTACCATTGCAGTTTGCATGACAGAACAATGGACATGTTTGCATTTAGCTAGAAACATCACCACGGTATGCTATCTAGGTATTTACCGATTTATATTGCAAACATTGGTTCTGCAGATTCAGCTTATATGTTTTAGATTCTGCAGATTTGTTGCAAAGCCCCAGTAAACTATTCTACATTTACCAAGCAAAGTGTGCCTAATGTTAGTAAATTCATTGTAAAATGTAAAAGAGATTTGCATAACTACAGCAAAACAATTCTATATATATATATTGGGCAAGTTTAGTAATAACAATATAGCACGTTTTACATTGAACCAAGAAGTTCGCTCTCAACAAAAAGGCTTGCCTAAAGTAGCAAAATACAGATTGCTCGAACCAATCAATTTGCACCAGAACAAAAGGGGGCACACAATGCATTCATAAATTGGCAATAACAACAAACATTTGATGCATTTGCCGATCATGATTGATGAAAACAGAGAGCAAATTTGCCAGCGCATTTTTTCTAAATTGTTTAGCTCTGCTGCTATACAAATTACATCAAAATACCTGTGAACAATTTTTTTTTTTTTGCGGTACAGAATTTGAAAATGGCTTTGAAAAAAGCAAACATTTTACGACATACTAAAAGCTTTTTCGTCTGGCACTCCTCAGAGCAAAAACGTCAGAATAGGTTCCGAAAAAAACCACGATGGAAAAATATATACCCAGTTGTGGATCGAAATAGGCCAATCAGAAAAACGCAAGCACAAGACCGGTATAGTTGACCAATCAGTGCCACGAGCCTAAAGAAAAATTACCAATGGAGTCCAAGAGAGAGAACGAACTCCTTCTGTCTACACAATGGCGGTTTTTCGTTTTTATGTAGATCGACTCCAAAACTGCTAGATGGAAAGACGACCGGGCGCTGCCAATCATCCGAAACATGTCGTCATTATAGAGTTTTGCACAATCTGGGTTGTCTAAAAGATGTTGACCAATGGCAGAATCACTCGTTTTAACAGTGTTTCTAGACCTACAAGATCGAGGAGGCTGTTCTCTTACCTGTATTACAGTGAGTTTTGCTTTTTTGTTTTTTTTTGTTGTTGTTGAAAATATAGCGTGTAGTTAGTTGGAAGTTTGTTGCCATGGTGACTAGTGGCACTTATAATGATGTAATAAGATATCTTCAAAATGCAACAAAAGCTACTATATTTCAGCATACGGAAAGCATACGGATTAAAAAGCAAAGTGCAGATAAATGTCCACGTGCCTCAGATTCACTCTAAGTGTTCCTGCACATTCTTGCAAAAATCCTTAAAAATCTTTTTAATTATTGTAACCAAAAAGGACGTTCAATGAAACCGAAGCCGAAGGGCATGGCCGCAGCAATTTTCTGACCGGGGTCTTGTTTTGTCAATAACCACTGGGCACAAGCCGGCTCAAGACGGCCCTGCTTTTTGGTATCATCTTGCTGTAGGCAATATTTCCATTTTGTTAGGAAGAGTAATCAAAGGAATAGACCAATTGGAGTTATCTAAAAACAGTAAACTGGCAATCAAGATGTTCCAAGGGGCATTGCCGAGACCACAGTGTTTAAAATGTTATTATGTAACTCGAGCGAAGTTTTGGTGCCAGACTGAGGTGAACACTACCGTGAGGGCCCACTAAACCACAGCCAAGCAAGCAATGTGAAATTACCAAAACCATGAAAACAATCCTTAGTCAATTTATTGATTCATTTGATTATTGATTTTTGTTGAAACAAGATCAAACTGATATTCGAACTTTACAGGTGTGTTTGCGAAACTAAAGTATGAAGGTTAGAACACTGGGAGCAATATTGGGATCGCTAAACGTTTACTATGACCCTACTGGCAGGTTTGTTAAACCACAGCATGACTGCTTTGAACGGAGGGCGGCAGTGTGATGCAGCCAAAGCAAGGACCTGCTGAATTGTGTGCAATGCCGATGAGTGTCACTTAATTGGATCTTGATACTTTTAAAAGGCTAAAACAACTGATCCTAGATAGACGTGTCCAGAAACATTTGCTGGCATGACTGTACAATTTAATGCTAGTGTTAATTTCCTCCACGTAAGTATTAAATAACGGGGCAGTTTGCCACACACCCCTTATGCCAACAATGACACCACAAAGATACTATTCGCTATTGAGGGGATTTTAGAGACAGCGTTTGTTGAATCCCAGATGAATGGAACCAAGGACGCCTGCGCCAGGGGAGCAGCTAGGGCAGTTGCCCCTGACCTCGCGAAATTGAGCATTTTTCTTTACGCTTTGCCCCCGTTGCCATCTCTGAGAACAGGCATCCTTGCCTTGGACCAGAACATGACAGGGTAAATTAGTTGAAAGAATAAGAACAAATAACAACAAGCAGGTATTCGTGGTGGATGCGTTTGATTGGGCGGCCTGGCATGTGGCTTTACCGAGAGGCAGCACTGTGGTCTTTGAATACTGCCCCCTAATTTTGTTGTTTTTATGGTGGAGATATGAAGCTCCAGGGTTGGTATGATGAAAAGCGGCAGGAAATAGTGGATCGAAAATTAAAAACAAATAACCTACAAACCATGCTACAGCCAATGTAGAAAAAAAAGTGCTTGTACAACCTTTTCTCTGGAGCACGTGATAGAATCAAGATGCAGGGTAACTGAAACTGTAATAACAGTAGACAGCAGCCACTGAGCGCTTGACCTGAACTGCCATAACTTTCGATAACTCTGCCAAGGCCTAGCAACCAGTACTTGCAACTTTCCAGCCATGCTATGACAACAGTAAGCAACGGTCGAAATCATGACCATGATCAGCGTCCGGCCATTTGACGGTAGGATTATGTCCTTTATTAGCGGGTTTTAAATAAGTTACACTTTCGCAGAATAGTTCACTTCTCTACAGAGAAAAACGCGTACAAACAACGCGTGAGTCTTGCTGCAAAATATGACATGACCCTAGCTGCATCACTGTACTTAAACAAATATGCCAGGAAAAGACCACCTAGATAATACCACAAGGTGATTAGCAAATAGCTAAGGTAACATGATATCCACAGCATACTAAGGATATACGTGTGGGACCACCCGATTCTAGAAAAGGGGAATCTGCGCACTTTCCCCGCGGGTATTAACTCGAATTAAACGATTAATTCCCATTAAATAAGATTAGGGCCTCAAGACTTTACAAGAGAAATAGTGTAAAACAAACAATTAGCATTAGAAAGGTATATCCAGGCTACGCATGAAAGTTTGTATAATATCTTTTTATCGTTACAGCTCTTTAACCATTTGCTTTCATCTTAAAAAATACTGGAACTTTGCGTCATAAGTTAAAGTGTCTTGTCTAAAGTTTATTGAAATTCTAAATAAATAGTTCTAAAGCTTTGTCTTACGTAATTCTTCTCGTACAAATAATGTCAGCAAAATTATGAATTTAGATATCATTAAGCGCCTAAAATGAAACATATGATCCAAATTTATTTTTAAAATCACGTATACTGTATGTTCTGTCAAGTTATGTTAGTTTAGCTTATGCCCCTGTCCGCAAATGTTGTCATATTCAAGCACTGTGCAATATTGAGTAATATTTTATATGTTGGTAATTTATGCATATAAAATTTATGCAGCTTATTATGCAACCACGATGTAAATGTTAATGATATCAGTATCTACTAAAAGATTTTCCAGTAAAGGGATGATTTGTAATTACAATGTTTTAGAAAGCCATATTTTAAATAGAGACAGTTTATTTACCATTAGCCTTATCCTAGAATTGAACCTCGCATTGATGAAATATAAAATAAAGAACAGACAGGCTTCGGTAGAGACAGAAGTACAGTAGAGCAGATTTGAAACCCAAGAGCATTATGTGAGAAATACCGCAGTCATCAGAAATATATTTTCCATAACTTCATTAACTTTAAAAAGGCGTTCGACTGGGTATGGCACGATGCCTTGTGGCACTTTATTGGAACTGCAACAAGTGCATTATCTAGACTGGATAAAATTTGGAAAGAGAGAAAGCTATCAATTGAAAACAAAGTAAATCTTCTACGCGCGATCGTTACCTGAACAGAACTCTACGGATTTGAAACATAAACATTTAACAGAATGTTGGAAAAACAAATTGATGCATTCGATATGAAATGTTTTAGGAGATTTCTCGGAATATCTTAGAGAGATCGGAAGTCACACAAATGTGTTAGAGGTGAAATTCAACGGCAATATGGCAAAATTGAAAGCGTTCTAGACATTGTACAAACGCGGAAGCTTCGGTGGTTTTGACACGTTACAAGGAAAAAAGGAGCCATCTGTAAGTTCATCATGGACGGGCAAGTAGAAAGAAGCAGGAAAGTGGGAAGACCCCGGAGAATTTGAAGCGACGATATGAGACAGTGGACTGGTCTGGGCCTGACGGAGACACTGAGAGGAGCTGGGGACAGGGTGAGATAGAAGACGGATGACCATGAAGACGGATGTCCATGAAGACGGATGTCCATGAAGACGGATGTCCATGAAGACGGATGTCCACGAAGACGGATGTCCATGAAGACGGGTGTCCATAAATAGGTGCAAGAACAGCCTCCAGGAGCTACGGTCATGTAGATGATGACGATGAATTACCAGCGGGCCACTTTTTGCTTATGGGCACAGGGGCAATTGTTCCTATTGCCCAATCTAGGTAGGCCTTGAATTGGCTACAACTGGCCAGAATTCAACATAAATTCAACAACATAAAGTCAGTGGAGAGCGACCTGGCAGAGATGAAAATATAATAACGTGCTGAAAATTTTGAATCATCCAGAAAGACCTAAGGGATTTCCAAGGTGGCAGTGTCTCACTCTCATACTTTCTGCAGCAAAAGAGAATTCAGTACCTCAGTTGGGCTTGATGGTTATCCAACTTTTTAGGGCAAAACTCTGGAATTCCTTACCGTTAGATAAAAATATGTCTGTTTAAAAAGAAACCAAAAACTCACTTGCGAAGTGCTATGTGAATGCCTTATTTAAATCTAATTCAATACATTCCAAAATCTGATATGAATTTAAACAAGCATTAACTACCCCCGTTTTTGAGTTTGCGTTCATTATCTTATCAGTTTGCCTACTTTGAGATCTCCCCTTAAGAAGTCTATTACATCTAGATGTATCCTTTTGTTATCATTTTATAAATAATTACTTTTGTAGTAGGATCTGAATTTTGGAACCTAATCAACCAATCCTCAAATACAAACCTTTTCTAAACAATACGTTTTCAAAGGAACGCTGGGACAAGAAAATTTCATTCATTTCACATGAACAGCAAACGAGCACAAAAGAAACAGGCTTGCGATAAGCAGTTTGTCATTATTAAAAGAGTTCGTTGGATAATTAGTATCAACTCAACGAGCCCATATCCCCAGATACGTTATTCCACCAAAGGTCTTTTGTAGAAGCTCCAGTTTCCCATTTTATCTTATTCTTGCAAAATCTTATTCATACTAGAGCCCAGAAAACATTACGGTTGCACGGTCATTGACCGGAGAAAGGTTTGAGAAACAATAGAAATTTGCAGGAAGGTTTTGGTAAAATAGCATTTTTAAAAACGATTGAGACAACTTATTTTGCACTTGTTTCTTTGTTGTGCTTTGATTACACACATTGAATCTGTTGCAGAGTCGGTTAGTGGTGTGAGCCAATAGGCTTTAGGGAGGTAGAAGGCGGACAAAATAAAAAATTTTGAAGCCACGCCCTTTTACCGCCAAAAAACACATCTGAAAAGAGAATGCTGTTTGTGTTCCATGGTTTTTGAATTTTACAATGAATATGATCATATTATGTTTCCATCGATTTTATAATTCGACAATTAAAAAGAAATATTATTCTTGAACTAAGATGCGCTTGGTATTCTTACAAAGTTTTGTTGTATGCGATAATAACCATCGACTCAGATACGTAACGATTTATTGCGTCTGTCGCCCCTTATCCCGTAGCCATTCCCTAGTCATGCCCTGACCAAGTTTATTGCTTGAAAAATTGGAGGAAGGTTTTGACGGGGAAAAATTTGACCAGAGGAGGCTTGAGGACTTTTCTGGACTCTGATTCATACATGATATTTTGACAGTATATTTTGGATAGATTTGATCTATGAAATTTATCAAATCAATGAACAATCCTGGATTACACAGATAATAGTTACATCACGTCCAAGCAACGCAAATGTAAACGATCCACAACAATTACTTCACTCAAAGCATATGCACATTCTTTCCAGCTTCATATTACGATGTGTTTGCTGGGCGCTATGCCACGTATTCTTTGCTCGCACCGCGATTCTCCAGCCAAGAGGCAAAGAAAACAATTCATATTTTTCAATCAACCAATCATATCTAGTATATGCCTTGACGTTTTAAATCAAGCTTTTCTTTCAAATTAAACTGTTTAGGTCTAGGCAAGACTTCATCGGAAAACTCAATGAGTACCAAAAGAGAGCAATTGCTAATGTCTTTCTTTGGCAGATCAAAGGCAGTACAGTTTTTGCCCGAATTCAGGCAGGAATGGCAACTCACCATGCTCTGTGCGTCACACGACTGCCCTTTACTATGCATGGGTAGACCATTATTGGAGGCGCAAATTTGCATTGGTTCTCCAAGTCGCAACTGCCGTTGCATTTTACCTTGTTTAAGAGAGTGGTTGGACTAACAAGTTGATCTTGACTCATGCTCAAAAGCCACAAATTCAAAGACTTTTGCAATAGATTTTCAAAGGATTTTCAAAAAATTGCAATATCGTGTCTTTCAATTTTACGTAGTGGATTCTAAAACTGCAAGATAGAAAGGCAACTGGGCTTTACGAATCCGAGTCGATTTCCAGTCGCCATGACATCTTGCAGTTACTTAAAAATCGTTATTATGTAGACAGAAGGTGTTGGTTTTCACCTATGGACATTGGTAATATTTTCAATAGGCAAGCGGCACTGATTGGGCAACCTCAAAAGTCATGTGCTCGCGTTTCTGATTGGCCTATTTCCATCTAAAACTTGGTATATATATTCTCTAGCTTAGATTTTTCGATTTATGTTCTGACATTCTATACTTTGAAAAGTGTAAGGCAAAAAGCTTGAGTATGCTTCAATGTTTGCTTTTTTCAAAGACATTTTCATTTATTTTACGACGAGAAAATTGTTGAAAGGTATTGTCATATCTGATATTAATAGCATAAAAAATGCATAATACCACAGCATAAAAAAACATCTCTTAGGTCTACTGTCACGGAACCACAGCACAGATTGGTGGACGGATGAGGCTCCAACTAAGATTTCTCGCACTGGAACAAGCAAGTCACTGATGCGGCATAGATGAGAGCCGTATAGAAAAGATTCGGATCAAACAAAAGAAACACCAATACCACCTCGAATTTTTCTATAGTTTATAATGACACAACATTTACTAGAATAATAATTTGTAAAAATTTAAATTCTTACAAATTCTTAAATAATCTTACCTCGCTAAAATACTTGTGTATCAATGGGATGAAATTACAAAATCTTTTCTTTTTAAGAAAAATTTCTAAAGAAAATTTTCTGAATTACAATGAAATTAAAATCAAACTTGGTCGTGTTCGTACGCCAGAACAGGTGCCAACCATTTCTCGATTTCTGCCAATGGAAGATTTTTCCGTTTTGCATAATCTACAACCTGAAGACAATTAAAGGTGTTTAAGGATTAGCAGTATTCTCGAATAACCGATGTAGAAGAGCGTGTTAATAAATTAAGGCATGAAATAGCTTGGCAAAAGCAACCAGAAGAGCAAAGAAACTCATAGAAAACTAAAAAATTGCTTGCCTCTTTTGCAATTAACTAATACAATTAACAAAAACCACCAAAACTTTCTTTGCTCAATAAATAGGGTAGTTGTTCTGTCAACGATGCAAAAATCTATAATCAGTACATTCTTTAGAAATCTGAGAAAAGGTGTAAGATATTATTTTGAAACAAGAGAGGTGGGTTGTTAAGTTTGGTTGTTAGTAAAACTGTTACACCAACATTTTGTGCTATGAAATAGACATGAAATAGGGTCACAGCCGCGAACAAAAATCTGGGGCTTTAGGCCGAGTTTCTGAGATTTATGCAGATGTAGCATGCAACAACGTGCTGAATAATATAAAAAAGAATTTACAATTTTCTAGTACTGAAATACAATGAAAGGTAGATAGACCTGTGGTGCAGAGACCTTTGGCACCGCTAGGAAAGAGGCTATATCCAAGTGAGATGAGATGGAGTTCTTAGTTTTTCAACTTCCTTTTCTACGTATTGTGAGAAGGAGATACACAGGGGTGGGGATTTCGATGTTGTTCATTCCGAGGAATGAAGAAAGACGAAAGCGAGGCAGCATGAAGAGATGGCAGAAAAAATTGAAATTCAAGAAAATGCATGAAATGCGATTATTGAATATAAAATATGTTTTGGGACAATATATGAATCAACTACGGATCTAATCATAAAATAAAGTGTGTTGCGTTATCACTGAACATTAGGGGTAATTTTTAGAGAATAAGGGGATGGATAGTTGAAGAAATGTAGCTTATACAAAATAGCTTTACAGCTACGATAAAACACGGACGGTGATTAAATCTGCTTTGAAAGTTAGTTGAACATGTGGCTTTATGGCACTGTACACCTTCCCGGATTCCAGAACTGAGCAATCATCGTGAAAGTCCACAAAATGACAATAAAAAGCGAAGACACAAAATAATGATGGGTATAGGACTAGAAAAATAGTTCATAAAATATTCCACAAAATTGTTTGCATGGTGGCCAGACCTCTGACTCCGCTTTTAGAAAATCATCCACAACAGACAGTTTCAAGAAACAGAGCAAATATAAATGTGGTATTGCAAGCAAGCAAATAAGAAAATGAGGAAATATCACAATATGTAAGGTAGCTGGACGTTTTCAAAAGGACCGGAAACTAGGTTATATTTGCAAGAGTTCCTAGAGAACATAATACTTGATTAGGGTTGGGGAAGACAATAGAGCATGAGAGAGGTGCATGGTATATTTCATAAAGGGGTATCAATCGTTAGCCTAATTATGCTTCCGAAATCAAGAGACTTGCAAATATCAAAGGCAGTACGGGGAGGCACACAAAATGCCATCATTCGCTAAAATTGCGAACTAATAACTTTTCCTGGTTGGCATATTGAGTTACTTTGGCGATAATTGGCATAAAAAACACAAAAGCAAAAAAATCCTTGTCTGCGGACGAGATTGCACTCATGTTAAGTCAAGTCGTTATTTGGAAAAAACGAAAATTTAATTGCTTTATCTTTGGACAATCATTTCTCACTACTGGTCAATCTTCGGAAATAGCCTCGAAAGCTGACGAACAACAAGCTCAAAAAAGCAACTTGTTCATGCATTGCCGGTGTTGTAAAGTGAGCTTGAGAAATGCAAGGCACAACATGTCCACAAAAACTTGTCTCTCCCCCAGAAACCACTTTTCATTTTAACCCTGAATTTTTAAACACTGCTTTTGTTGACTTAAAGAGAACTTGAAGATGACTCAATTTCGAGAAATTGTACTGAGATAAAAATAGAGAATGGGATTATTTATCCCCCTAAGACCATGCAGTACTAAAAACGTTTTCTTGTAAACCAATTAGGTAAAAAGACTCGTTAGAATGAAACCCTGACACAATATTTTAACCTCTGGGCAGTATCTAGCATCCAAAGTGACACCATTAATGACGTCAACTATCAAATACACGGAACGTAGTACGCAGGAGATAGAGCTTGAAATCCCTTATCAATCTATCCATCCACTTCATTAGGAAGCGAAGTATCTAACAATTTTTCGATGGTTTTGCAAGAGAAAGGCCCCAGGTGTCGAAAAGAATGCCCTAACAAAAGAGAGTAGATAGACGATAAGAGCATTAGAGATCACGATATTGTTTCTTTTTGTTTTGAAAGATAACAGGTTATGAGAATCTGGGAAGCATAAAAAGAGTAAAGCTTTAAAATCTACCAGCCCTGAGAAGGGAAGGATGAGCATTTGAGTTGTGGGTCAAGAGAAGGGTGAGCACTGGAATAGTATCTAGCACTTTTTAGCAACTTCTTTGGGGGAAGGATCTCTGATCGCCTGGGAGCAATGTCCATGGATCGTCAGGAAACGAGAATCTGTAAAAGTGCTGATTCTGCGGATGCAGTTTGAGTCGATTTTGTCAAAATGAGAAGAAGAAAATTTAGGAGCACCGCTTAGAAATATTATAGTAGTGCTCCAAAGAAGGACGAATTCGGGATATGTATGTAGGTAAAGGATGTGAAGGTGAGAAGAACCTATGAGCCTTACCAAGGAACCCTTGTACAGTACCCTGAAGTTATCAGTAACTGAATAGGTCAATTATTTGGACTGAAAAGAAAGTGGATATTGGTAGACTTGGTCCAGAATGCAAGCTTGCCGAATGATGTTTATTGCCCATATATAATGGCTATATCTTGAACAGAATAATCAAATTTTTCGAAATTTACCCACACCATGAAACGAGCTACAGACTGCAACAAAACGCAAGCACAGGGTCCAAGGAAAAGCAAGACGTTAATAAAGCAAGAAGATGGGGTCTTAGTTCTAGCTGCTTGCAATTAAGCGAACAAATTGCCAGTAACTGAAAAAAGCTAACTTCATGTTTGGAGCGTAAATCGTTTGACCTTCTTGAAAATGTAACGGAAATGGATTCAGAAACATTACGCGATTTACTTTGGTACGCAAAACCTAATCTAAATTTCGTAATGAATAGAAAGACAACGGAAGCTACTCTCGTTTATTGACAAGTCAAAGCAAATGAACCAAGTTTGGAAATGTAACCATGGGAGCAACTATCCGTCCTCTCTCGTTTACGTTCGATTTTTATTCTATTAGGTAATGCAAATGCCTTTCACAGTGGAGACTAGATGACCACGTGTCTTTTTTGCGCGGTGAATGGCAGCAGTAATTGCATTTACTGTTTTTTAACAAAGTGTTACTCTGTGCATAAAGAGTATCAAAGAAGATGCGAAAAACAAGCCCAAAATTTTCTATGTAGACTTTTATTTGCAGGTTCTTCGATCTAAAGGAACACCAGTATGTGCTTCTTGCACATAATGCTACCAAATTCAGCATCTGTTTAAGGTAAAGACAAACAGAATTCGGTTACACATTCCAGCCACCATATTACTAGCTAGAAACATGCCCAAGCATAGGATTCCAAAAAGCTACAAATCAGACTTTGTCAAAACGACAATTTACAAGCAAAGAGCAATTACCTTCTTCATTACAAAGAGCCTATCATAACAACAACAGATTATCAAGAGAGTAAAACCGTCCTTTCATCAAAGCATCATAGACAGAAGACATCCCTTAACGCCACCACTGGCTTAGCCTCACTATTGTACGTGAAATGGAGTATACTGTACTCGTATCTTATGCAAAGAAAATTAAAATTGAAAATACAACTGGAAAATTAGAATAATCAATGGTACCTGGTCTTTGCAGATCTTTCCTGTTGAAAAATAGTGGGATTTTGGGTGTGCAAAGTAGAGTCCTGAAACTGAAGCTGCAGGTTTCATTGCGAGGCTCTCAGTCAACTCAATGCCTGTGTTGTGCTCAATTTCCATTAAGCTCCACATTGTTGACTTTTCAAGATGATCGGGTTGACTTGGATAGCCTGGAGCTGGTCTGATGCCCTGGAATAAAAGAAGGAAATTGATTAAGATTTGATAAGCTGTTTTCGTTATTTGATAACAAATTTCATGGCAGTGACAGCCAGGGTTGAGCACAACTATGGAGCACGATGGATGAAAGCAAAAAGAACTTTAAAAAAGAGGAGCCGAAGATGAATGTCTTAGCTTTTGCGCTTCCCTGTTCACTTTCTAATAGAAGTCTCATAACAAGTACAAATTTAACAGACCATCTACTCACGAAAAGACTGACAGCTCGCAAACCAGAGTTGAAAGGAACAAAAAACTGAGTACAGTGACAAACATTTTTTTGGAGTAAGCGCATACACTTTTTAACTTAACTGAAAATTCTGCTTGGTATTGTCGTTTAGGTCAGTACTTTTTGTGTTGTGACCTTTATGGAGGAGCAAAAGGTGTGGAGACAAAATAGAAAAAAGCTACATTCTTCCTTTTCTTTCTGTAGTTTTCGCTCCTTACTGAGGGTCGCAGCGCACACTACAATGTTGTTTCTTTCTTTTGAGGGTACACAAAGGCAAGATAAAAACAGCCGCGTGATAATCTAAATGGAGGCTTAACTCAGCCTCTGTCTGAAAATGTGGGAGGAATTATTCCTACTACTTTTTGCTTATTTTGGGGTTGTTTATTAAAATTTCGAAGTAATGGATGATGGAACCAAGATTCCAAATACCACAAACCAAAATTATATTCAAGTTTCACCCTACAAAATTCCATAACTAAGAACACCAACAGCGTTTCAAGGGTGTATTTCTCTATTAACATAAAATAAAAAACAAAGTACACCCTTGCAAAGAAACTTTAGGGAAACATCGCGAAGAAGGTGCGAAGAACTGTTAAGGAAAAGAATACAGGTCACCTTATAAAAAGTAAAAAAAATTCATTATCGTTCAAACTCGGTGCTTAAGGGCCTAAAGGTAAGGAGATTCGAGAGAGGGTTTATTTGAGAGAGGGACTTGATCAAATTGCTACAGTACCTATAAAATGAAGAACGATTAGTTACTAAATAAACATAGGAATATATACTGCATTGCCGATTACTGATTGCAACAGACCAGAAGCATGGTGAGAATTTTCATGGGCCGGGAAAATGAAGAAAGCTAGCATCGCGGAGACAGCATGGGGCCTTACTTCACTTGTTTTTTCTCACAAATCTGATGTAACAAATGATAAAAGCTTAAAAAGAAGATAATTCCAAGGGGCCCACACAGAAAGATTTCAGGAGACAAGGAGTTAGACGCCGCTTTAAACATAATGTATCTAGGTAACGACCAACGAAGCACAACAACAGCAACAGTATCTAGTTTTGGATTTTTGGCGGGCATTTTTTCCGTCACGTGATGTAATAATGGCAGGCAAGAATATTAGCAGAGCTCTGGTGTTGAAAAAAATGATTTCTGTGAATCGAAGACGTCTGTCGTTCGGCATTTTCTGATATCTGAATCGAATTTCTGATAGCTGTTTATAGAATTAATTGTGCAGTTCGCTTTTTGCGATATTTAGGTTTAGGTGAATTATTGAAGCGAAGGGAGGGGTAAGTAACGTTTCAAAATATTTACAGGGAGAGTTTTCAAATGGACAACAAATCAGAAATATTAGCAAGAAAATAAATAAACAAAGGACCATAACACCCGTCTCTATGACCGGATCAGTATCAACATGTTTAAAGTATAAATGAACATTATTTTCAGACTGCTTTCACACCCGGTATCTCGTTAAAAACATCCCATTTGCTTACAGTTGCAGTATGCAAGGATGAATGAGTGTAACAATATTGAACTGTATCGATCAAAAATCAGAATTAAATCAGATATCATTTACATTAGGTTTCATTTGCATAATTTATATCACACGAGACTCCTTGTTTTTGCCTGTGTTGTAATATTTTAAGTAATATCCAAACTTTAACAAAGAGAAGGTTATTAACGGTCACGCCTTGAAACCATAAAAATTAAATACATTTCAACTCCAACGGGGCAAACGGAATTCTTCATCACTCTTCAACTGTATTCATAAAAATAAGTTCCTAAAGAGTAACTGTGATTTTTTGATACGATAATAGAACAGTTTTAATAAACTTTACATGATATGGCATTGTATAAAAAATACAATACAATACATTATAACATAACATAACATAACATAACATAACATAACATAACATAACATAACATAACATAACATAACATAACATAACATAACATAACATGATATAATATAATATAATATAATATAATATAATATAATATAATATAATATAATATAATATAAGATAATATAATATAATATAATATAATATAATAATATATAATATAATATAATATAATATATATAATATAATAAATATATATATAAAATATAATATAATATATAAATATAATATAATAAATAATATAATATAATAATATATAATATAAATATATAATATATATAAATAATATATAAATATAATATAATATAATATAATAATTAAATATAAATATAATATAATATAATAATAATATAATATAATATATAAATATAATATAAATATAATATAATATAATATAATATAATATAATATAATATAATATAATATAATATAATATAATATAATAAAGTTTGGTAAAGTACGCATATGTCATACATACAATAATTATAATTAAAATTACATCGGCTTAGTGGTACCGATATCTTCCCATAAGGTAATAGCAATTAACACGTTAAAAGGATAATCTCAAAGACTATATTTAAAACATTTCATTGATAAAACAAATTCTTAAAAGACACTGTTTAATGACAATGACAAAGAGTCCGGAAATTCAGGTTTCGGACAGGAGGCTAACGGACCTTATCCTCGCACCTCAATCATTAACCAATGAAACAATATTTGATGTACAGGATCACATTGCAACTTTAGTGGGTAATTTGAGAAATTCGAAATCCCTTCAAGGCAACATAGATATTACTGGCCTCACTTGACTCTAATTGTTTTTAGTTACGCCTACTGTATTCACTTGAAGTAGGAGCTCATCGAAAGAGGGAGGGCAAACATCACACCTGACAAAGTTAGACATTGTCACGGTTTCCTTCCTTTCACCAAAAACGTCACTCTTGCATTGCAACGGTTTCAGATGGGCCGAGATAGGAGTTCGTGCGCGACGCTTGATTGACAAGACTGTTAATGAAAAAGTGCATAATCGTATGAAGTTTGGCCTCAATAGCTAATTATGCAATAATGTTAATTCGGATGGTCCGATGCAATAACACAGCTTAGGGAGGTACAATATCGATATTAATTGTATTTGATATTTTAAGACCATTGCACAAAAGAACAGAGGACTAATATATAAACAAATTCTTGGAGATAGGGCGTTCGATCAGTAAGCTGCATCGCAGAAGAGGGAGCATCGGGAAGCAGGCCGCATACCAAAAACCGAGTGGAGGAGCAATTGAGAGTCTGCAGTTCACTGTGGTAAATTGTCATGGAAAGAAAGCCATCAAGTCTCAGCTTTTCGATTGAGAACATATTGTACGGTAGGACAAGCCAAGAAAAATCAGGCGAACGGAGAAGAAATCTCGACTGCTGTGGGCTAAGATGCACGGGGACTTTGGGAAAGCAATGCACGATAAAAGGATGCTATCAAGAGTGCATGGGTCGTTGTGTTTCCGAAAGATATCCTGACCGCATAAAAATTGAACGGCAAAGAAGAAATTTCGATATTTCGTCACAAGATGGTAAGAAATAAATCAAAACAAAATTGCTAGAATTTATCAGCTTAGTATGTATGAGACAGTGCTACAAAATATGTGTTTTGCAGCTTTTCTCCCAAAGCTTCAAAATAAACTGATCAAAAATAACATAATGGTAATTTCTTCAAACGATCTTTACTAAAAAATATTTCTAACGGGAAACATTTTTTATCGGCAATAAGGATCAAATTTATATTATAATGATAGCAACTTTATGACGTTTGATATTTATTAGAGGCTGCGAGAAAGGATACCAGTCAAAATAGGCACAATCAGTGGTCAACAGAACTGTTCGAATGATTGAAATATAATTTAAAGATTCTTTAACATATGAACTGCAAAAATAACTGGTATTGAAGGTTAAGATTTCTATATCTGGTTCTACAGAAGATGTTAGTGGCGTTTTTGTAGGCATTTCTGGAACCATTTTGATAATTTATTGTTAATTAGGTACCAAAGAACGCATTTCTTGATGGTATTCGTCCATATGGAGCACAAAATAGCCTGAGGCATTTAACAACTAGAATTATATTCTTTAAAAACTTTGCTTTGATTATGGGGAGTCGCAAGGTTATTATGGGGGGACCAGACAAACGAGGTGTGTTCATGTTGAGAGTGGGTCCAGAGAGCGATTCAATAAGCCTAGCTTCTGCATGATAATGAGCCTAGCTTCTGCATGATAAATCCCGACTTAGGGATAACAAGTGCAAGCAAAAAGAAGAAGAAAAGGCTGTATATAAAAACATAATGTGTTCGGGTTGGTTTAATTTTTCATATCTCAGAATGAATGGCCACAAACGAAAGATTAGTGGATCACATACAGACAAACAGTAGGAGACTGGCAAAATAAATTCACAATGACACTCTGTACCTTCGCCAAAAAAGCAAATTTATGGCTGAAACGTACGCAAATTTTGTATCAAATGTAGAAAAGTATCAAACAATCCTTTAAACATCTTCGTGAACATTGTCTTTGCATATGATTAGAGGATTCAAAGCTGAAACTAGATATATCAAGCATTCATGAAACGCACAATAATGTTATACTTTGGAAAGGACAAAAGCCATTACTGCAATAAATGCAAACAAAGCATGAGGGTTTAAGTGAGAAAAGGTGGCAATTGAGTAATATCGGTGACAAATCTATCTTTGTTTTGATCTGACTTGAATATTTTTCAGTCTTGCAACTTTTTAGGTTGGCTGGTGTAAAAATCCAGTCCACTACCGCTTATAAATCTTTGAGAGACAAAATTCTCCTGTTGAAAACAGTTTTATGCCATTTGTTTCCTATATAACCTATGCTGACTAAATGCTAGAATTATGAGGGTATAACGAGAAAGGGACTCAAGAAATGTCACAAGTTTTTTGCAAAACGTTCTTCCACGGGTAGTACAGTTCCATTGTAAAAAATAAAAAAATTGATTCTTGATTTCATAGGATCAAAAGTAACGAAAACAAAACAAAGAAAGACTTTTTGTAGATTCCTAGTTAAAACTAAAGAAACTATACAAAATAAATAAAATAATGGATCTAAAGGTGCTGGATCTTTGCATCAAGCTACATATCTAACGAATTACATTGTTAACTCTACCATACAAGAAACTATCTAGGAAAAACAAAATATCAAAGAATTATACACAAAACAACCTACAGTAATAAAGGAAACAAAGATTTAAAAGCGTGATTTTTTCAAGAGCCCAGTAAATTTGCGACAAGGAATGTGATAAACATGACTATTCATCCTTCAAGAAAAAACGAACAAGTGACTTTACAGTTGAAACGAACAAGTGACTTTGCAGTGCTTTACAGTTGTCTAACAGCGTGTTAAAACATTTCACAAGCAAAGAAGCCTGTAAATCTGATAATTCACTCCGTATATATCAAAAGTTTCTCTTATCTGGACACTGAGTAGAATAAGAAGAAAATCTTGCTATAGTAAGTGCATCACGTTCTATTTCATTACATTCTATGAAATCTAGCCGAAAATGATGTGTTCAAACGCTACAAGTAAATAAACATAACTTTCTCAAAATCTGTTCCTTCTTATAAAAGTAGAGTGCGTTAAATCTATTTTGAGGGATTGAAAAGCAAGCAAAATTGTCATGCGTTTAGAAAAGATTTTTTCTGAGTTGGTATCTTTCGTGAAAATTTTGGACTTCAAGACTGAGCTACCTCGCCAACTTTATAATTGACAGTCAAATTAATAAAAAATAATTAAGTGACCATAATTTGGAGGAGCAGGTTTGGCCACGCCTATGAGGTTTCTCGATTTTCCCTTGTCTGGGGTTGGTTTTGTCAGGATGGTCAATTGAAGGCGACGAGTAAACCACAAGAGGTATTACAATGCTCAAGTCCTGCGTTTTCTCTTAACCTTCAAATTTTTCTGGAAACTCCGTCCTACATTGCATTGTAGTATACATCATAATTTGTGTAAAAACCATGAAAATTTCGGACAAGGCTCGGTGTTTACGTTATTTGGATAATTTGAGGACGTGTCTTCTCAATGTTGGTCTTCTTTCAACATTGATTTCTCTAAAAAGTCTATAAATTATTTCTCTGACCACAAAATAGCAATTTTCCATGATATTTTTAGTAGCAGGGTTTATTAGCTGATAAAATCTGCCCTGTTCTGTTAACATGAGAAAACGCCTTCAAAAACACTTTGTTGTTTCCTCTAATTTTTCAACTGGACATGTTCCTACGCTGTTTTTTCTCGGCGAATAGAGATTGTGTTTTATAAGTATAAGAGTACAGAAAATTAAAAGCTCAAATGCCTAAAAATTTCGCTTAACATTTGCATTGTGAGGTGTTTATTGACTGCAAAATATGATCATCGATAGAAATCGATAGAAACGTAATCTCTTGCTTTTTAAAAATGATATTCCACAAGGAACACAAACTGGACTTAACAAAAAATATATCTCCATCTTGCAATTTTCTATAGTTTACAGTTCACGTTTTTAATTTTGTTTAAAAATGAATAAGCGCGGGGGGGGGGGGTTTAATAAAGAGTGGGCCTGGGAAATTTCAGAAAATGCTTATATGCTTAGAACTCTTAGAAAAATATAAACAGGTAAAACACAATAAAAACAACTAAAACAAGTCTCTAATCAAACAAACCGTTTAAAAACCATGATTCTACTGCATATGCACGAAAATCATAATGAGCCTTGGACACTGTTTTGCCAAAATCAATAAACGGCCGGGGAGTGGGAAAAGTTTTTGGAGATTAATAAGCATCCTTTTTGTATTAAGCACCCAAGTGTAGTCAGAATTGTAGAAATAAATGGGTAGTAAAATTTCAAGCGGAAATAAATTTGCTGGTTCGAAGCATCTTGTTTGGTGATATTTGTTAGAAGAGAAGTTAGGATTACATCTTTGGGCCGTCCCATCATTCTGGTAGAGTTTTATATCCATTCTCACGCTTTTTTAAATCATTAAAGGTTAAAGTACTTATCTATTAGTAGGCTAATCGTAGGCTCCACCCATGGGGTACTTCAAAAGGTAACCATTGCAAACATTACTGTTATTTGAATCGCAACTTGCTGTCTGATTTACGTTAAACAAAGAAAACTTCTTCCTTGCATACATTCCATCTTTTCAACTATCACTTTCAGGATCAAGCTTTCCAATTAAACCCATTAATATTTTGACAGATTCTTCAAAAGAAAAGCGTAAATGTTTCCAGGGCACTATCATCAGCCCCTTTCCATTTCCTTGATATATGTCGCTTGACAAGTGCTACAACAAGGTCAGCTGCAAACATTTTTCCCACCCAAAAGAATGAAGGGTGCGCTGAAAAATTGGCAACATTTTGAAGAAAAATGCTATTAGAATCTGAGCCCCAATCAGTTAGGAGTCTTTTTGGAAAAAGGAATTATTTTTTCCCAATATTTATAAAGAACTATAAAGAAATTAGGAATCATCAAAGACTCAACTTGCGTTTGCTTGGACAGGGACAAGATAATCTACGTCAATCTCTGTGGCTGCTACTTTGTGATAAGGCGAAACTAACTAACTGGGAGAGATGTATACGCAAAGAAGAGAAAATGAACTTTGGATCGTTTGGGTAGAAGCCTTGTCAAAGCTGATACAAAGTTGTGAAGCCTTAAGTCATCAACCACAGGATGTATTATAGCGTTTGGCAAGATGTATTATTTGTATATGTCAAACGCAATTAGGATATAATTATAAATTCATCTTGATTCCCAAAGTAAGAGATTTGAGGACTTGTTCAGAGGTGGGTCGTATATTTGTGGCTCATGTGGTATGACGCGCAAAATCAGCACTTGAGCATGGTAATAGCCAGGTGGGAGACGCTGCAATGATGTTAATATAAACCATCATGCATTGATGAAATAATTGACCATGATGATTTGAATATAGGCCGGCGGAGATCGCTCAAACTCAAGCACGGGAAACAAGCTAAATCAAAAAAGCACTCTTCAAGAGTCTTAATTAACATTAAACAATTGATATTTTATTTCGCTTTCTCGATTTCCTTTCACCCAATATTCAAGAAAAAAACTGTTCAAATTGACTTTTGTAAAATTAGAACCAAGCTACCATTATGTTGTTAATTAACAAGTTAAACACGGAAAAGGGGTTTTTTTCTGGTTCTTACACTGGGGAGGTTTCTCTGGAAAAGGTGACGTTGAAGTTATCTTCAAGGGTAACATGAGAACGTTATTCTTTGCTAATTATTTATTAAAGGCTCATTGAATACCAAAGTGTCAGCCCCCCGCCCCCCTCAATATAAAATTCGTTCCGACGGCACTGTCAGTACAATAGTTTTTTAACTGTTGTTGTTTCAGAAGACGGTCTCTTGTGGACGGTGTCTTGAAATAACCAAATGGGTAGCTACATCTATCATATTAGTGTTGAACCCTGTACTGTCGTGACTCTGCCAACGATTCCTATTGGTTACCTACTGAGACACACCTTTGCCTATACGAATAATGCAACTATACTTCTTTGTATGAATACCTTCTCTCATACCAAACAAGCTTTTTCCGCTTCATTTTTTGTCTAATATTGCAGTAGTTTTCGAGAGGAAAAATAACATTGACAGTAAGCAAATTGTAGACGGACACAAAAAGGTTATTGTAAATTGATCGCGACAAAGAAAGTGTGAAAATGAATACAAAACTGCGATTGCCAGCGAGCTAAGGTTTTACGCTGGATGTCAGGGTATAAGGTTTTTTACAAATTCGGAGAACGCGAGGCAACAGAAAGGGGGAATGTAACTATTACTAAAGACACAATAAAAATGAAAGAGTGGCCACTTTTAAACGAAAACAGGCGATAAAAGTGGCTGTAAGCCTGCCAGTAAGCTAATAGAGAAAACTATATGGCAATCAATGAATGGCAGACCGCATATCTTATAGACTGCTAGCTAACCTTATCATTATACGTTGATAACAAGGGCTGGCTCACTCGGCTTATCTGCCTGTGCCTCACAAGGATTCTCAAGTAGAAGATATTACCTCCAGGCATTCATAGGAAATTAGACCTGTGATATAGGCCTGTGAGGTGAATTTCAACACCGTAAACGACAAGGGTTATGACAGCCTCAAAAGGACGTTAGCATTCTGTGAACAGAAGGACTCAAAACGCAGCCCTGGCCCTTGGAAAGACTCAGAACGAGGAATGGAAGCAAGGCCACATGAAACAGCCACGCTTTTAGCAGTGATCACCGTTTAAAACCCGATACTGACTACAACTCAATGAATATCCAATCGGATTACGGGCCAACAAGGCCTAAGAAAAATAAAAACATAAAATTGAAATTTACGAAAATTACTGTATACCAGTCTGTCATAAAGTGCTCGATGCTGTATAGGCAAAGTTGTACACACTTTTTGTTACACGCGAAATTAAATTATTCTCAAAAAATTAAGATTAGGGAGGAAGTCATAACTTGCAGGAAAAATACTTATGTTTGTAACACTATGTAATTGTAAAAGCAAGATCTTTTCGAAGTAAGAATTTTCTGGAATTAAGAGCTTTGTAAGAGTCTTTAAACACCAATCAATAACGACGTAAAACGACAAGAAACAGTGCAATACAAATATCAAAATAAACTGATATTTAAGCCTATTATACAACGCATTCAATACCGCAGCGGGTCTCGTTTCGTTTGCTTTCGATTTTAGCATTAAGAATTCAGAAGATGAACGGAGTCTCTAGTTGGTTTAACAGCGCCGAAAAATTATTTAGGTATATTTTCAATAGATATATCTTTTCCTTGTTGCTGAGATGTGTAGATGACAATTAGCCATCAGACAGCCACCCCTCGGACAGCCACCCCTCGGACAGCCACTCATCGGACAGCCACCCCTCGGACAGCCACCCCTCGGACAGCCACCCCTCTTGCTCAAACAAGAATTAAAATCAGTAAAATGTCGAAAGAAAAATTGCAATAATTGCAAACTAAGACAGTTGATTTAATATCAAAATAATGCGAGATTATGCATTTTCGATGCATGATTATTTCTAACACAATACTTGATCATTTCTCATAATGTATCAACGCTACTGGGAGGCAGATACCGTTGCTCCACGGATGTGGACCAACCTGCTTGGCTCTCTGTTTGTCACGGTGGCGAAGTAAGCACTTCAGAAGTCAACTGTCAAAAAGCAATATTCATTTGGATTGGCTAAGGACACTGAGGCTTGGCGAAAGACTACTTTAAGGCCTGTTTTACGTCAGCAACTTCAGAATTAATTATCAAACTGGAAAACGAATAATGATTGTGTGACGCGAATGATCATGACAAAGTAAAGACTTAAATTAGTCACTACTCGAAAAGAGGTCTTTAAAAAACCCAATGCCAACAGAATATACGTCATTAAAAAAGCTAGTGGCTTCAGTGTAAAATTAAATTGAATGGCATCAGCATGGCCTTAAATTGTGGCTTAAAATAAAGGATGGGAAGACAATAAAGGATGTTAAAGAAGCCACAAATCATGTATTTGATTTATGTAGCCGCTATCTTTATACCTTTTTCATAAATCAAAATTTTACATCGTATTTATTTAATTTATGTATGAGCATAAATTGATAACTTTAGATAGAGATACTCTGAATTTTGGACGAAAAACTAAGAAATAATGCATGACTTCAGAACTGCAAAGCTGATGTGCTCAACAGTTCTTAAGTTCATCATCTTTTCATTGGAATTATCTTTAACTGCATTGCCATTCAACTTGCACGAAAGCATTTTCTTTTGACTATGATGAAAGCTGCCATGAATGGACAAAGAGACAAATGTTGGGTGCAATTGAAAAGAGATCGCGCTTCAATGTCAAGCGTTTGAAAATATACCTATCCTCTATCTGATAAATTCGTTCTGAAAATTGCAGATTAATCCTTAAATTCCCTTCAATAAGTCACACAAACGATAATACCGTGCAAATTGTCTTGTTTTACAGAAAATCCATTCTTCGATGGACCAATGATCACTTCGGCCTGTCCTGACTCAACAGAAGACAATAATTCGAAAAAGCGTCGCCATCGGACAATATTTTCTAACAAACAAATCGAAGAATTGGAGAAAGCGTTTAGGGACAGTCACTACCCAGATGTACACCGCAGGGACATTCTTGCGAAAAAGACCAAACTGTCCGATGGCAGAATCCAGGTAAAACGATAATTGCATTTACTTACACCATATGAGGTTCTGTTCATCATATTTCAACTCCTAACAGGTCCAATATAAATAAATAAAACAATTGCATCTCTTTCAGAAGATTTCAACAAAACAATATTTTTAGCCACTTTATGAAACGACGCGAAATACAGCAGGAGACGATGCTCGATCAGACTTCTTTCTTGAGTGATGTAATGAGCAGAGCGCACATTTCAAATGTATTTTATGAATTAAGATACAGTTATTTAACCAAGGTTTCTCATAAGGATAATATTCAAACTACATTGGTTGAAAAAGAAACGTCTAAACGAGAAACCCTGAAGAAGTTTCTGCTTTAAAGTTAAGTGGTTGGGGTACTTTAGGTATTTTTAAACAAAATAAGGAATGTGCAATGTAAAAGCAGTAGAGAAATGTTAGAAACAAGGCTAATTAAAATCTGACTCAGGCACATAACAGCCTTGCATTGATAACTTAACTTAGCAAATCAAAACAGAAAAAGCAAGGCTTTGGTGAATGAACAGTGTGCTCAAAAGAAAGAACCGTTTTACATATATAAATAGCAATTTCCGATGGATCTCTTCCTAGGGCTTTCGAATGTCAATGAATAAAACAAAGAAGAAGCTGAGGGAAACAAAAAACTTTGGCCGTTCGCATATGACGCACTTACTTAGTTTGCTCAATGCAAAAAGCACGCTTTGCTCTAAAGAGCTATGCAAACGCGCGCTTCCTACTTAAAATTAATCCACTTAACAAGTCCACCCCTTTTAGAATTCAGTTTTATTAACTTATTGCGACGCTGTCTCCCAAAGCCTTGCCTATCTTGCAGATTAGACAAACTCATAAGCTGAGCTTTCTTCCCGTCTTACATCCATGACAAACTCAACGATCAATATCAATGGATTAATAGAATTGAAACTTCAAAAATCAACCCAACATAGGTCACAGCATCAACGAAACAATGAAAAAACCTATGACAATAAAAAAAGATGACACTCAACTGGCTTTGGGCAGGGCAACATTGGTTTTTCGATAATAAGGAATTTCACCAAATAAATTAGAAAGGCATTCTGTTATGCGCAAAACGTTTCTTGTGAGCTTGGGTTGATGTACACAAGGTGACCACCGGTAAAGGACGTCAATAATCCGAGCTTTAAACACAAATATATCGAAATGCCAAAGTGAGCAGATAAATCGCCATCAAAGCAAATGCGATAGCACACGCTCAAATTTCATTTCTGTTCAGACAACGCTTTCCAAATCATCATCTGCTTCTTTAAAAGAGGGTGGAGAAAACTATTCCGTTTGGCCTAATTATAATTTTGATCTCCTTTCCCTGCCTTATTTTGCATTGTTGGTGGCTTAAATATTCTGTGTTAGATTACATCTTCTATCAATTGCATGGCGTCGATGAACGTATGCTCACAGCCTAGCAAAGAAAACCAGCCCCTAGGAACGCACAGCTTGCAAGACAGAACTGAAATTCTTCGCCAGGCTTAACAAGATTAACAGGGAAAACACTTGGTTAACTAAAATACATATTAAAGACGACCTCTGGAGAAGACAAGCAACTTGAAGATAATGGTCTTTAAACTACATTTGCCAGCAAATTCGAGAGTCCCGTAACAAACCGACTCATATTGCTAATCAGATTACGACGTTCATAAGACTTTTCAGTAAGTCGTTAAACTAAGCTACAAGAAGTGTGAAATTGCCAGTTGTTCAATATATAATTGCTGTTTAACCAATGCTACATCACTTAGTCATGCTATCTGCCAAGATTCACAATAATTAACAAATATACCCTATCTATCTGAAGCACTTCATTCTCCTGACCCCCTTTTTCTCGAGGGTCTTAGAAGTCATCGGTCAAAGGGGTTATGATTGGCCAGTTTGTAGAATTGGAACCCTGTTCAACCAACAAACGAGACTCTTAAATAGTTGGTTTTAAATACATAAAGCGATGTTACTGTACTTGAGCCACGACGTGGGAGTGTCGAGAAATGAGAGGATTTGGAAACAAACCCCGCGTTATCGGAGAATTCTAAGGATTGTGAAAAAAAAGATGGTTTATGCAAACAGACGTTGAAAAAGTTCGAGCTATTTAAAGATATTTAAAAAATAAACCGCGATTGAGAGCGGGTAGTTACTTTTAAATATGCATAGTTTCAAGATAGATTCGCTAACAAGTAAACACCGAATTTACACGTGGCAATCCACAAGCTGAAATTTAATGGGTAGGAAATTATATTACAGAAATATCTAATTTTTGTGAGTTTGCAAATTCGGTTTTTATTGCTCGAGAAACGTAGAAATGCATTTCTAACTCTATTAAAAAAACCAAAGAAAGATGATTATGGTGGAAAATTTAAGTAGATTTAGGAGCTAAAAAATGTTACGGCCATGCTTCGAAAGATGTCGATGAATAAACCAACATCAAAAATCACTAATATCGTCAGTAAAATAAACTCCTCGCGAAGACTACAATAATCAGTAATTAATGCCATTGCGACAGAAAATATTGTTTTAAGACCTACCATGCTTACTGCAAATGCTACACATTTTTCAAATGTTGCTACAGCGCCAACTGACCTTTAAAGACTAAACTTGCTGTTTTTCTAGAACTAATTACGACCCAAATAATCTCTTAATTCACGAAACATCATTATTGGCTTTGATACTATCTTATGATGAAATTAGTAAAAATAGCAAAAACGGTTCTATACAATAAAGGAGAAGAAACTGAGAAAAACATGTTTTCGAAAATATGAATTCACGACATCTGATAATGCATCGAAAGGAGTGAAATTCAAGACTCTTCCATTTCGAGGACTCCCAAATTCAAGGACTCCCCATTTAAAGGACTCTCCATTTCAAGTGATCCGCAAAAATGTTAGATGCAGGAAAACCAACAGTAATTAAACCCATGAACAAGCACAACTTAAAACAACGAAGGTAGTTAAAGAAATTGCAATTCTTTATTTGCATAAATGAGAAAAGACAAAGAACAACGTTTCGGAAGGACGGATGGAGTTGGGAGAGAGGGGGAGGGGGTTAGGGACACAGGAACAAATTCTATTAAGTTTGTAAACAGCAGTCTTTAAATAGACGTAACATTTTCTCTAGTCACGTTTATAAAGAAAAAATACAGTAAGTCAAAGATGAAATGATAAATATGGCCATCTTAGTGGTAAAATTATAAAAGGATTTCAATCAGCAACACATTTTTGCAGGTTTGGTTCCAAAATCGCAGAGCAAAATGGAGAAGAAAAGAGAAAACATGGGGTACTGGGTCAGTGATGGCAAGATATGGTCTGTATGGGGCAATGGTGAGACATTCACTTGCTAACTCAATTGGGCAGGAAACAACAAAGGCACATTTACAAAAGCATATAAGAGATGGAATCTTTAGAAAGGAAGATCGGAGGGCAGGTTATGAATTCTCAAAGGAACCGAAAGAGAGTTCTGCAACTTATGCAGCTGAGTCTAGAGTCCGTTGTGGATTGGAGAGACAAAGAACTCGAAGTGAGATTGCTTTTTAACCGGACACGATGATAAAGAATTCAGTCCATGCATTGGAAGTTAATTATAAATAGATTTTAGAGCTAAATTTTTTGCTGGAAAGTATTTCCAAATCATAGAAGAGAATTTTATTCTCGTTAAGGTATAGGTGTTATTATAAGGTACGATATGTGTTGATAAAAATAAATTTTGTAGGTAATAGTGTAATACAGAGTCCAGAAAACATAACGGCTCCACGGCTGAGAATCCGAGGAAGGTCATCCAACGAAGCAGTGGTCTTGAGGAAGGCCAAAGCATAGACTGACATCAAGTGAATATCAAATGAGACGAATTTACCGTTGTGCTTGAGTTAAACTTTCTTTTTTCCCGAAACAGCACAAGGACTAAACCATCTATGCTTTTACTTAAATTCCATTGCTAAGAAATATTTATTCGAAAGAAACTTGTAAGGAAAATTTCGAAGAAGGCAAATAGGGCAAAAGTTCATCTGGAGAATAGTCTAAAGTTTTTCTGAACTCTAGCAAAATTAATATTATGCAACATGCTTCAAGTAATCAGGAATGATATAAAAATGGTACCATTAAAAATGGCACAGCAATGTAAACTTGTCCAAATTTGTACACAATGATTTATTTTACAACACCAAAGTTAGAGGTTTTGCTTTGACTGTCTAGATTTACTTCTATTTTGAGAATAGCCCTTTAGTATTTAATGAGAGTAATGATTTTCGTTATTATACTATTTATGCGAATATTTCGATTGAAGAAGAAAAGGGTTATTATCAAAGTTTGAGTATTCATGTCACCTCTTTGTATTCAGGTATTTGATATGGTATGGAACAGGTTACTCAATCGACCAATAAAAATATTTGAATTTCTATAATTTTCTGTGGAAAAGATAGGAATGAAAGGAAATGCCACGTCAGCCGCCATCCGGGTTTCTTGGAAACGGGAATGGATCGCTGCAGTGTTGTTTGAAGCAATCAAAATAGCTGAGATTGCAGTTCTCAAAGAAGCGAAATTCTAATTTGGAATCCAAGAGCAACGAGATATTTCTAATTGGCTGATTACTTTTATAAGTAGTATTTTAAATTGTTGAATCATGACACTATTCTAATAGATTATAAAGATAATATCATCAGCCCAGAAAAGTGGTTATCCTCCATCTTGACAATAACCCTGGCCCTGGGCCTGCCTACGAAACCAATTGAAACAAAGCTCGGTTTGGGCGTGGCACTTTTTTCCTTTACTTTCATTGGCCCCTCTTTATCTTCATTGACATTTTACCACGCCATTCTATCCAGGATCTGCTGATTGGCCCTTGCGAATTTTAATGAGTCCAAAATTTTCAGCTAGTAGGTATAGAACAGATCAGATATGAGAGAATGCAAGAAAAAGAACTTGAAAAGAATCACCTGGTATTTGATTCTGTGGAGGTCTTTAGAATCAAGCCTTTCTTCAGAGCAATAGCCCCATAGTTCCTTTCGTACTCGCTCGTGCATCTCCTCCGCAAAAGCCTAGACAAATGGTATAGTATAAAAATCGTTGTAATTGAAAAGCTTCATGTTCTTTCTTGATTAAGAAACGAATGAAAATTGTTATTTTTCTCTTCCTCCTTGTACTGTGAGCCAAAAACACTCAAACTCAAATGCCAAAAGTGCAGACCAAGAAATTAATGAACTCTTCAGTGATACAAATCATTTTTGTTTTAAATTACTACACAATTTGTTGAGAATAATATATTTTTTAGAGAGACACATCTAGAAAGTCTTAAGAAAAGGTTGCATACAAAATCTAATCAAATCTAAATTTCAAAACGAGAGCTTTTAATGAAAACGGCTTATTAGGATGATTTTTTCCAGACATTATTAGGATGATTTTTACCACGTATTAACATGGGTATTTTTAAGCTTTCTTTTACGATAACATTTTTAAGCAACTGCTTTTTTTTATAAGAAAATTCAGGCTCAAGATCATCTTATTTTTAAGAATAATATAAGAATATTTCTCAGTCTCAGCTTGCACATTTTTGTCATTTTCAGCAGTTGCCAGATTTGTGATGTTCATAACGGGAAATCGCAAAACTGACAAATATCGTTGATCAAAAAGTATAGTCTATTCAAGATCGGGCGATGTTTCCTGGAAACCATATCAGATTAAAAAAAATAAGAATATATTTAGCCTCAAAATGAAAAAATATCAAGGCAGAAAAAATTTATAGTATTCTTACAATAAAAAGAGTGTAAGTAAAAAAGTGTAAAAAAGAGTGTACGTGGATCGAATTTCTAAAAAAATGCTCGGTATTTGTCCTCAGTATCCTAAGAACCCGGTATTTGTCCTGTGAACAGCTAGCAAATATAACAAATTGCGATCACAGCACATAACTAAATAAAGTTACTAAAGTTGAAAGTGTTCAGATTCCTTGAATATTATTTTCCTCAATGAAAACGCGGGTAAACCAGCATTGTTTATTAAACCTTTATCTTTTCTTGATTAAGCAAGAGGAAAACCTATTCGAGACAAAAGGCTTATCTTGGATGTTAAGGCAAAATGAAATGGCTGATTCTTCAAAAATTACAGATGCGCTAAATTATTTCATGTTAATGCTCCAATTATTCAAAAGGGCGTTTCAGGAAGTTTACTTAAACGGTTGTATGGAGTGGTAACAAACCTGACCTATTAAAGTACCTAATTACAGTAAAGATGTGAAAAGAGTTCGAGGCTTGGAATATAAATTGAGGGCGATAAGAGATTGGAACTGATATAGAAATACGTCATTTTGATGCAGTTCTTTTGACTGGAATCGTTGTTGACCAGTATCTCTACGGCACAATTATGGATGTTTATCGGTTCCATATCCACAGTGGTGATCACGAACGAATGGGGCAATATACGAAACGATACGCCAGAAGCAACCAAAGTCTGCAGGGCTGGCTGCCGTTGGAAAACAACGGGGTGAAAATAAGGAGAGTATGCCTTAGGACACTATCTTTTATATATGATTTGCTAATGAATCGGTGATCTTTTGATACCAGATTTGGGTATGCTAACAACAATGTCATATTTCTAAATTATAGTTCCAGTCCTCCAAACAGACGGAAAGGGGGCCCAATTGACTCATCTGCATAATGGTCGTATTTGAGTAAGCACAGTTTACATGAAATAATATATTAAAGGTAGCTTATATGATACCAAAAAGACTAAATCAAAAGAGCTTTCATGACAATTTGTCTAACCAAAAAGGTGCATGCTTGTGATGCATCCAAAGGGGGCAAACAAGGACTAGACCTTTATAATTTACATTAGCTTTTTAAGACTTCCACACAAAACAAATATACAACAAAACATAACAACAGAGATTTAAATAAATATAGTAAACAGATCAACTCCTTGGAAGTGCAATTTCAACTGATGAAAGGTGATGATAATGACTTAACAGCGCTCTTTGCACGACCCGATCCCGCCCTAACTAATTAAAATATGAATCAAAAAATAAATTGATAAAACTTTCACAAATGATTTTTTAGATCGGAAAAAGCCTGCTAACTTTGCTCTTATTGGTAATGCATGAATTCAACTTATTGTTTGCTTATATGAATTCAACTTATTGTTAGCGCGTCAAAATGACATCAAACTCACTTGGCTCTTTTTGGCCTCAAAATTATTTTCGATTAATTCATTTAAACGGTCAGTCTGTCTACATATTGTCTCTTTACTAATAACAAAAAATTTCATCACATTTACCTTAATTGCTTCAAATCATAGCAGTTAATTTGTCTGGAAAATTTCACGAAATGCTTCAACAATAACTATTAAATATCCTGTGGTACAAATGTCAGCCTCGTCAAAAAGAGCAGACACATGGCTCTGAGGCTTCTATGGGCGCCAAAGCACGAGGATGGAGAGCCAGAGTTTCAGACAAAAAGGTGTCTGCTTCAAATATTTCTGTTTTTTCATGTGTCCTGATATATGTTTTATCTCGCCAGATTTTCACCACGGCTATAATATACCAAAATGAACTTACCTCGGCAAGTCGATCTGCTAAAGCTTTGACCATAATGCTACTGTAGTCATCTAGTTCAGTTAGGTACCTGAAAGAGAGGATATATGTTACACTGTACTGTTGCTAGATCTAAGGAGGTTTAAGAGAGAGGGGAATTCGGATTTGAAGAGAGAGTGGTGTCTCTAATACATCACAGGGGACTGCAGGTTCAAGTGCAGGCTCTGCACAAAGCTGGTGGGGTTTCGCAGTAATTTTAAAATATGACGTCACATTTGACGCGGTACTGGAGCACTCACATTACATGCATTCACTCTTGCCCTCAATTTTTACGAATGAAAGTCAGCATTTTAAAAGCAGGTAGAAAAGTTTGATGAAATTTTCCATGCTGGCCACGTTAAGTCTCCAAAGACAGATAACGGGGTTGAATCTTACTTCAATGATTATGCAGGCATCACTTAAAGATCTTATGTAGACAGAAAACCAAGAAGAAACGAATATGCTAAAACAGATGTTGTCAAAAGATAACACAAATAGTGACCAATTAAAATTTCTAACAGGGATTTCAATTGCAATAAATCTTAGGCTCCTTTCATTATGATTATTTCATTATGATTATCTTATTTCATTGAGTGTCTGTCTATATGGGGCATAAATTGAAACAATAAGCTGTTCCACAAAATTTTCTTGACTAGCTACCAATTCCCTGATGAATCAGGAAAAGTGAGATTAGGTTTCAATAGCTTTATCGCACAAAACACCGTACATTAGTTAAACAGTTAAGTTTCATTAACTAAGATCCTCAAAAAAATAACAACAAACAAAGCAATTTGCCCTCCAATCACAAGTGTAGGCTTACGCTACGACCTCAATATTCTTACCATTGCAATTTAATTTTCAAAATCTTCCCTTTATTGGATTTTTGAAAAAACAATGAAATAGGTTCCCTTATATTTTGTCACTTTCCCTACTCTTAAAATGTAGCTATATTGTCGCTTCAAGAGCTCAATATTCAAAAAGGTATTTGGGGTGGATTGGTAATTTCACGAATCACCGTTCTCATAAACATTATATTATGTTAACTGCTGATTTGAAGAAATCTTCCTACAGAGGCAGTTCTTGCCATACCCAAAGAGGCACCATAGACGGCTTGATGTCACTGAATAGCACTCAAAACAATACTATGGAGGAGCAGCTCTTGTGAAAGGCTATATTTGGTAGTCTTTATTTGCCGACAAAGTGGACAGATGCAAAATCTTTATGAAATGGCATACCGATTTGATAACTCCTCAGCACCAAAACAAGAAACAGCAAATAATCCAATATAATCTTTCTTTCCACTTTGAACTGGGGCAATGAAATCGGACAAACACGTATACACTTCATCTGAACTTGAATCTTTTTCTGCCTGTTCAGTAAAATATGACGAATTTCATTACGAAATTGAACGATACAAAAATAAAGTTGAATTGAATTGGAATCGAGTTTGGATACCACATGCCATTATTTCTCCATTGACTGAAAACTGATAGAAAATTCAGAATACCAAATAAATTGCCTGGCCTATTATTCATTGGTCAAAAAGACACAGCTAAAAATCTATTGGATAATTCAAAAGTATTGAAAACTGCAAAAATTGCTTTGACATTCGTCTCAAAGAAATAAGCATAACTTACTTGCTGCCTGATCCCGTGAAAAACCTTTATAGGACTGTTGCTGCTTTCCGTCGGACTATAAACCAAAACATCATCTCCTTTGCTGTTAGCAGGATAAAATCCGACTTGACCAACAGCACGAAATAGCTTCTCTTTCATAACTTTATTTAGCATATTTTGAGCATCATTAAACACTCGTTTGGCTTCTTCCCCTTAACAAAATAAGATATCAAATCAAAACTCATAAAAATAGAAGTGTTCAACAAAAATTAAAGTGGGGCAACTAAATGGCAGGCTTGTTCCTAAAAGGCTGAACATGTTTATCATCAGTAAATTTTAGAAGCTGGAATGTGTGCTGTAATCTCATATAAAACAATATTTTTGCTAAAAGTGATGTTCAGTGAAATTTTGGAAGCGTTTTAACAGGGTTTTACAAATAAGCCACAATTATAAACAAGGCAGTTGAATAGAAAGCAGGCGCAAATATTTTTACCCTTGTTCATTGGTTCTGATGTACACCTTATAGGATATTAGATATAGAATATTCGAAATAACCACTTTAAAATAACACGTAAGAAGATAGTAAAAACGTGAAGTTAAATTATAATTTCGAAAACCATCTTACCAACGTCTTTATCGTTAAAAACTTTTGGATAACCTCTGTTAGGATACTTTCCACGAAGTTGCCAAACATCAAAAAACGGTTTCCAATCAATGTATTCGATAATTCTTCGTAATTCATAATTTTTGAATACCTTAGTTCCAAGAAAACTGGGGCGAACTGCGGGATACAAGAAAATTAAGTCAAAATATGAATTTATAAGCATAGAGATGTAAACTTAACCTTGGTGTTTAATGAACAAGATTTGAATTAGGTTTGGGGTCCCTTTTGGAGTTATCAAGTATTTGCAAATGCAGAGTTATAATATGAAAATGGACTGAACTGAAGAGAACTTGAATGAATTTGAGAAAATCAAAAATGAAAAGAAAGAAACAATCATTCGAAGCAAAACAAGGATTGTAACACATGTTATATAAAATAGATTCATATGATTTATAAAATACTTCCTCTTCAGTGAAGTATAGAAAGATCAAATATTGCCTTTTCACTCCATTCATATCAATATTTTCTAGGCTAATGAATTAAAAAGTTTCCGTGTTTCTTGTATTTTTTCCGTTTTCTGACAAACAGATATACGCTGTCATCATTCTTTAAAACAATTTACAGATTTATATCCAAAGTGCACGCTCGAAATGTGGTGTCAACAAAGTCTAGTGTTCTTTGGCACATGTCAGTAGAACAAAAAATTTTTACTGATTATCAATAATAGCTAGATGTTTAAACAAAACCATGCCTGATTCAAATCCATTCCAGTCGATTTTGAACCGCCTGTCTCTTGCTTTTTGTATTGATACATACTTCCTATCCTAGGATGTAATCAAAATAAGTAAAATAATTTCAATTTGGCTTTTAAAAGAAAAGCAAAGTCTAATGCCAGGCGGCCGAATAATTAAACTTATGGCTGGTAGCAATACAATAAAACACATATGATAATATCCAAAACAGTATCGCCTTGAGAAGAATTTCAAATCAATTAAAACACTTTCACACAATTTTATACCTAAGTGCTTAACCTAAGTGCTTAATTAAGTTTTTGCCAAACCACCTTTGTTGATCAATTACCAATCAAAACCAGTAAAAAGCTAAACTATCTTTATCAGAAACAAAAGCTAAAACCTTCAGAGAATCATAGTGGTCTTCTCTAATTTCCTCATATTCTTCTGCTGTTTCCTCGATGAATTCTTCTTTACGACCTTCATCCAACAACGCACTTGCCTAAAAAGACGGAAGAAGTAGATGGATGGGAAGAACAGTTGTATGTTCATTTCATTTTGTTAAACGGCAGCCTATCGGTGTATAAACAGTGCTGAGTTGATATATGTAATGTTTCTATTACCCATAAATTAAGTTGTTTGAATGTTCAGATACGGAATTGCATGATGAGTATGTTTTGCTCTATGCAAAGGAGTGGATTATTCTGTGAACATTTTCAACTTAACGATCATAATTTAATGATTGCATGCTTAAAAGGGGATAGTTCCTTCATTTGGTACCCACAAAAGCTCAATACTTTGGCAGCATCTCGATGTGTCAGTAGTTTTCTTTGGTGCCCCTATCTCAGGTGGCCTAAGTCAAACGCCTTAACAAACGGTAGTTATTTCTTGCCTTGTGCTTGTACATATTATAAACTTTCATATCAATACCCTATCATTCATAATTGAAAACATTTATATTAAAAACGGTAAATGATGCATTGGTCTCAAAGGAAACTGAAATACTCACAACAACAACACTTTTTGATGCATCCAATACATGAATTGTTGGTTGGCTGTACTTTGGTGCTATTTTCACTGCAGTGTGCGTCCTTCCAAAACAAAAAAATCAGTATGGTTTTTGAAATGTTAATACTTTTCGTATTTACCACAACAAAATTTCTGGCATCATCCTTGGACATAACGTCTAAATTTTTATCAATAGATACTGAAGGTAAGCGATGATCTTATCAAAATCTTATTTTCAATTGGACCAGAAATCTAACAGAAAAACATAATTGCTCTAATAAAGATAAATTACTTTAGGATACATATCTTTTGGCTTGTTCATGAATTTCTAGTACCAAAATAAAGACCGAAAAAAGGGAAGGAGCCGGTGTTCATCAACATACCTCTAAGTCAATTTCGGAGAGAAAAAATACTTTTTTATTATTTAGCATACTAGATAGCAAACTCTATGATAGAAATGAAAAATTCTGAAAATATTTCAAAAATTACGTCATAAATTGATCACACTGCTCGTTACAACGAAAAAGTTCAGTTGATGAATCGGTTATTCGTTGTTGATCAAACTTCTGATCGTTAAAAGTACTGAATAAAAAGTGAAAAGAATAATCATATATCATATTGCATAATCTTATCGAGCATAAGATTCAACTCCGCATGCACCGAGTTTGCAATATGTTAAGGATCCGATCCTTCAAAACAATCAAAATTTGACGGCCTTGTAATAGTCACTTGAAAAAACTGATAAAAAACATAATACCCGAATACCTAGACGTAGTAGCACCGCCAATCAAAAGGGGAATGCGAAACCCAGCCCGCTCCATTTCTTTGGCAACATGGATCATTTCATCAAGCGAAGGCGTGATCAGGCCAGACAAACCAACTATATCTATTAACATGCGAAAATAAACAATTAAAACAAGAGTACACATCAATATAAAATCAATCTTGCAAATGTTTTCCTAAACTTTTTCGATCAACACATTGTCAGTTGATATTCTTCAGGTTTTTCCTTCGACTTTCTAGAAACTTCCAGAAATTAATCACTGACATGTAATTTTGCTGTTGCATTTTTTGAAATATTTTTTTAATCTTTTATAATTAATATCCATACTTTTTTATCATTTACAATAATTTTTAATTACTGTACTCTAACAATCACGAACAGTATCTCTTAAGAAAAGATATAAAATTAGAAATATAAAACTGAATTAAAGGCGAACTGACACACAAAATCAAACTTGGCTTAAATTGTACTCTTGCGACAAGCAAATTGTGGCACCAAGAAACGTTCGACACCACAATTACTGTTTATGAAGAACAGTCGTCTTAAGATGATATCTGACGTCACAAATGACATATTCACTGCACATATCGCATTTCTCTATAGAAATTGTTAGAGAGAACGGAAGCTGACTTCTATTTAGCAGCAAAATATACTTGTATTGACATTATACCTGCTTTCTCCTCAATGGCAGTCTTCAGAATCTTCTCACATGGAGTCATGACACCAAGATCGATGACTCTGCAAGCGATATGAAACTTTGTTTGAGACAATAAAAGCAAACCGTACCCCAAAATAAACGAGAATCATTGAAAGAAAACTAAATGCATATTCAAAAGAAGGTCAAGCTACAAGACTTATACAGTTTATGAATCATTATCACAGGTCATGTCAAGTATTTGTTTTGAGACTGTAAGCAGAAAAACGTGAACAGTTTATTCATTGCATTGGGGTTTTCTACGCTTCACAATGCTTGAAGCTTTACTACGGTGCTTCTGAATTCTCATGAAATACACACGAGAATTAGAGGCCAATTTTGCACCAACCTGTAATTATTGCAACCAAGCACAACTCCCACTATGTTCTTCCCAATGTCGTGAACATCACCTTTGACTGTCGCAAGCACAACCGTCCCGCTATACATCGTCTAAATACAACACACAAGTCAATGCTATTAATATGGGTGGAGTGTGAGAGTTCAATAGGAAAAAAGGACGGCAAATGAAGAGTAAGAGAGTAGCGTAGCAAGGAGGGTTGAAAGGAAGAGTAGTAAGGAAGAGTAGCATGGAGAAATTGAAGGAAGAGTAGAAAGGAAGAGTGGAAAGGAAGAGTAGAAAGAAAGAGTAGCAAAGAAGATTAGAAAGGAGGAGTTGAAAGGAAGGGTAGCAAGGAAGAATTGACAGGAAGAGTAGAAAGGAAGGGTAGAAATAAAGAGTCGAAAAAAAGGGTAGAAAGGAAGAGTACCAAGAAAGAGAGTCGAAAGAAAGAGTAGAAAGGAAGAGAAGAAGAGAGGAGTAGAAAGAAGAAAGAAAAAAGATGTTATGTTAAAAAGTAGATTATACCAATTTGAAACGGAGTATAATTAGTGTCTGTGCCAATGTATAATTAGTGTCTGTAAACGCACCAGTAGGTATTATTTATAGAATTTCAGTGACAATTGAACAGCTTCAGGTTTCCTCTTTTCCTCACAATCCAATTTTTGTGAAAACATCAAAAATGTGCAGCGTAAGCTTTTTTTAGCATTTCAACTCATATCAAAGCATAAAACAACATGAAGTTTGTTCAAAAGTAAACAGCCGATGGTCGGTCAAAAAGGAGACAAGCAATGCTTACGTTTTCGTCAATCTGCAACCCCTGCTCCAAAAGCTTTTTGTTATTTTCCTCTCTCTCTATTTCCATGAACGGTATCAAATAGCCAACTGCCTTTTTCATAACTCGTGCTGATTTGATAACCTTCAAGAAATTAGATAAGATGAAGTATTGAAGAAAAATCATTAGATTAGAAAAATTAAAGATGGCGTATGGAGAATTTCATGTCAATACTCTTGTCTTTGCTGTTTGGGTTAGCTGCAGGGCATATCTTACTGAATTTTATGCGTTAATGGATTTATAAGCTTATGCTTGGACCTTTATTCATTTATCTAGAGGTAACAAACATGAAAGTTTCCATACAAAAAAACAGCAAAATCCTATGCTTTGTTTTCTGGCCACGCTCCTTTACAACATATTATATTCAAAAACAATGAATTTCAAGAGATGGGGGGTTTCGTTAAGCATTAAAGTTTCCTTACTTTGTCATTACATTTTCATGGCCAAAATAGAAGATAAGAGAAAATATACTCTGATAAATCGATTCTTCCATTGGCAAATTATGTGAATTAGATACCAAACTATTCAAAATATTCTTACTTGAGGAAGGAACATTTTCCCAGCACCAAATAGGTCACCGACAATGCCCATACCCTTAAAAACAAGAAGATGCCGAATAAATTATATATATATCATTGAATAAAGTTTGTTTTCTAGTTTATATGTTTATGACCTAATAATTCCCTTCGCAAGGACCAATAAAATAGAGACATTACAATATGGATTGATGAAACGATGTCACGAGTTGTAAAAAGGACAGGACATTTATTGCTTAACACAAGAGCATGCCATGTGATTGCTTGGGGAAAGTGGTCTCCTGACACTTTATACCATTTCGTGTGTCGGCTGAATGAATTTCAAGGCTCTATTTTTAACAACCATTGAAATAAATCATTAGATAATTAAAGGAAAGGAGTAGTATTAAGAAATGAAGCCTGATAAATAACAATTTCAATATAATGACAAAAGGATACTATTTATGGTTTGTGACGAGGCTCTTGCACAAAACAACAAAGACTGAGGTATCAGTGAAAGGATTATTAATACAATAAGTGACGCAAAAGAAAAGATAGCAAATTCTCCGAAGAGTAATGAATCCTCAATCATAACATATTAATAAAAAAAATTGAAGCATACCTTCATTAACGGGCCTTCAATTATATTGAGCGGCTTCGGGTAGTTTTCCTTGAGATCTAGCGCTTCTGCTACGTCACCAACTACATACGAATCGATGCCCTACAAAAACAGCGTTCTTGATAAAAGGCGTGGTCATTCACAGACTGAGCACTGTATTCAGGAAACAATTATGAGAAAATACACTTCATAGAGTACTCTTACAGATCTGCTTAGGGTAAGTACGGTATAAAGAGATTGTAACACATACGCAATGAAGGTTGTAATTTTATTGTAGTATTTTGAAATCTTTATTTCACCTTTATTACAAACTTTATTTCTGAAACCTTTAAGTAGAATAGGAGTGGGTCCTTAGTTCCAAACAAATATTAGAATACTTTATTTCGAATACAACGGCGCAATGTGCTGAAATTAGGCAAATCAATCTTGATTTTAAATAACGACACATATATGGCACTCTTACCATCATGAAAATTATAAAACGATGCCAGCCATTTCAGAAGGATACGAAATATCAAATCTGGGAGTGGTTTTATATAAGCATTTTCATGTTTACCTTCAAGGAGACAATTCATTCCATTGTCATTTCATGGCACTGCTTTTTAGACTTATCACTTCAATCGTTACCATGCTATTGGTAATTGGGACTGTGCAACATTTTAGGGTGACAAAACTGTATTCTAAACGGAATCAATGTTGTTAAGGACAGGAAAGAGGTCGAGTTTCCTTCATGGGAAGCTGTTTGAAATTCAGGTCAGTGGCGGACACTTGGGGGGGGCCAGGGGGGGCGACCGCTCCCCCAATACTTTAGAGGACAATGGATTTTTGTTTTAAAACAATGGGAAATGTGACGTCATCTTATTAAAACAATAGGCTTGCCCCCCCAATATTTGATCAAGTGTCCGCCCCTGATTCAGGTAGATGGAAAGCTCTCTACATCAAAAACAAGTTTGAAGTATATTGGATAACATTTCAATCCTACTTTTATAAAACCTGTAGAAAAGCTGCAAACAGAGTGAACATGGTAAGAAAAAGAAGATATAGCTTGAAATCGGATGCAGCTGAAGCACTGTACAGAACGATGTTATTGCCAACTTTAGATATTGCGGTACTTTGTTGCTGAAGGTTCCAAAAGTAAAGCTTGATGTGGGACAAAAGCTTTTATTTCTTGCTGCTTAAACGTTTTATTCGCTACCCCAAGAGGAAGGAGCGTAAACTATAGAACTAGAAGAAATTTTTAGGAAAGCACATAGAAGAAAATTGCAAATAGACATAAACATTTAATGATTTTGACAGCCGTAAACCTAAATTTCATGCGATTTACTTTTGATTTAATTTTAGGGACAGGACTCTAAAGAAAGAGGGCTATGTGTACTGAAGGATCATCCGACTTAAAAATTCTTTCCATGATAATCACTACTATCACTATTTATTATTATAATCTAAATACAACATTTTAAGACAAGCTACCAAGGACCTGCTAACTAAAATTTTTATCAAACAACATACCTTAACAAGGGAATACTCCAACCTCTCTTCCAAGTTTAGCTTCCGCCATTCATCACTCTGTGTTTGCTTCTTAGCACCTTTCTTTGCCGTCTACATTTACAACAAAAACAACAATTTTAAAAGCAAAAAGGCTGTAAAGATATGCGTAAAGGTGACAAAGAGTTTCAACAGATCTAGAGGGTTTACACAAGGGAATGCATAGGACGAAAGTAAAACAATGAATGATTAAAGAAAAACCAAAAGAAGGCCGCTACCACATTTGACGTTTTGACAGCAACCTACTTTCAAAACCGAGTTTCATACAGTTGAAACCATCAACAGGTTATTTCTATTTTACATTTGAATTCTTGAAAGAAACTGAAGAAAACAGGAATAGCTTTATTCACTGTCACAAAATAAGTTTGGAGAACATAATCAAAGAGAAAATTTTCTAAATCCTATTTTGGGATGCCAGGAAATATTTATATTGGAGTCAGTTTATCCAATGGAAAAAGAAACACAAACTAAAGAAATGTGGAGGTAAAATCCAGCCGTACTTGAGCGAATTGCAGCATTCGTTCAGTGGCATCGCTCCTTTTATTCCAAATAAGGTCTTCACACAGCTCCAATTGATTCTTGGGAATGTCATCATATAGGGGTAGAGCACCAGCATTGACAATAGCCATATCTAGTCCCGCCTGTGAGCAAAGAAAAGTATCGGAGTGAATAATGAAACTATACACAATCAATCTAATGTGAAAATTAAATAAATCAACTACCATTGTAGTATTGCAATAGTCTGTCATACAGTGCTCGATGTCATATTAGCGGAGCAGTACATGCCATGTGCATAGAAATTGCAAATCCGAGTTCCAAACTTGATGTGGTCATCAGGAAAAACTAGATATTGGGGCCGAATAATTAGCATATTTATGCACCGTTCGTCGCTTATACAGTGCAATCATTCATTGAAAAATATCCACATATGTAGGCACTGGCAAGCTTTCTCGACTGAACAGCTACCCGATGATCGCATCAGACAAGAAGCTCATACTCGCAATATAAATCCGTCTTATCTGCACACCAACGCGATGTCGAGATTTATATGACAAAATCTGTAAAATGTGTAAAGGCATAGTGAATACCAATTGATGCATAGCGATGATAACACAAATTCCACAAGTCTTATATGCAGTAAACTTTTATCTCAGTTAAAACTATTCAATGCAATGGCATCTATGTGGTCCAAATAGTTATTCACATAAATAGATAGATGACAGTGTTCGAGACGCAATTAATGTTAAATTCATAATTTCAATATTGTATTTGCGTTGATCTTTCCACAACCTGTTTTGTGTGTAATGTAAAGTACAAAGTACGGAGCAATTTTAGGAAGATTGCTTTACATAAATAGCAAGTAGGCAATCTTGACTTAAGATGGATTAAGCAACCAGGGACGTTTCTATCAATGATGGAAACGATACTATAGATGGTTATCGGGTCGTAATGGATTTGGGTTGTATCCTGACGCTATCAGCTTTCAATTGCTGAGACGAAGGTCATAGTAAATCGAATCACAAAAATATGCCAAACCAAAATAAATCTGTGTTTGGAAGTGATTGAAATTTAGACTGACATATTGAGTCATTAAAGACCAGATATGATTAGATGTCATATATCACGTAGTTTACATCCATTTACCTTGATCGCATGATACAAAAAGACACTATGTATTGCCTCTCTGATGACATCCAAGCCTCGAAATGAGAACGACAAGTTAGATAAGCCACCACTAACTCTGGCACCGGGACATGTTGCCTGCAAATGTAAAGTAAGAATCAAATTCCGATATTCTACTAATGTCAAAGACTCTAATGTCCAAAAAATCAAAGATTCTCAACTCACGGTGTTACTAACAAATCTCTTCGTCCAACACATTTTGATGTATGATACGAAATTTCAATATAGAATGCACCGAAGTGTTTTACACAAAGTGCTGCAATGCTTAGAATTAAAGGGAAAAAAGCGAACAAATTTGTTTGACGAAATAATACAGTTAAAACTTTCCAAAAGAAAACAACAATTTGAATCTGATCTGAAATGTTTGGTTTTTTACAAATTAGATCCATATTAGATTCTACATTGCGATATAAACCAACAATTTAGTGCTCTGAATCCACACCAAGCTTGCTAAAAATATGAAGAAACTTTCTGACTTTGATATGAAACTATCAAATGGACCATTCCACGTGACAGAAAAAACCAGCACCCATCGAGGAAGTCCTTTGTTTGGCTTGGTAAGCACAGAATAGCAAAGCAATACAAACCTTTATCGCTTTAGTCGCTTCAATGAAGTTTATGGCGTAATCGTTATGCTCCTCCATACCGGTCGCAATCGTCAAGATATTGGGATCAAATATGACGTCATTTCTGTCAAAGTGAACTTTTTCAACGAGAATACGGTACGACCTTTGGCAAATCTCGATCTTTCTGTTCAGATCTGCCGCCTGAAAATTATTGCAAATTTAGAATAATATTTAATAGCTTCATATAAAAGTCATCAAAGCAAGGATGACAATATGAAGGCAGATAAAGATATTAATGGTATTAAAGCTTCCGCGGGGGATATTTATGTACAAATCAAAGACTTGGTGAAGCCGGGCCAAATAAAACGATTTCATTAATTTTTCATATCTCCAAAGCAACTCACGAGTAAGGTGTAGCCTCGAGAAAAAAATCTTCCGCCCAGACCCTGCTTAAGAGATCTATGATCATAACCACGGAGAAAGTAAGAAAGAAATTAAATTTAAAAAGAAGACAGCAAAGTGAAGGTGCCAATGATCCAACTTAGAAAAAACCCCTGCGAAGTTCGGCGTCTAATTTTGATTATTGGAGAAATTTAGACGTCTTTTCTAAGGTATTCAGAAACTTAGAAACTCAATCCCAGAAACCTGTTTTAAAACTTAATGCTGCTGGTCCAAGTGCGAAAAAAAATAATGAAAGGTCAAATTTTAAACCCACTTGTCCGTCTTCGTCAAACGCCATGACAACAACAGCTCCGCCATACTTTTTTATTGTCTTCGCTTTCTCGATAAAATCCGCTTCGCCATTTTTCAAGCTGATACTGTTAACAATGCATTTCCCCTGGCAACACTTTAATCCTGCTTCGATTACATCAAAATTTGAGGAGTCGATGCAGAGAGGAACCTTAAATAAAATATAAAATGATTCCTTATTATCCTTAAATACATATGTGTGATGCTTTGAAGCTTCTTGGATGGATAAACATGGTTCTAGATTAGCAATAAAGAGCATAACGAAGATTTATCGGCATAGCTGGAAATAATGTTAAAGAATGTTGCACTGAGGCCATCAAGCATGTACAGTTGGCTTGCTAACGGAACTACCAAAGGCCTTTTTGCGACCTGGCCCTTGAGTTCTCTAAACGGCCCTGACCATAATTAATAGAGAAAGCCATACCATTTTCTATTGACTTTCATTCGAAGCTCAACTGCTAATCGATTATTCTTCAATACTAACATTTCCTTCAGCTCATCCAGAAATGATGAATTTGGAAACAGACTCGAGCAAAAAAGCAAAAAAACATAGCTAGCATCTTGGGATTACAACATCTGCCAGAAGTGCTGCGTCTTTGAAAACCATAAAAATTATTAATGCATAACACTAATTTGAAAGTAAAAAACATATCTTAATGCAGAAAATGGGTAGAGCTGGAAGGCTACTTATGACAAGTAATTTTACTGTGGATAATCAAGTGCACAAACAATAGGATATAAGAAAACTATAGGTTGCCGGAAACCCTTATTTTGTTATGACATAATGACGAATAACTTCTGGTGGTTAATCTAAAAATGGGGGGTGAAAAAGGGGCTCAGCCGGGAATCGAACCCGGAGCCTCTCGCACCCAAAGCGAGAATCATACCATTAGACCACTGAGCCGTTACATGTGAGGTGTGGTGGAAGAATATTAATCTTGCTAACACACCAGTAACCCACCAACAATTGAATAGCAGTGGTTAAAGAGTTAAAGTCGCGATCAACAGGTAAGGCTTTGACGCAGGCTACGTGGCTGCGCAGCTTGTTGGCCGTGGAACAAAAACTGCGTACACATAAAAGGTCATAGATGGTTATCTTATAACAGTAGAAGTTTGTTTTGGTTAGACTCAAAAACCTAGCCAAACATATGAAATATAAAATTAAGATATAGTCTTGAAACTGCTAAAGGATTTTAAAACTGTAATAGTTATTTTACTAAGTAAAGGAAGCTTTTCTAAAGAGAACCTCATTTGCGATGAAAAGTTTTGGAGAAAGAAGCAGAAGATTAGTATTTCTGGCCTGTCAAATAAGTTGCAAAATATAACTTGGCTTAAGAATTTCCAAAGGAGCTTCATAAAAAATGATCTTTTTGCAGATTTGCATCAATTCTGGCGATGTTTATAGTTTGAGGAGGTGTTGCCTGGCTGCTTAAATGAAGATCGATACCAAGTTATGGTAGGACATAAACGAAGGTTATCTAGGAAATCTTAAAACGCGCTAACAGGAATTTACTGATCTTTTCTCGTTGCTGTTTGACTAATGAAAAAGGCAAAATCTGATTGGCTGACAAAAACAATCAAAAAGTTGGTTACCTTAGCGATATCAGGCTCGGATGAAATCAAATTAACAAACTTCGTCATTGACGCTTGTCCATCCAGCATACCCTCATCCATGTTGATGTCCAGCACTTGTGCACCAGACTCGACTTGGCTCTTGGCGATTGCTAGAGCGTCCTAAAATGATTTCATCTGAACGAATCATCGAGATATACTAGATTTGCTTACATAGAAACAAATTGATATTCATAGGAAAGACGTTAATTGCGAGAACAAAAGCCATAGACAACAATATTTTTTAAAATGCATTACCTCGAAATTGCCAGCTTTGATAAGATTACAGAATTTCCTCGATCCAGCCACATTACATCTTTCTCCGATATTCAAAAAGAGACTATCGGCATTGATATACCTGGGTTCCAAACCTGCCAAAAAACACGAAAGAAAAATCTAAATTGTTGTTATAAAATAGCAAATTTCAGCAGGACAAAAAACATCCTAAAAATCTTGCTTTCAGGCTCAAAACTGTCTTCAAAAGGACTCGAAAATTTATCTTATTTGAATAAAAGGATATCGTGCTTCTATCGCCGTCCCATTGGCTTTTGCATGGCAAGGTATGTGCATAATCTTACAATATATTTGGAAGTTTACAAAGGAAGAAAAAATGCACAAGACTGTTTTAGGAATCTATCATATGGAAGTTTGTTGCGCACGTGCAAAAGGTATTTTGGTTGCTATGGAATATAACGATGTTTGGAATACAGGAAAGCTCGCCAACGTAAATTTCTCTAAAATTTGAAACGATGCAAAAATCTGAAGCAATCTTTTTTACCTGACAGGGTCATATCATCTTTGTGGACTTTGCCGGGAAGTGCTCTAGGCTTGTGTTTAGAAACTGCGTCGGATATAGCTCTGAGTGGTGAATGAAAAACATGAAATGTATCAAAGAAATTGGTCACAATCAATAACAAGAAGAAAGAGATGGCCGCACAATGATGGACTTTCTAAAAGCCAAATTGTAGCCTTGCAAATGGATATCTGTGCTGATATAATAGCCTCTTCGTCCCACAAACGAAGCCTATCATGTAACAAGTTCCTTTATTTCTCCTATATTACCTATATTGCTCAAACATTTACAATTTCAAATATCATTTAGTTATTCATAAATCAATCGTTGCAATACGTCCTTTCCACAACCATTTTTCACAGCCTTTTACTCTTTACTTCCAATGACAATATGACTTGACTGACCTCAGCAACAATGAAAGAACGCGCCATATTATTGATCATTTTAATTCCTTAAAATATACACACATTTTTTTTCATCTTTTTATCAACAGAGGTTCCACATTTTTCAGTATAAAAAGCACAAATCCTGCTTGAACCTACTTGATATGTTCGGGAGTCGTACCACAACAACCACCAACAACATTCAACAAGCCATCTCTTGCGAATTCCTAAAACCAAGAACCAATAAAATCAACTTTCTTTATACTTCTCTTACAAAAAAGGGGCAAGTGGCGAAGCAAAATGCAGTTTTTAGCTGTATATTTCTACAAGCAATTTGTTTTTTCATTGACTGGCGGCGAAAACATTTAATAAGAATTATTCCTAACTACTAAAAATTCCCAAACACAAGGCTTTCCAAAAAAGCAATTGTACAGGGAGCACTTCTTCTTATGTTACGCACGTATAATGCAATTAGAACCATGTAACGCAAAATGCAATCTGGTAATTAAAAACGGCTTGGGTATCACATCAAGTTCTGAATTTTACTTCGCATGAGTCTATTTACTTCACATGAGTCTAAGTCAAGCAAAATGAAATATGAAAAAGGAATAGACAGTGCATGAAACCACAGGCAAAATAAAGTTATTATACTGGCTTGTAAGAAATACGATATTTAGACCATTTGTTAGAATCTCCGAACAGTATTATATATGTCAATAACTGCAAAAAGTCCTTGACAAGGGCAAATTCAACCAGCCCTTCGTCCCATAGAAACAAGGTTGGTTTACTATGAAATGATGTATGAGATTAGAAAGTGCATTTTTTCGTGTGATATTATATTTGCCTAAACTGTCAACATTGCTCTGAAGCAAAAGTGGGTGGGAGTAGAGATATCTGGGAAAAGAGATTCTTTGGTGTTCGACGACACTTTGGCAGGCATTGACTGCATGATAAAGATAGTTTTGCACTTTATTGGACTAATACTTTACCTCTAATCTGCTAGCCATTATTTCTGGTGTCTCATCATATTCTCCAAATGTGTTAGGTAGCCCTAAAACAGAAATTCAATCACTTTTTCCAAGTCTTCATACAAATGAGCAAACTCTATTATTTAAAATTGTATAGGTCTAATACTTGAAAATGAAAGTGTGATCAAATACGCTCGGCTAGCAAAATGAAGGGGTGAATATTCTGACATACCAGCATTCGGATAACAAAGAACATATCCACCGAAATTAAGGCCTACGTTTTCGATGAACGGTCTCATTTCAGTGGCACCAAGAGCACAATTCAATCCAAGACTGCCAAAAGAAAGAAGAGTTTGTAATTGATTACGCATAGAAAAACCTTAAATTAGGATTTTAGCTGACAATAAAATAAACAGATAATAGGAAAGGTATGTATATATATTCAGAGTTTGCATGCAATACAACTGAACAAAGAAATCGTCTCAGAAAGCCATTTATCGTTTCAGTTGATTGCTACGTGTTGGGAGGGCAATGGTAAATATATTGCTGCGAAAAGACTAACAAAATATTCCATTCTTGAATCTATTTGAGTATCATTTGCAACATTTCTTAACTAAATAAATCAACAAAAATTATTTCTATAAATTGGCATCACGTTTTGTTGTATAGCATAGAACGGTTCTAAGTTGCTATTTCAAGTTTCAAGCTAAGCCCGATCATTAGGCAAATGTTCTGTGCAATCGTCTGCATAATGTGGGAAGATATAGTAAACATGAAGCACACATTTCTGGGCTAAAGAGACAAAAAGTGACTTACCACATTGGATTTACGTGAGAAACACTGATAAGAAAAGCTTCGGTCGTTTGTCCTGATAAAGTTCTCCCACTCTTATCCACGATGGTTCCTGAAACCTTAAGAAAACATAAAATGAAAAAAATTGACAATAATTCATATACATTTCAGATGCAGCTTAATGAAATAAAAACAGGGCGAAGGTGGCAAACGACAGCAATTTCAAACCTTCCCCAAAGTAGCTAAAAGCATTGAGTCATGATAAAATGAAAGGGTATACCCAAATGTACCAAAATCCGCTGAGTCACGATTTCGTGCTGCAATGCTATTGGTTGACTTGAAGTTGGTCACGTGAACTCACCTCATACTGATTAACAAACAGTTTCCATCTATAACAAGATGTCAACAACGGATGCCAATATCACATCAAACTGCAGCGATCACGCCGAATCCAAATGACCCCTTATAGAGAAGGTCTATTAACCATGACTAAATGCCTTTAACAAGGGATGCTGTTTCTTTATGTAAAAAAATGAGGTGACAATTAAATATATCTATAGGAAGGGAACACTACTAACTAGAAGCTTTTCAGTATACCATCGGAAATACTACTAAAACAGCCATTGAAAATGGTTATAAATGAACTGAGGTGGACAAAATGATTTGACAAAAACTGCTTACAAAAACGGGAACTCTTGCATATTCTGAATCAAACAACGTCTCAATTGCAAACAAGGCGGCCTATCGAATAAACAAATAAAATAACAAATACAATTAAAGAGTTGCTCGAATTTTCAAGATAACTCTTATTGAAAACAGCAAGGATCTTATTGGCTAATATGCATATGGTTATATGAAGAGACATAAAAAAGCAAGCTTGCTGACGAACGGAGGGGGAACCTAGAAGAAAATTTTGTTTACAAAAATGCAACTGTAAACCCTAAACTGGGCAATAAATGTCACAATATCATTATCCTGATAATTTGCAGTAGCTTTACATGTAGATAATTTTGTGCACTGTTCTGCAGTTTTGGATAATTCTTCATTAGACAAACTCAAAAAGGTAAAACAGCTCTATATCATAATGAGATAAAGTTGTGACAACATTACAAGCATGAAATTATTTTGCTTTAATAAAATAAAATCATTGATAAAACAGATGTCCAAATACCTTAGCATTTGCTGTGTCGAAAATAGTTTCAACCAGTAACACATCTGCTCCACCATCCAGCAAACCTTTTGCCTGTTCTGTATATGCCTCGACGAGTTGGTCAAAAGCTGATAAACAGAGCAAAGAGAAATTGATTCCACATTCAAAATTTAAATAATGTGCCTAGTGAATCAAATATACATAAGTCCAATCTAAAAACCAGAAAAATAATTGCAATTTATTCAATTAGACAATACTCACTTATATTTCTGTATGCTGGTTTTTCAACTGAGGGTGAAATTGATAATGTTCTGTTGGTTGGACCCATTGCACCTGCAACAAACTTTTCCTTTCCTGCCAAAGAGAGGTAGCCATTGTCAAAAATACCTTTTTACTGATATTGAATGTTAATAAAGGATAGAAGTTGCAAAGATTTTACAATAAATCTGTAAAAACAGTTTAGAATGTATATTTATTTTGAATAAATGAATGCAGATGTACCACCTGCTCTTGAAACGTCATCTGCTGCCTTCCGGGCAAGTTCAGCTGCAGTTCTGTTGATGCGGTATACCTGGTGTATGAAGCAATACCAGTTAAGCATAGAAGTGTAAAATTTGTCAAATCCTGCAACTGGTAATCTGATATCAAGGCAAACTTATCTTATTTGTTTAAAACAATGAGTTCCTTCTAAAATCTATACAGAAAATGAGCGAAAATATTATTCTGCTGAGGCTCAAATGCAACTCCAATTTAATTTGAAGAAAACTTGACTTTCAAGCACTTTCTACTACAAGGCTATATATGTAACCAGTGTTGAAGATATGCTTGGTAATCAAAACAAGTAAACAACTTTCCTGACCATTTAACACAGCTAAATAGTTACTCAATTTAGCATTTGGGCATTAGCTTTTAGTCTGGTGCATAAATATTTTTTCATACCTGGGCTTCCAATCCATAATCTGCTTGTGCAATTGAAGTGCCACTGAATGTATTTGTTTCTACAAAGTCTGCTCCAGCTTCTAGATATGCCTGTCAAAGAAACATTTAAAAAGGTAAGAAAGCTATAAAGGAATACATCTTTATTGGAATGAGAAATGCAGACAATCAAACAGGTTAAGTAAACAGTAAAAAGTATAAAAAAAATTGGACTTATAAAAACTGAAAAAATTTACAAAATTGGTTACAGGTAAAGCTAAGAAGAAAAGTAATGGCACGAGATGATCAGTAAAATAAATCCAAAAAAGAATATGCTTCAAGACATCCATAGAAACACATGTTTTTGTTTCTGTCTAATTTGTATTTTAAGCTATTAAACTAACCTTGTGGACTTCATAAACTATATCAGGTCTAGTAACACATAAAAAGTCGTTGTTGCCTTGTAACTTTTTGGGATGATCTTTGAATTCTTCCCCTAAAATGATGAGAATTAAACAACAATTTGAAAGGAGATAGCTCCACTGTGTTACTATTTGACCACAATGCATCTTACTAAGTTTAATAGGTTTACATTACATTTTAAATCATTGATAATAATTAAGCAAATGTGATGTGGCTCAACAGCTCAGCTTGTTGGAATTAGGGTGATGATGTTTACATTTCTGTGTTTTAGTTTCCCCTGTCACAGAAACAATGGACTCATATTTGTTTCATTGATTGACATGCTGTTGTGAGCAATAACACCTCTATTGTACTATCTTGAAGCATGATGTTTAGAAGTTAATAAGAAACTCTGCAATACACCGAGAATAAACAACAATAAATACACGTAAATCAGTGACCTTTTCTTCATTCACTCATTTAGAAGTTAAGTCTTCCTGTTGTTGCTTTTATATAAATTTTTACAGTGAAAGCTTTTGTTTGCTTATTTCTATTTCTTAAAAAAGCCAAAAGTCTGCAGAGTTCTAACACAGCTCATTCTCTTTCAGAATGTCCAAAAACTATATTTCAATCAGTCAAATAACATGTACACTTGAATGTAAATGAATCAAAGAATTTAATTAAATTTGCCAGCTAGAATAAAACTTCTTTATCAAATATTATGCAATAACTTAAGGAATAATATTCAGCAACAAGTGAATGGTACCTCTAAAATCCTCTTCTGTTAGTCTGTACTTTTGCAACATTGTGCCCATTCCTCCATCAAACACCATGATTCTTTGATTTAATATTGCATCTAGTCTTGTGAAAATGGAATTTGCTAAAAAATTAACAAAATTGATTGAAAGAATCTACCTTTTTTGAAATGAATTTTGCAATGAGCCACAGCCCAGGATAGATAAAGGCCTACTCAGCATTGTCATGTTTTTGCCTCCAGCTAGGCAAAATTTGAGCTTTGTTTTGTTTAGTTAATGATAAAAACACTTTCTATCATCTCCTTGAGTTTTAAGAAAGGTTCACAATTTTGAAAAGGAGAAATTCTAACCCCATCATTCCCCTTTAAATGGGCAACTGTCAGTGTCATGGTTAACAGTCATATTGAGCATGACCATCCATTTTCAGAGATATGGTTTTAGAAAATTTGGGTATATATCCATTGAAATAATCACGACCATAATTATGAGCATGCTTTAGCCATGCCTGGTTGGTCTAATGCTTGGTCATTCCTAACAATAAGAGTGACACAGCATGACCATCATTATATTCATAAGAACCCAGTATACAATACACCAAGCGTTAGGATCAACTGCCCTGTGTCATTATTTGAATAAGAATACACAGTTTATTTATCAATGACAGCAGCCCTGTTGTGGATCCATGGGATGGGAGGTAATTCTTTGGAAGTAAAGTGCAAGTAGCCTGCATGCACATTCGACTGTGGGAAAAGTAGGATATTTTTACGTAGGCTAAGTGCCAGCAAAAGCGTATTGTCCAGCAGCTAGAACTCGTGCAAAAACCATCCAGCTTTTATGACAATGACAGGATTTGCCAGCTTCGATGGTGTTGCCCTTTGTGTGGATGTGAAAGAGCGATGGGAGCTACACTCATTTTTTTATAAGAAACAAAAGGTCAATGATGAGTACTCTTTTTTCTTAATGTTCTGAAAAATTTAATAATCATTATTTCTTAAGAGTTTCTTAATTATGATGTCATGAATGATGTTATGAAATGTTCATGACCTTTTTTATCACTTCAGAGATTCGCTTCCATTCTGATGCTGTATTTAGATGTGGGAAGTATAGGGCAATCTTGTTTTTGGATTTTACAAAATTTTGTTGTTTTCAGTTTTATCAGGATTTAATAGTTTCTTAATTTTTTTTGCTTTGAGTACTAAAGTTTCTAAATTTTTTCTGACTGTCCAGTACTGGTTTCTTATAGCCAGATTTTTTTATAAAAAATATGAGTGTATTGTGAAAAGGTGGCTGTTTCATTAATTCCAAAAAATATGTGTATTAATGTAATCAGTGTTTTCTCTATGTTTAGGAAATTTTTCAGGAGTTTACTGTCCAAAAGTGATTGATTTGATTTTATCTATCTAGCAACTGATCTCCCCAAGCCTTAAGAAATTCCCTCCACACAGTTTACTCTATTTGTTTCCTACTGATGTATACTCAATAGCTATACTAATCGAGGAGAGAGCACTCCCTATTTAAAGGTGTCTCATTTACATTTAACTTCTATTTAATATCATGACTGAGAAACTTTTTTACATCCATAGGAATGTCATTCCAGAATTTAGCTGCACAGTAACAAACTGATATAAGGCCATATTGCAAGGTATTTTTCTGTGTCAGGAAAATATCATTTTTAGTGACTTGCCATGTACCATATTAATGCACAGATTCCACTAATTGAAAGAAGGAATGAAAACAAGAAGGAGAGATCTTATTAATGCAGTCATATACAAAGCTAAGCATTTTCAACTGCAAAAGATCACACAGTTTTTTAAGTCTGAAAAGAGAGGGGTAGAAGGAGCAGTAAGATTCTTAAATGGAATTGCTCTTATGTAACACGAACACTGGGTTGATATAAATGTCATAGGTGAGACCCCAGACTAAAACTTCATACTGGATGAAAGACGAAAATAAAGAGTTTTAAAGACAGATCTGCACATTAACAGGTAAGAGGTGTCTTATTTTAAAAAACAAACCACAAGTTCGAGCCAGTTTCTTAGAGAATTCTGATGTGTGATACTTCCATGATAAGTTTTCATCTAGGAGAACACCAAGAAATTTGACATATAGGTAACAAGTCCGTTCGATGGCAAGATTACGAATTTTCGCGGAAAATAAATCACAGAACCTCAAAGATTATCTAAATGATAGATGAATTTGAAGAGAAATCAGACAATCCGAAGATGGCAAGGCGCCAATTCAACATCTTGTTCAGGATAAGATAGGGCAAACAGCGACCTCCCCTCAAATCAAACGAAACGATTTCCAGGCCAATCTTCAATGTTAATGATGGAAATGCTTACCTGAAAAATCGAAAGTGCAGCTCGATGGTGTGAAAACTGGTGCCATTTTGAAATCCTTTATCGCACTCTTAAGTACTTTTCCAATTCGAGAGATTTGGCCACATGTAGATAGACGATACATAAAATTTGTTCAGAGGAATCACCACAACCACAAACTCCATTCCCTAAATACTCCATGTAAACATTTTTACTGGGAACTTCCGGAGTAAGTATTCCGGGTTTTCCTAATATGCAACCGTATGCGGAAAGTAAAAGCATATGGTAAAAGTAAAGATCGATACAGACGTAACGACTAAGTTGAGACATCTTAGGTCCTCTTGACTCAATGAATGCTCAAGTACAAATACCTCGGCGTCACTATAAAATCTAACGGTTTTTACAGTGCTCACTTTGATAACATCAAGGTCAGATATTCCTCTTTGCTCTTTTGTCCAAAAGCAATGACTGGGATGGCTTTAACCTTATGATGTGTTTAAAATTTTGTTAGACGGTACAATACTTCCCACCCTAAAGTTTTCCACTGAAGACTTAGGATCTGGTAA